GACTGATAGCACCTACCTTTTGCTTCTGGTCTTTCTGAGTAGACGCCATGGTTGGCACTGGCAATGGTGTTGAAGAAGGGCACAAGGAATTGTTTGCGAAGTCGGCGCGGCTGGGCGCTTTACCCAATTAGGACGCCAGGGCATTGGGACCGAAGAACAATCAACGTCGGATCTACGTAGTACATACTTTTCCTACAAGTAGACCGCCAGTGATCACCGTGTGCGGCAAGCTGCCCATGTATATATATTGATTACGGGCAGTACTCCGTATGATGCAAATGTATAATGGTGTCAATTATAACCACCTAGTGTTGCTAAGTGGAGACAACGGTCAATGAAACAGCATCCATATCGAATCCTCACTCCTCTGCCACCACAAACGTTCTTTGAAATAGGCTCTTGAAACCGATAGTGACGCAAGAACGCCCTTTCAGAAGCAAAATCAAGCACAAAAGAGTTCACAACAATCCTTGCGCGATAAAGAACAAAGCCAACAGCAATAGAAGTGCGCGAGTCTTTACCTCAGCCCGGGAAAAAGGGACAGCCATTGCCCTTGGACTGGCTGTCGCAGATATTATTCTCACCTACCTCCCTGGAGGCAGTCCCCAGACATGTGAGTTCATAATAAGCCCACTATACAAGTCACTACTCTCCTGCTTGACATTGAAGGCAAGCTTTCCCGGGTACTTCCCCCGCCGAAGATTAATCGGATAGCCTCGGTGTTCTCTGCAGCAGAGACAGTTTGGTGTACAGTGGCCAAAGCGTCCCTGGGTTTTTGTGGTCTCTCGTGGCTTTTCGCAGCAGCCGCAGGATCGACCACAGCAGCCTCCAGCTCCAGCACACCTGTACCGAAGCCAATTCGTGAGATACCAGTCTGGGTCGCGCCGTCTGGAAGTCATAGCACGATACACTGGTGTATTTCCCATAAGACGATGCAGCTTATCCACTATCTCCTCGACTTCTTTGAGACGTCCTGCATTCTCCGCCAGGAATCTGTTGCAGTACTCTGACTTTTGTTTGCGACGTTCCACTTCGGCAGCGTCGTCGACAGGAGGTAGGCTCCTTAGCTTGGCAAGACGCTTGGTGGCTTGCTCATCGGCTTGCGATATCGCCCAGATGGCTTCTTCGGCATCTATCAGCTCATTAATACAAACCCACTGAGTCTCCGTGAGACCAAAGAGTCGATGCTGTAGTCTCCGCAGCCTTTGGGCTTTTTCTTGGTTCCCAGACCTTTCAAGCCTGTCTTCGATGGGCGCGAGTATCGCACTGAACGACTTGATCAATCCTGTTCTCCAAACGTCTGACATGGATTTGCTGGGTGCCATGTTTGTGATCTATCGATGTTCAGTAGGAGAGTACTGTAGAGAATCACTACCGGGGAGCGTTTATTCTCTTTATGTGCAGAGTACCTAGGCGGAATCAGCTCTAGGTTTGCCTTTTACATTACGTAGGTATGATCATGCTGCGCATTCATTCATAAATAATTGTCATCCTCGGTAATAAGCTTTTCTAATAACGGTAGCTGTAGTCCTGATACGGCGTTCAAGCTGAGGGACGTCCCGTATACTGCGGTTGCCGAATCTGGAAAGTTTGTGTTTCCATCCTGCCTACTCTATAGAGCGCACAGATTGAGAAGGCACAATGTGTATGTTTAAAAGCAACCATCGATGTGAAGTCTCGTAGTCTATAACCACCATCTCAATTATCCACCATCCCATCTTTTACACTCTCATTCTCCAAGAATTCACAATGACTTTTACCGTCCCAGTTCCACCCACACAGTCTCCGACCCCTCAGCCACCATGGGTCCCGGTGGTTCATGGAGTGAGCTATGCGATTGTAGTCGCTGTGGCAGGTTCCGTCCTCATAACGCTCTACTTTAAGATGAGAAAAAGGTATAGTACTTCCTTGGTTTATACCATGCAGTATACTCAAATTAATCAATAGGTACAATACACCGGAGACAAGCCTATATCGCGAAGTGACGGCAGACGAGCTGCTTCGGTTACGGGAGACTTCCCAACCAGGTACGGTTACAAATGTCTTTGATCAATGTTGTTACTGACCCATATACTACAGGGGGGAAAAAAATCCCTCATTGCCCGTCTCATTGCGCGTCTACGCTATCAAACCCCCCCTGCCGTAACAGATATCGAAGCTGGGAGAGCCAGGAGCATTGCTGAGGAGATGCAAGAAGAATAGGGCCGTATGGTTGTACTACGATGTACTCTTAGATATCAATACTAGGTAGCAATTCGAACCATTATCACATTTGCATCATCCTGCCCGTAATCAACGACACAGCTATATGGGGGCCCTGGCCGCCGACGGTAATCACTGGCGACCCATCTCTAGGAAAAGTACTTAAATACTCTTATGATAAAAAAATTTGCAACTCGTCTGCAGCTGGAATTACACATCTACAAACGAAGGGCTGTTGGAGAGCTAATCTATACACATAGCTCATGCGTAAACATGAAGTCTTATGCTTTGGGACTACTCAAGGAGCGCTGCAGTATCATAATGGGAAGAGGATATTCTTGTCAATTGGGAGATGCTATCTAAAGTCGAACCTCATGAAGTACATAAGTAGGTTGAGTAAAACCATCTCACGGATCCCCTTCCCATCTTTTTTTGCCGGTTTTCCAGTTTTTTTGACACTTTTCTTGTTGAAGAATTTTTGTCGTTCGACGTTTCTCCACTCCCACTTCATTTTGTCGATCATAAATGGAGGGACATCAGGTCCCTGCTGGTCAGCATTCGTTGAAGGAAACCAACAGGCAGGGAGATGGATGACCCCGTAGACTGGAACACCACACCAGTCGCTGTCATTAATCATAAACCGCGCCTTCTGTGAGAGAACAACTGTAAGAACCATCGTGCCGAAGCACCAATCTGCCCGAGACTGTAAATTTACATCACGATCTCGCGACGCCAGGGACACGCAACGTATGAGAGGAGAAAGAGCTCCCACCAGATACAAAGCGCCATCCACAGGACACCAAAGCAGATAAAACTGTGAGAACAGAATGAACCCCACCGATTGATAACGAAACACAGGCTCCTGATCAGGGAGCACCAGAATGTCCACGTTTCGATGCAGCCGAGAGTGGTTCACACAAAGGAATAATGTTGGGAGCCACTAGCCAGCCGTCCATGAACTCCAGAAACATAACACCATGGAATGGAGACCTGGAAACGCCGCCCTCGGTGCTCGGAAAATGCCAGAATGCAGTACCGTGAAAAATATGTACAACTGGCGAAAACAGCAACAACTTAACTCCAAACCGCGGAAGTCGTTTCGATGTATGATGCACCCACGGGAAATCATTCAAAGAAGTGGTGACATGAGACGAAAAGTGGGAAGTGGAACACTAATATGATACAGATGCCAAATCAACGTTATCATATCATCGTTGTGGAGACAAATGATTTCCGCAGGAGAGATAGAATAATGAGAACGATTCGCACATGCTGCGAGGGAAGAAAGAGGAGGGATGAGCGTGCAAAGGTGCAACGAAAACGAATCTTAAAAGAGCTAGAACAAACCGAAAGAAGAAACTGTCCCAAAAGAAAGCAACAAAATCGATTCATGTTCGAACGACAAATTGGCAAGGACCTCTATGATACGGGGGCTGCCTGAGATTTGCCGCTTTGGTGCTGGCCCTGGGAGGCGTTGTACCTGTTTTGATCATGTTGCACGTTGCGGCGTGGGCCCTGTCCACGACCTCCACGATACGAGCCCCGTCCACGGTTGTACTGATAGTGGCCTCCGTTGGGATGATTGTTATGACGGCGGTCTCCAATGTGTTGGCCCGACGGCATGCCGGTTGCCTGAGGTGGCTGTGAAGGGTTAGAAATCGGGCGGGGGATCGTATCCGGAGAGTCGTAGACATAGAGCTTCTTGTCGATGTTCTGGGGGATGGGCTGGATCTCAGTGCCCAGTTCTTGTTCGATCTTGTACAGGTTGAAGCGGTCATCCCAATTGATAAGGTTGATTGCGAGACCCAGGTGACCGAAACGGCCAGACCGACCAATACGGTGGAGGTAGGTCTCAGCGTTCTTGGGGAAGTCGAAGTTGATGACCACGTTGACGGCTTGGATATCGATACCTCGTGTCAGCAGATCGGAACAGACAAGGTTACGGCACACGCCGTTCCGGAAATCGTGGAAAACCCGGTTCCGATGCTGTTGCAGCATTCTTGCGTGCGAATAGAAGCACGAGTAGCCCAGTTCCGTGATCTTCTTTGCGAGCAATTCAACACGATTCGTAGAATTGCAGAAGATGATCGACTGGTTAATCTGGAGCTTCGAGAAGAGGGTGTTTAGGCAGTGGACTTTCTGCTTCTCCTCCACAAACGCATAGTATTGGGTAATACCGCGGAGTGTGAGCTCATCCATGAGGTTGATTTCGTAAGGGTTGCGCATGTGTTTGTCCTGCCAAGCGTTAATGATGATGACTCGATAATAATGAATGGAAGTTGGCAGGCCATACCTTGAAAGATTTGACAATGAGGGGGAATGTTGCACTGAAGAGCATAACCTGACGGTCCTTGGGGTGGAAAGATAGCAGTTGCTCAATGACGGGGGTGAACTCAGGCGACAACAGCTTGTCGGCCTCGTCCATGACGAACGTAGGGCATTCCGAAAGGTCTGCGACGCCCTTGCTGGCAAGATCCAACACTCGACCTGGGGTTCCGACAAGAATGTGGACGGCGTCGTTTAGTCGAATGATGTCGTCCATCAACCCCGTTCCTCCGGTTGTGACCATGACATTAATACCGAGATGTTTTCCGAGTGTTTTGCAGACGTGGGATGTTTGGAGGGCAAGTTCTCTCGTCGGGACAAGGATAAGGGCCTGCGTTTTAGTGCTCTTTGGGTTGATCCGTTCCAAGGTGGGGATAACAAAGGCGGCGGTTTTTCCTGTACCATTCTTCGCGCGTGCCAGGATGTCTCGACCAGTAAGGGCGACGGGGATGGTTTCCTCTTGAATGGGCGAAGGTTTCTCGAAGCCAGCCTCGAAGATGCCCATCATAAGCTCACGTTTAATGTAAAAATCTTCGAACTCGAGACCTTTGGTAGCGGTGACATCCTGTTATCCATGTCAGAAATTATGCAACCACTGTGCGCTGTCAACATAGCGAAAAACGGACCTCAGTCTGGGGTCTGGCATCTTTCGCAGGCGTTTTCAGTTGGTCCTTCCACTTCGCATCTGAATTTGCGTCCCTGCCAAGACAAAGTCAGAAAAGCTCTCCGTATGTACCATCAGACAGCTTTGAGAAGCATACCCTAAGCTTGTGTTGTTCAATTGTGAAGCAAGTGCGTCGGCCATTGCGATGGATTGGTGAAGGGAGGAGATGACGGGTGATGAGGGAGGGGATCAAGCTAAAGCGTAGGATCGAAAGCGTATCAATGGGTCGTTTTATCGGCTAATATGTAGACACCGATCTTATGCGGCAGGAGGTCTATATTCGATCGATCCAAATGTGTAGGCTTGAGACAAATGTTCTTTCCCACAGGTGGAAAGGGAGGGCCAGTACGGAGTTAGGTGAGTTGGTTTCTTTTTTGTCTGGGTGAGATGAGCGTAATTTCAAGTCCCAGTTAGAGCTTGGCCGATAAAAGGAAGAAGCAAGTCGTGGAGAGAATCTGCCTAATCCAAGGACTGGCAACAAGGACGATGGGAGTGATGTAAAACCACAGGCGATCAAATGTGCGCAGGGATTCTTCAAGTTCGCGAAAGAGGAAAAGATCTTGGGCGGATTCGATGAACGGTAGGGGAGATGTTGATTTGTAGCTCGAACGGATAGGATGAGTGGAGGATGAAAGTGGGAGTTGGTTATCAGGAAGAGAGGAAAAGTTGGTGGGAGAAAGAGAGTTGCAATAATGGAGGTCGGAGGAGGTTGACTCTCAGTGGTGGAGTGGATCGGAGTGGGCAGTCTCCGCCCTCGCCGCTTTAAGCCCTTTCCCCCTCCGTGGGTGCAGGATATCAAGGGTGATGTGATCCACATTACTTGGACAATTCACATGTAGATACTATTGCGAAAGCTATCGTGTCCATAAGATGATGCCAAAATTGATTGAAATATACATATTCAGGATTGCGTGACTAGCTCACACAACAGGCCCCATTGCTTCGGTCCTTATCGACGCCAAATATCATGGGAGACAACGGACGTTCTCTTACCCCTGGAACGGTAGGCTTGTCTGTCCTCGTTCAGGCTCAGCCAACCTGAGATGATCGTTAGCCAGGGATCTTTCGCATGTCATGTCTCTGCACTCACTGTTTTACGCGAACATCAGGCGCCAAGCTAATCTCGGATCGGGATCCAGGTGTGATGAGGATAAACTGCCTGCCTATCGAACGTCTAGCGGCAAGCATCTATCGGTTCAGTCAGCGAATCTGCCCACAGCCAACTAGTGATGGTGATAACCCACAAGCATATCGATTGCCATCTTTCTGTTGACGGAATCCATGTAGACGTCGCTGCACATTGCAAGTCAGTGATTCTTCTTCATCGTCCTGACACTGGTGACTTACAATTCATCAAGACATCGGACAGGGGATCCCATAGCCTCCCAAAGGGCCAGCAGAAGGCAGACTTGCGAGAACGATTTCTCTCCTCCGGAAAGAGTTTTCGCGCCACGCCCAGTGCTGTCTTTAGTGATATCGGGCTCAACCTGTAGATCTAAAAGCTTGCCCTCATGATCGGTCAAGAGTCGTCCTCTGAAACTTCTCTCGCTCAGGAGATAAGTGAACTGGGCTTTGGCTCGAGTGGAGATATGGGACCTGAAAATCAGCCAACGTTTCTTGCGGTCACTCAACGTTTGTTTAAGGACCTGTCGTCGATCGTTAGCTGTGAGCACTATGCGGAGTCGAGTTGATGTGCAGTATCACGACATACATCTGCAAGGAGCCGGAATTCTTCGGCTTGCTTCAACGCCTGCTCGTATGTGGAGGCTGCTCGCTGGGCTTCTGCAGCGATTTCATCGCGGGAAGCCCCCAACCTAACATGCGTTAGTCGGACTCTCCGTACCGTGACTAGGCGACTCAACTCACTCTTGGCTGTATCGCTCCAGATCTCTGTGGAGCCGATCCAGCTTCTTATCCAGGCTGGCAGCAGTTTCTCCTTCCTCGATAGGGACACGGGGCGAAACAAGACTAGCCTTTTCGCTGAAATCCACAATGCGAGCTTTAACTGTTTCTCTCTCTTGGTAGATCCGATCTCTGACCCGTTTCCTGTCGTTGATGCGCTCGATTGCTGCATTTTTCTCGCTAATGATCTTCCGGCGTCGGTCCTTTACCTTGAGCTCCTCACTCTGCGCAACACGGACCTCTTCTTTCAGCTTATTGATATCAGCGTCTTTGGCCGCAAGTCTCTGCTTGATTTCTTTCAAAGTTCTCATCATCGAGTCCATAGCTGCGGTGCTGTCTTGCAACGACCCTTCATTGATACGTCGCTCTTCCTCAGCTTCTTCCAGGGTGGTCCGCAATACGTCGAGACGCCCATCTTCCACGGTTTCTTTATCAAGTGCATTCTCGAGCTCCTCGCGACGATCTTCTAGCCTCTGCATGGCAACTTTCAAACCGACCGCTTCTCTCTTATGCCGTTCAACAGCCTGTTTGCAAGTTTTCAGGTGAGTTTGGGCGGCACGGAGCTGTTCTTCTTGATTGTTCAGCTCCCGCCTTAAATCCGCCATGACGTCTTCTTGGTGTCTGTATGCGGGTTAGACCGACATACAGATGTGAAGAGGAAGAGCATACCTTATCCGAGAAGCTAGATCAGACTTCATTCGGGGATTTCCTTTGTAGACGGGAACAGGCGCCTGACTTGGCTCTCCTGTGCGACTGTAGGAGAGATGGATTCCTCGTCGCCGATCTCCTCTATCAATGCAATAGCATCTCTTGACGTTCCTTGGTCGTTGGCCATCGAAAAGCACGGAAGTTGCTTCTTCAAGACTCTCTATCAGTAGCATTTGCTCTATCCCGTGGTTGATAATCAGCTGTCGGCGAACTAGGTCGTTGTCAATCTATTTAACAAGCTTGTTAGAGACATTACTGCACGTCTCTGTAACCACAACTTGCCTGTAGAACTCGCAAAGCTGTATCGAAATGCCGATCCGGCTCATGTTGAGATGTATCGATATGGCCATCACTCCCTATGAAGATCGGGCAGACACTTAAAAGACAAATGATCAGTATTGTTCGTAAATGATATGCAGCACAGATCCTCACCAGTTGACCTTCTGCATGATGTTGGAGAGGATATTCATGTCTCTTTTCGAGGTGACAACAAAGCTGCTCAACGTCGCTCCAAGGGAATTTTCCAATATCGAGGACCATTCTTGCTTCAGCAAGGTTACATGGTGCCCTATGGGCCCAACAGGTTGTTTAGTAAATGACCGTTCTTGTTGAATGGCCCTGAGAAGAGCGGGCATTCTCTCGTGGAAGCCTAGATTCCTAGGGCCGCCCTCACGTCTCAGATCCCGAAGAACAGACTCGGCTTGTTGGAAATCGGCTCTAGTCTTGGCGATAGGACTGTGGGTTGCTTTCAGTGCCTCTTCAGCTTCCTCAACATCCTTGTACAAGCGGTTTTGTTCTTTTTGGTGTTCGTTAAACTGCTCTTTCGCATCGGCAAGGTCTGCTTTTATCTGCTCAAGTTCTTCCTGTTTCCGAGCATAACTTCCACCATTCAGATCGACCAATCGCTGGTTCTCTTCAGCAATCTTCTCTTGGGTCTCCTGAATCCTTGCCTCCGCCCCTTTAAGGTGGTCCTTTATTTGACGTTGTTGGGCCTGTAAACGTTAGCACAACCGGGAGTGATTACTTGTGTCAGTGTAGGAATACCTGTAAGTCATGCCGTTCATTCATATGCTCGTCCCATTCGCCCTTGATCTTTTCTTTCTCTTCCTGCGCTTGCTCAACTCTGGACGATGCTTGCCATGCGTACTCAGCGGCGCTTTGGACTTCGGCTTCGGCCTCTCTAAGAGCATCATCGAACCTTTCAACACCGGCTTCGGCATTGGCAATTCCATCATCCGCTTTAGCAAGTTCTTCGTCAAGAGCATCCCTCTCCTACTTTATGTTAGTAATTAACTGCGCGATATGTTCCTAAAGTTCGTACCCTCTCCTGTTCCTCAACCTGAGCCCAGGCCATCTGATTTCGGACATTCCGCACTCGATCTCTGAGACTTTGATGCTGCTCAGATCTCTCTAGCTTCTCCTGCGCAGCATCGCTTAGCCGCTTGAGAATCTTGACATCTTGTTCTCTGCTCCTCAGCTTTTCCTCAATCTGATCAGCGGATTCCTCGATCAACCGGTAGTCCTGGTCAAGCTGTTCCAGTTGAACACCCTTGACGAAGAATTTGTACTTTTCAGCGGGACTCGATGAGCTGAGAAACTGACGTGCCATGTCCTGTGAGAGAACGTTCATCGGATTGTCAAACTGCAAGGTGAAGTGGTCGATGATAGCATCCAGCTCTGCCTTCTTCGTAGACATTATCCGTCCATTTTCGGCCTTGATCTTGAAGCCACTCGTGCCATTTTTCGAGAAGTGGCGCTCGACAATGATCGATTTTCCATAATCATCCGGCATGAAAGCACCTTCTCCTTGATTTTTGATACGTACAACAATGGTGGCGCTCCTGTTACTTGGTTAGACTCGTACACGTTATACCTAAGTAGTCAACTTACTCTTTTCCTTCCTTGATGAAGTTCTTGAGACTTTGACCCCGGTTGGTGGCGGAGGCTTTACCGCCCAGACACAGGGTTATCGCAGTGAGCACAGCACTCTTTCCACTGCCATTCTTTCCAACAATGAAGTTTATCAAAGGACCAAGTTCGACGTGAAAGTGGTCATGGCACATGAAGTTGTAGCACTCCACGCGCTCCAGAATACCATGTTCGGCAGGAACATTAGGTTCGTCGCTGGCAAACGAGTACTTTTCCTGAATCGCTTGTGTGGCGCGCAACTCTAATTCGTCTTCATCCTCATCATAACGATCGTCAACAGTTTGCGTGAACTGTGGAGTGTTCTGGCTTCTGTCTGTGCCATCCGTCGATTCGCTATCATCGCTAGAACTTGGAGAATCTGATCGACGAGGGCGTTTCTATGTACCCAAGAGTCAGGATAATTATTTGACAAGCCAAAAGGGAGATGGCGATCAGCGTACCGAGCTGGGTGTCAAATCCAACCTCTCATTTTCCTCGTCGGAATCTTCAGGTTCAAGGTGAGCCTGAGAACGTTTCAATGGTGCCATTCGGAAGACGCGACGCGATTAGCTGAATGGAGAGTAAATCATGTTTACCCACAAGGAGGTACAATGCAAGGAGGCGCACTAAACGAGAGAAGAATATGCCGTAGAGAATCTGAGCAAGATTATTAGATTACTGGAGTCGAGGGCACGACGTACGGATCCCGATAGTTTGCGACATGAACGATTGACCGCGTCGCGTTGCGCCGGGTGGACACGTGAGATGGATGCGGTTAATTATTACCCGTTCCGCGACTTATTCAAACCTTAAATTTAAGGCATCAACTTGGATGCAGTAAAGAGGCAATGAGGATTCCAAGGTACGATGTAGAAAATAAATCCCTGACTCAATACAGATTTCCACACTACGTAGTACTTACCATCGCCTGGAAAAGGCCAAGATAATAGAATGTCGAATCTATTACGAGGAGAGGGGGGGAAAAAGAGTATGTTAAGCCCTTAATGGCGCCGATGTATGTCAAACTTGATGAAGATAAATAGAGCACTAGCATTACGCGTTCATGGGCTCCTCCGCCACATAGTGCAGATAAGCGCCGAGGAGCTTGATACCTTCGATATAGTTTCTCCGGTCCAGCTTCTCGTTGATAGAGTGGGCGGCGTCAGTGGAGCTGCCCATTGGCAGGAGCAGAACATTCTTGCCCGTAGCCTGTTCGAAGCTCAATGTGACAGGGATACTATTTTTTCAGTTAGCTTTTGCGGTATGAAGGAGCGACGAGTCGTTGGAAATCCTACCTTCCACCCTCACGAGTCAGGTCAGGCTCAACGCCGAAAACTTGCTTCACAGCTTTGCTGGCAGCCGTAAAGTTCCAGTGCTTCGGGCTAGCCACCCACCACTTGCCGTCATGCTGGAGCCACACATCCAACTTGTTCTTGCTGTTCAACTTGGCAAACTCGGCCTTGATGTGATCGAAAACGAGTCGGTTCACATCCTCGCTCTCCATGTTAGGCACAGTGCGGATGGAGAACTTGCCAATAACCTTGGCGGGGATGACGGTCTTAGCACCGGGGGCCGAGTAAGCACCCTCAATACCATGAATGGACAAGGAGGGGTATCTCCATCTGGCCATGAGAGTTCTTTCCTTGGTCGGGTGGATGCCGGTTTCGCTACCCAGCGATTCGTGGAGGTTGTCCATGGTGTAGCTGATGTTGGGGTACAAGGCCTTCTCCTCCTCGGTCAAGGGCGCCACGAGGTCCATGAGACCGGGAATCAGAATGTTACCATGGGTGTCAACAAGCTTGGACAGCACATGGACAAGGTCAGTCATGGGCTCGTGGGCCGAACCACCGAAGACACCGCTGTGAAGATCCTGGGCGGGCCCGGAGACGCTGACGGAGTAGTAGTTGCAACCGCGCAGACCATACGTCAGACAGGGCTTTTCTGTCCCAAGCCAGTAGTTATCGGAGATACACACGGCATCCGCATCCTTGAAGAACTTCTTGCTCTCGGCTTGGATGAACTCCTCCAATCCCTCGGAGCCATACTCTTCCATGCCCTCGAAGCAGCAAAGGAGGTTGACGGGGAACTCGACACCGGCCTTCTTGTGGGCTTCGATAACATTCAGCCACCCCAGGACGGGGCCCTTATCATCCGTGCTACCGCGACCAAACATTCTTCCCTGGCTGTCGACGGAAAGCTCGAAGGGCTCGGTAGCCCAGCCATCTTCCTTCAGGGCAGGCTGAACATCATAGTGACCGTAGACCAAGATGGTACGCTTGTTCGGATCATTGCCGTAGCGAGCGACGACAACAGGCGGGAGATCGAGGTGTTCCTTGCCCGGCTGCTTGCCCAGAGGGCGTTGTTCCACCTGAGCGCCTAGAGCTTCCAGCTCAGAAGCAAGAAATTGTGCCATCTTGAGAAGACGGGACCGATCAGCGACTAGCTCATGGACAGCAAGATCAACCAGTTGTTTTACCTACCCGAAAGACATCGGGTCTGTTCTCATCCTGTGCCGAGATAGAAGGAATTGCAACGGCCTTGCGCAAGCCTTTGGAGGTTAGTATTCTCGAATCTGACCGGCGCCGGGAAGTAATGACGTACGGTCAATGAAGGAACCAGACAGATCATCGACCCTACATAAGTCAGAACCGTTCAAGATTTGGTAATGGAGCTTCAGAGGCACATAGGACAAGGGAAGAGACCGAGATGCAGTAAAAGGAGGGGAAAAAAAAAAGGGAGAGCTCTTACTGTTTGAAGAAAGGCTCGAGCTGAGGCGCCATTTTGGTATCGCTAATATGCCCGTAGTATGAGCGGCGGAAAGAGAAACGAGGTCTGCTAGGAGGAATGAACTGCGGAGGTCGGAAGACTGGCGATGGGCTTGCACGAGATAAGTAAGAAGAGGAGTATTCTGCAAGCGACGCGGTGATGCGACGGAGGGGGAGGGGCATTTGGGCAAATGGGCGGAAGATAATAGAAGAGCCTCGATTTGCTGGTTTGGAGAGGTGAGTTACCTAACGATAACAGCTGTTGGGTTAAGTCCGTACTCCGCATCCACGGCACGCGATCCCGTTTTCTTTCCGCAACTAAGCGAGACACATTTGACTTATCATGTAATATTAATTAGAATATGCCTGCTGGATAGAGGGCTGTACGAGAAATAGTGCGTTCTAAACAATGATTCATCTCTAGTTACAGGGAGTGGGCCGCGAGGGCCCGATGCGATGCTGCTAGAATACATGATTTTGTACATCAGCCGTCGGCGCAGACAGGACTCCGTCGGTCGCTATCACGACCTTAAATGGCATCAAAAGGGGACAAATTATAAGAAAACAAGGCCATGTCACAGAAAGAAACAGATGTGGTCGAGATAACACTCATTCATCCCTTCCCCAAGATTCTTTCCGCAGCTGTCGGTCTTCTCTGGCCATCCGTCGCTTCGATCCCCATCTCGACTGGACCGCCTCTAGGACTTGTTTCTGGATTTCCTTCTTCTGTGGGCCGGCCTCGCATACCATAGCAATGAACATCGGGGAGCATTGGAACCGCTTAGCCAGTTTCCACCGGCTCCAAGTCATTGGATCACTCAGTCGGAGTTTGCGAATTTCTTCGATGTCTGACGGCTTCAGGTGATATTTCTTCTCGACAGTTCCCTTGAACACAGAGGGCAGTTCTGCCGCATTGGTCTGATTCAGAGCGCGCTCGGGGCGCAACGTCCTCCGAACATCGTCGGCAGGAAGGAACTTGGTTGGGGTGTGGTATACCGAAGGAGCGCTTGAAGGAGGGTTGTAGATGATGTGTTCTTGCACATGGGTGGAAGATACGCCAAAGGAAGCGTCTGGTTTGACACGAAGGCGTTGTTTAGTGCGTCTGTATGAGGATTGGTTCCGGCGCAACTCGAGCGCGACTCCGTCGCACGAGGAGGGTAGGAGAAAGGGGAGAGACAAGAAAGGTCTCTTGGGTGCAACAATGGTTGCTGCCATGGCCGGTACGGAGGAGATTCCTCGATTGCCCGTCCGCAAGATAGCTGTTGATATGATAAACGCGAGGGAGCTGCAAGTGGTGATTGTTGGTCCGGATGAAGAACTGCGGAAACACGGAGATGTTAGCAGGCGGATCAACAGGAAAAGGAAGACCTGGAGATGCACTGGGGATAATTGATGAGGAGGGAGAGCATACCGACAAATGAACGACGGTGCGAGATGCCGGAACACTCACGAAAATAAGCAAGGGAAGTGGATTGAGACGACTAGAACTGGACTGGACCCCCGAGGCTTGGATGGTTCAATCATGGAATTGGAACTTTTTCCTTCCCAGCTGCGAGTCCCGTGACCAGCCTGGCTACCACTTGTGCCAGTACCGCCATGCCGAATGGGGATATGTACGGTATTGTCACAGTCTTTGTTGTCCATGCCCCAACTAAAGGGAATCCTGATACGGTATTTACCGGGTGGTAAGACTCCCGTCTCTCCGCCTGGGCCGAAACCCGTACTATTGGATTGGCTTCTTATTGTTATTGGGATCACCTGCTCACTCTCGGTGGATCAGTCCAATTCCATCGATGACGATGGATCGGCACCTTGATTCTTCCTCCTATCCCATCCCATCCTCAGTGAATACCTAACAGACCTCTTTGATGATAATCCGCTGCTGCCTGAGCTGTCATAGTCAGTCTCCGCGATTTATCTGTTACATGTCATGCATATCTATGCCCTTTTATCAAACCACCACCGACATACTATTCTCCGACGCTTCATAGCCGTTTCCTCATAGCCCCGGAGCTCTTCACGCTCTTCTAGTCTCTCCTCTGACAATAACACGGTACCGTTCATTATCCAGTTCTGCAATATACATACTCAGGCGCTACCCCTGTCTGCTCTCGAGCCGCCCCGTATACCGACCTGTACAGTCCATAGACGTCATCTGGCCCGACGATCTGTATCGATCATGGCCCACCTGTTCTAGGGATACTGCCCCCTTATTCATGGTCTGCAGTGACTTCAAGTGATCGATTAGGTTGACCACCGCTTTCTTGCGAATACCGAAACATCGCATCCGACCTAAGATCTTGTTCTGACAACAGCTGCATTCGCTGGAAGCCGATCAATAGAGGACGCACCGAGCTAGAGTGAAACATTGAAGCCTGATTCTTCAAAGGGCCAGGAACAGTTGCGAATTTGTCCGGACCTAGCAGAACTTCAACGACGCACAGAGCGGATTAGAGAGTGCGGGATCAGCGGATCGGTCTTCCTCGATGGAGCAGGCCAAGGACTGCGAAAGGTCGACAGGCTCGCTACCTGTCCGAACTGAGCCAGGATGGCCGAATGAGACCGGGAACTATGAGAAACGCACTGCTGAAATTGACGATATGGAGGCTTCACATGAGCTCGAGTCGGATGGTAAACAGGGCCATGCAACTGGCGGGATACCAATCCGTCCAAGGAATATCGTACAGGAAACGCCGTCAGGCAGCTCTTCAGACGCAGGTCTACCTCATTCCTCACCAGGTCGTGTCTATAAAAGCCTTTCCTCAGAGGTCCTGTCGCAGCCGCCGTTGCATATCATCCTGCCTTCCTCATCCCTGATATTCGAACGAGATGTCCAAGAGGACATACAGCCCATGCAAACCTCGCCTTCGATCCCCTCCCATATAATAACCGAAAACCATATCCCTCCTGCGCTGGAAGCTTCTTCCGCAGCCATTACCGACGATTTGGACCCGGACATGGTCGAGATTGTCACACACAGTGCTCATCAACCTGCCGCAACGAACGTTTCTGGTAACATTACCACCGAACACTCCCTGTCATCTTCCTTCTTCGAAGATGGTCGATTGCAATCGGAAGATGGCGAGGATGCCACATCTACGCATAAAGCGCCGGATCCAGTTGATGTTCGGCGCTTGAGTTTCATATCGTTTGCGGACGTTGTCAATGCTGAGCATGCGGAAGCCAACGAGCTTGCTACCAGTCGCGATTGTTTCCCAGTCGCTTCTTTCTCCTCCAACTCGGCTGTGCAAAACCGATCGCCATCGCCTTTGCGATCACCAACATCCTCCCATGGATTCGGGACGTCCCCTCCGACTAGTATCGCCCCGTCTTTCAAGGGACTCGATTTCTCTCCGACCCGGACTGGTTTCATGCCTGGAAGCCCCCCTTTGACCTCTCAGAGGCCGGCGTCTCCTACTACAGGCAACGAACTGAACGTAGAGACCATGCGACAGGCGCTGAGGAAAACAGGCAGTTCGGATGTTATCACTGGGAGAAGTCGACTTCCAAGTCCTGTGGGTAATGAGGATGTCTGAATGTGACAGGTCACCAGCTATCGATTGTGAATATGTCTGCTACTGTACCTTCTGATGTTATTGTTTGAAGGAGTCAATCCCTGAACATGTAGGAACAGTTACTGTGTACCTATGCTGATGATAATGGAGTCTATTAATGCTTCTTGATTAAGATGTCATCGATGTACTCCGCCGAGTGACATGACTGTCTATCTGCAGCTGAGGCTAGGCCGCCAGCTCATTTTATCCTCATCACTTTATGGAATTTTTTATACTCTGTATGCACAAGCAACATGCATAATGCGCTATTTATTCACGTCATTGTGCGTCTTATATAGTATCTCTTTGCTAATATGTTGAATCATAGTCTCTTCTCCCGTCAGATGAACATCCTCTAGAGCTTTTTCATACCTTGACCTCCGCCACGGCCTGCAGCGCTTCTTCGAATCGAGACCGAAGGTCGGAGATATCCTCCAAGCCAACACTTACCCGTACCAAGTCAAATTCCACACCAAATGATCCCGCCTAACAAGGTAGTTAGCTCAACAGCGTTCGCGAAATAATAAGGGGGAAAACGCACCCAGTCCAGCTCATTGTAATGTGCCAACAGAGTGTACGGGCAACTGTTAATACTTGTTATTATACCACTTCTCCGAGTAGAGATATGCACGTGTCTTACCTCAAAGTAAAGTTTGTACCGAGACTGGGTCCCTTTAGCACCTCCAGACGATCAAAGAACGCAACGGCTTGTGCAGTCGAATCGAACGTAACAGAAAATAATCCACCGTAACCTCCATCGGGAGTACGGAAGGCTTCGTATAGCTCCTTTGATGGGTTGTACTTTGGATAGTACACATTTTTGACTGTGTTATCAGTTAGGAACAGCTCCATCTCGAAAGAAATTCTGGAAAAGACTTACCCAGGGGCGACTCCTTCAACATGGCCGTAATTGCTTCTGTAGTACTGTTGATCTTCGCGATTCTCGACACGAAATCGCGGCTGTTTCTTTCCAGAAATACAGCATCTTCTGCCCAGAGAATGTCTTCATAATCATGGGCGAAGGCACCCTTCAGGGATTCATAGTAGCGGCCATGGGGGTTGAGAACGGCGCTTCCACCCATGACGTTACTATCTCCGCTGAAGATTTTCGTCAGACTGCTGACTACAATATCGGCATATGGTAGGACGTTAATGTTGAGGAAATTTCCCACGGTCTCATCCACGACGACGGCAAAATCGTACTTGTCCGCAAGAACTCGGATCCGTTTCAGGTCGGGAGTTTTGAGTAATGGGTTGCCCGGAAATTCGGTGAACAGACCCAGATATCTTTCGCCATTGCTCAATCGGGTCTCCAGATCGTCTAGATCTTCGGCTGAACCAAGGCCGTAGAACAGACAGCCAGGACCCCATTTCTCTAGAGTCTTTAGGGTGTCAGTATACGGGAACCCAAAACAGATGCTTTTCATGGGGCCCCGAGCCGCCAACAACATTTGGTGGGCGTTAAAGATCGAGCTCATTCCAGTGGGAAATATGAAAACGTCCGACTCGGAAATCCCTGCAATTCTACCTTCCCCAGTTTGCTTCTCAAGCGCTTCACTCAGTTCTACATCAGCCGTGAGGACACCCGCAATGCGTCTGCGGACTGCCAATTTCGCTTGATCCGCAAGCGAAGTACTCAGGTTTCGACCGAATCGTTCTTCGATGAACTGTCCATATTCTACTCCATCGCGTAATCCGCCGTTGCTGTGTGAGTGATCCGCTGTTGTTGTATGGGCACCACCCTGGGCCAGCCCATTCATCGAACCTTTTCCTTGGTACCTTCGCGGGCCTTTGCGGATCACCGGAGTGTCTGACACGGGTTTCTTTTCCACCAGAAAGCCGTCTCTTAGGGCACTGAGACAGAACTCACCCCGTCTGCTGGACACACCATTCCCTGTGTGCTGCCACACCTGTTTGGCGATTGACGCATAGTCCTTTGGATATATGACGGCAGACAAGAGCGACGTCACGGTAGGTGCCTCGGCTTCGGCGTGAGGTGCGGGAACGAAGTCAACAACGCGGACTTTATGCACTTCTTCGGCAGGAATCCTCGACAGTATAAACGAATGGCATACCCGTGCCGTTTTTGGCGAAGGAAACATAGTGGCGGACTCCAATTCGGGGTTTCCATGAAGCCGGACAACTTCAGATGCAAGTTCCTGGATAATTGGGTGCACAAAGAATCGGGGATAACCGCATTGCATCTTATTTACAACCCATGGCTCTCCTTCTTCGTATGCGACAGTGGCCTTCCATGTGGGCAGCGATACACTGACGGCCTGAGGAATGTGTCAGTACAAGTGAAGTATATAAGAATTATGGCGTGTGCGCTCTCTCCCGTGTCCCTTCGAAGAGAATATAAATACTTCCCCTGGAGACCCAAGGACATAATGCAGCAAACAGGGCGGGGTGGAGGAGGCCGTGGGGAATTGATTCTTACATGGTCGGTGTTGGGGGGCACGGTGCCTCCGACGTCCTGGAGCATGATGATCGCAATCCGGAAAAAGAATATTAGAATTGAAATATCGCAAACACACAGAAAGAATGGATGATAGGAATAATAAGGGAAAAAGGGTATGAGTAATAACTGACTACAGCATCCCACCTGCAGCTCTGCGATTTCGGCCCCGCGGTTCCCCACCAGCCAATGACGTGCTACCAGCGATTAGTTATCAGCCCGGCTTATGTAACTATCAGTAAAATCACGTGCGCAGCCCGTCGGAGATCGGAGTTTAGTTTAGCGGTCCGTTCCAATTTTTTTCTTTTAGGAAATTAAGCTTGAGATTTGCATTGCGGTGCTCATGATGGAGACGATATAGAACCGCCACTGTCCCCTTCTCGTTATCTTCTTATTCTCTACCTCATTGGAAAATATCCTCCAAGATGTCTGCCCATTCTGCGAAGAGGAGAAAAATCAGTCCCTCCCCAACCACTGATGAAGGCCCGGCCCCCAAAAGCTTCAAGAATGACCGCTCCGTAGCAGGAGCTTCAGGTCAACAGGGGAAGAGTTCGCGGTCAGCGGAAGTGGCGTTGGCCAGCGGATTCTACAAGTCGAGCTTCTTCAAGCTGCAGTTGGACGAGCTACTCTCCGATTCGAGACCAAATTATGACAAGCAGATTTCGAAACTCCAAGATATCCTCCACAAGCTGAAGAATGCCATTGAATCTCTCCCGGAAAGATCGCCTAAACCGGCGCTCGAAGCGGAGAAGGAGCTGCGCAGCAAACACGGTATCGCTGTTCCATACCCCGACCCTCGTCCTGGAAAGGATACGAAATACACTGTGTCGTACAGTCCGCCCGTCAATGTCAACGTCGTTGGGAGCTTTTCCCTGAGGAATGGTGCTAAAGCAGCTGCGCCGTACACAATCGACCTGGCCGTGACGATGCCGAGCTCCCTCTTCCAGGAAAAAGACTATGTCAATTACCGCTACTTCCACAAGAGAGCATACTACATCGCTTGCCTTGCGGCCGGAATCAAGGAAACGAAAGATCTAGACGTTGGTGTCAAATTTGGATTCCAAGATGGTGATAGTCTTCGGCCGATTATCATATTGGAACCTAACGATTCAGCAAGCAGCGGCGTGAAACACGCGAAATCACAAATCCGCGTTATCACCGCGATCAAGGATGACCTGTTTCCCATCACGCGAACTCTCCCAATGAAAAACAACATTCGCCAAGGTTCAAAGGACAATCAAGAAGATGGGCAGCCGACTCCCTATTACAACGCCGCTCTTCGCTCAGAGGCTACTGTCGGACTTTTCCACAAGCTCTTGTATTCGACTGCCAAGAACTGCGAGGCTTTCAGGGACGCTTGTATACTCGGTCGGACATGGCTTCGCCAGCGCGGATTTACGTCGTCATTCCAATCTGGCGGATTTGGAGGATTTGAATGGGCCGCACTCATGTCCCTCCTCTTTGAGGGTGGAGGCCCCAACGGTAAACCGGTCCTTCTAAAGTCATACAGCAGCTATCAGCTCTTCAAAGCCACCATGCAATTTCTTGCGGGAAGGGATCTCAGGACTCCGTTGTTGCTTTCTGCAAAGGATATTACTTTCCCCGATGGCACACCTGTCCTCTACGATGGCAAGAGAGGCTTGAACGTTCTTTACAAAATGACCCCTTGGTCATATACGTTCCTCCAACATGAAGCCGGAATAACTCTCAAAATGCTGAACGAGTCTCGAGACGACCATTTCGAAAAGGTCTTCATCTTGAAAGTGAACGAACCCATGCTTCGCTTTGACAGGCTTGTCGAGCTTCCAGTGACAGACAATGGAAATACGCTCCAGGCCCTTCGAAACCAGAACTCTGTCTACGAGGTGCTTGGTAGAGCTCTGGGAGATAGAGCCGAGCTCATATACATTTCTGGCCAGTCTCCCAGACCCTGGCCCCTGGACGCAAAGCCTTCGCGAAGTAAGACCCATGCATCTATATCCGTGGGGCTCATCTTGAATTCGGAACATGCTATGCGCGTCGTCGACCATGGTCCATCCGCAGAGGAGAAGGAGGAAGCGGCGTCTTTCCGGACGTTTTGGGGTGAGAAAGCCGAATTGAGGCGTTTCAAGGATGGTAGCATCCGAGAGAGTCTTGTTTGGTCCGACCAGCCTTCCTCGCCCTCCATAGTGTACCAGATCGTGGTATACATTCTGAACCGGCATTTCAATTATGTTGAAGAAGACGTCAAATACGTCGGCGACGAATACGACGATCAGTTGAGGACATGCGGCCATGGCGTGGTGTCATACTCCAGTCCTGCATTTCAACTAATCGGAGACGCTTTCAATTCACTGGAAAAGTCCGTCCATGCCATGGATGATGTCCCCCTTACTATCAGACATCTGGCTCCTGCCAGCCCGTCCCTTCGGTATACTTCCCTCCATGTCCAGAACGGCTCGACCGTCACACGTAGCCCAGTGGATGTCGTGCTCCAGTTTGAAAGCTCGGCGCGGTGGCCCGATGACCTGACAGCCATCCAGATGACCAAGGTGGCTTTCCTTGTCAAGATTGGCGATTCCCTGACATCATCCGGTGTCGCTTCTACATGCAAAGTCGGGCTGGAGAACGAATCCAGCCAAATCCTCAATAACGCCTTCCTGGATATCGTCCATGAGTCCGGCGTCATCTTCCGTTTGAGAATTCATCATGAACGGGAACAGACATTGCTGGAGCGCCAGTTGAAGGAGAAGGGAGCGAGCCCACAGGCCAAACAAGAAATCGCTTTCGCGTTATCTGCCTATAAGCGGCTTTTCAACCAATCCACTCGCCTGACACAAGCGATCCGCACATTGTGCACGCGCTTTCCTCTCCTCTCGCCGACCATTCGTCTCGTCAAGCATTGGTTCAACTGCCATCTTTTCACCGGTTATATCAACGAGGAAGTGATCGAGCTCTTGGTGGCACGGGCCTTCACCCAGCCTTTCCCGTGGGAGAGCCCCTCGAGTGTGATGGCCGGCTTTTTAAGAACCATCCACTTCCTTTCACGATGGGACTGGCAGCAAGAGCCCTTGATGGTCGATCTGGGCGGGGAACTGACGCCGGAAGTCATTGAGACCATTCGCACTCGTTTCTCTGCCTGGAGAAATATCGACCCGGCCATGAACAGTCTTGCCCTCTTTGTCGCCTCCGATATCGACCACGACGGCGTGACATGGACGCAATACGAGATGCCACCGAAGGTTGTGGCTGCTCGGATGTCTAGCCTTGCCAAGGCAGCGGTGAAGCTGCTGCGGGAGAAGGGATATGCCCTCGATATCTCAGAGTTGTTCCAGACGTCTCTGGAGCCTTATGATTTTATCATCACTCTGCGCAGCAAGGTATTGGACGGCCGCTCAGCATCATCGACGAAATTCAAGAACCTGAACCCAGCCCTGGGAGACCCTGCCTCCAACTCGACTGTCGTGAAGTCCTTCATCCGTGATCTGCAAGCCTGCTTCAACCCGAACATTCTTTTCTTCCATGGAGACGAGTATAGCGATGTGATTGCGGGACTTTGGAACCCGCAAACCACAAAACCGAAGGGTTGGAGCCTGAAGACCGCTTATTCGACGATTCCGAGCGTGCTCGAGGATGCAGAGGCGGAGCATGGTCAGGTCTCCATAAATCGTGATGCTATCCTGAATGAAATCTCCCGGCTGGGCGCAGGCTTAGTGGACAGTATTCGGGGCTAGTCGTGATCATTTGGTAGATAGAGCTTTGTATGTTCATGTATTATACCTAATAGCGCCGTTGCAATGCAGTTGAAGGTCCAAACAGAAGCAATCAAGAACGACCAAGACAGCGGACCAAACACGTGAAATGAAAGAAAGACAAACATATAGTGGCAGAACTGGACTAATATAGAAAAGCATTATCTGACATTGAATTTTTGCTGCTCATGCGCCAGGTGCAGACTTCTCAGACTTCTCTATTTGAGCCTGGGAAGAGAAGGAGCAATACTTGTCCTTGATCGCCACAACTTCATACGTTCCTTCATCCGAGGTCTTGATGGTCTTCATGTGCTCGTAAGAGATATCATGTTTGATGTCAAGTATCTCTGGTTTCTTTCCCTTCCGGGTGTTCGAGCTCCGGATGTACCTATTACTTGGTTAGTTCTGCACAGTAAATATGAAAACGGAGTAGCAGGACATACGTGAATTCAAACGGCGGCGTTCCCCAGAACTCGAAATTGAGCTCGGCCTCTCCACCTTCGTGTATATCAATCACAGAAGTTTGCCCTCTGCTGATTCTAACGCTCGGCATCTCGTGAATGGTCTTCGTGATGTTCTTGTGGGCCTTGCATTTTCCGCTGGCTCCGTCGCTGACACCGGTGATGGTGAACACGCCGGGCCTTTCGGCGATACGACGGAAGTTGGTGGTCCGAGACGTAGCCTTTCGGGAGGCTCCATCGAATGTGTAGAATACGTCAAAGGGTGCATGCCCAGACAGAGAGAAGGACAGGCGTTCCCCAACACAATAGTCCGTCTTGGACTCAAGAGGGATTATTGTAGGCACATCGGAGACCGCCACTCTCACAGATGAAGTGTCGAACTCGGTTGTCCGTTGACAACCTCGCGCATCCTGGACCTTCCGAATGCTGACAACATGCTGGCCGAGATCAAGGTGGCGACGCGGTATGGGGAGATTGTGGCGGTTTGAGTTGATGTTAGGGATCGACACGATCTCCGGTTTGGCCTTCGAATGATGTTTGATGGAAATTTCAAGAGCAAACGGAGGCACGCCTTCGAGAGTGACGGGGATCAACTCTTCACCGCTAACGTCTTCCTTGCAGAACCCGTAGATCCGACCCGGAGCGTCGAACCGGGCAGATGGGAGAGGATTGACGGTCTGAGTGACGACAACCGGGACGCTTCGGGGGTCATTATCGTAAAGGTTATCGCCGACGCCAGTGAACTTGTAGGTATAAAGGCCCGGTTCGGAGGTATCCATTTCTATGGAGGTCGCGTGAAGGGCGGTCTTCACACTCTGCACCCGCATAGAGGGGGAACCCCGGGCTGACTTGCGTTGTTGCTCATATCTGATACTGTAAGGGGGGTTACCTGACAGACGAATCTCGAGACTGTCATCCACACCCTGACAGACATCGCGCTTCTCCAGGCGACCACTATCTGAGACAGGCGACCCATCCACAGCAGTGATACGCGGACGAGGAATCCAACTGATCTCGAATGCATTAGCTGCAGGGTCCACGGACCCAGGGCAAGAGGCATCTGAGACCGAGAGGAGTTCATAGCGACCTTCTTGTCCCACAGTCAAAGCACTGTTCTCTTGCCAGAAGGTCTTCTCCGTGGCGGAAGAATCCGTGTCCGTCTTGTATCGTACAGTCCAAGGCCGCTCGCCGCTCAATCGAAGAGGAATATCGATTTTTGAGCCTTGCAATGCCGAATAGCTTCTGCTCTTCTCAATTTCACCGAATGACGCGCGAGGTGGCTTGGAACGAGCCTGAATCTTGATACTATCCTTCAAGGCCCGCTTACAGTTTGAACGATCCTTGACACTTGTCAAGACAAGATTGTATTCGCCGCCACTCACAAGCTTATCCGTCACAATAGTGGAGACGTCGCTGTCCGATTCCAGAACATGCTTCGTCTTCTTGCCATTATGGACGAGCTCGTATTGCAAAGTCCAGGGTGATTCGCCAAGAAACGCAACATCGACGGACACAGGCTCTCCGAAGCAAGCCTTTCGCACTTCCCTTGAACCCAGGAAATGAGCGGACGCCGGCGGTTTCACGTCTTGTTCCAGAACGGGGGTTTTATCTTTGAGGGAACGGGGCGCATATACAGTGTCTGCGATATCCAGGAAGCGGTATCGATACGAGCCCGCTTCGGAGGGAGTGAAGTCCAGTTGAGTGCGCAGGCCATCAATGGTCTGTGACTTCGTTTCTACCCCTTTGGAGTGTTCGATAACATACCGGAGTCGGAAAGGCGGAGAGCCGGTAAGATCTAGGTCAACGAGCAGCCCAACTGGGTTATTTGCACATTTATCGAAGACCTTCTCGTATTTAACGGTGACTTCCGGCTCTGGCGGGTTGTGCAAAAAGCATGACGACGGTTCCAACACCTCCCCAGAGCAGAATTGACTGGACACCGAGTTCAGGTTGTACCACCCAGACTCTCTGATCTGAGGTCTTTGGTTGAGGCTCTTGAGAGTCAGCTGTCGGATTTTACCAGGCGAACCATCCTCGCTCTCCTGGTCACCTCCGCTGAATGAGTACATGAGGGAGAAAGGTCCATCGCCCTCATACCCTTGTCCAGACTGGTGGAATTTGAGGGGAAGGTCGACGTTTTCCCCGCGTGCAACTTCAATGAAATGCTGGGCGTTGCATCCGGAAAGGGACAGTCGTGGTCTCTCGTGGACAGAGAACTGATGCCACTGAGATTGTGACTTGGTGGAGGGCCGGTCAAGTTCATCTAGCAGGGTCGAGTAATTCGCAACGTTTCCGCTGCCATCATGCACTTCTTCAATCGAGTAAAGCCATTCTCCCCCGACATTCAATGACTCGTTCAAAGGAAGCTCAATGACCTGGCTTTGGGCCCAAGCTACATCCGGCTCTCGAGCATTGAACAGAATGCCGGAGTTTCTCTGGCTCAGTAGAGGAGAGCGGAGATGGTCTGGCTGGATGTTCTGGAACGAAAAGCCCCGATCAAGACGGTTCACTTGTCTGCTATATTTGATCTTCAATGGTGGCGTGCCTTCCACGGTCAAGACCAAATTGGAGAGGTCACCCCTGCACTTGTGCGTATGCGAATTTTTGATCAAAGCGCGTGGACACGAAACCACGAGCGCATCCGATACTCGCAAGTGAACGTCAAGGTTGGATTCGTCCACCACCCTTTGGAGACGGTAAAGACCGGGACGCCGAACGGGTAGCAGAAGATCACGATGCAGAGCGTCCGACGAAATTGGGTGGTGCTTTTCGGAATGGCGCTTTATCTGTTTTAGCTGCTTGGAGGGGTACGATATGGTCTCATTGTCGCCGGTGTTGAAATCGAGACGGAACAGCTCGATTAAAATCGGGTCGGTCTGGTTGATTCGGATTGGTAAACTGACGGCCGTGTTTTGGGAATCGATGCAAAGGGGGACCTGATCGGGGTTCAAGGTTGCAGATCTATGATAGAGTTATTAGTATGTCGTATTTTTTGGGGATCAGCCGGACGCATACCCTTCTGGCAAAATATGAACGATTTGCTTTCCGAGAATCAGGGAAGCATTGTGAATGATATCCGCTGGCTTGACACTTCGCTCCGATATGGACAACTCTCGGTCGTAAGCCACCTTGATCATACTCGTAAACCACATGCCGAGAGGGATCTGAAAAGAGCATTAGCTTTCATCTCAACCCCGTTCAAGAGCAGGGTTATGCGCACCGGAATCTGGAACATTAGAAATATATTGCCGGCTACATGGAGCAGGAAGAGGGCCAAAGTCGTGGGGAAGGCCCATTCTAACCAGGGAATGCGTAGGGCCTGCAGGCCGAAGAGGAAAACTCCGTCAATCGAAGCCCATTTCAAAAACAACCATGTTGAATCCAAATCATCCGAAGCTGTGTATGACTCGTAAAGGCGCCAGGCGTTGAGAGCGATATAGAAAGCGACCACGTAGAGTCGTTGGGATGGAGCGTCGATTAGACTGACAGGAATGAGCGGCGAAGGCGCATCGGGAGCGGTGGGGGGCGGTGGTTTGGTCGGGGATCTTCGTTGGACAGCATCTCTAGATCTGGGCTTTGAGGTCGGAGTGGTAAAATCTCTAGATCGCGGAGCAGTTTGAGGTGTCTGGGGGAACGCAGACCGAAGTCGGGGAGTCTCGTTCATGGCATGCTGTGGTCGCGGGCCTTGTGTTCCCACGGATGAGATGCGCCTGCGAACACCAGGGATGAAAGAGATCGGCGGATGCGAAAGGAAGAGAAGGCTGAAAGGGGAACTGGTTACAATGCCCAGTCAACACAAGAGCGAGTTCGTTGTGGTGGGTGGGAGCAGTTGTCGAAGGAGCGGTAGAGGGATGAAGAGAAAAAAAAGCTCTCCGCTTGGTGGAAATCTCTCCCTCACCTGTTGAAAACACGGGATCTCAGTTCTAAACTCTGGTAACCAAGACGATGGATGCGCGTCTAGCACGGATCAACATGCGTGGAAGAAGTAACACCGACAGGGCCGTCGGAGGATGTAACGAGGCAGTTTGTGGTATAGAGAGTTATGGATATGGAAGAGAAATTGCGACGAAGCTCTGGACGCGTGGAGTTCGCGTCGGGACGGGAGCTCCCCCGCCGGCCAATCACCTCTCGCATCATCATGGACCATCACAGTGTATTACTTCCTCTCCTCTACTTCCTCTCGGTGATGTTTCTGCACGAGATTCAACTCCAGTATTCTTTAAAGGATCTAGATGTCTCCATGATACCCAACTAGACCATTCCTATCACACATTCATGCGGTATTCCTCCAGGACCTAGGACCCTCTAGGACCCTTATCTTCTATCTTTCCTCATTCTTTCTCCCCTCATCCAACTGATCGGGCGAGTGGTGGTCAAGATGACCCAGCGCCCGAAACGGAGACGTCTGAATGCCTCCAATCAATCAGACAATTCCCCCGAATCAGAACATGACCCCTATCGGCCAGCAACACCTCAGGAAAAAGCACAGTGGAATGGCTTCTGTGAGCTAGAATCCGAACCCGTATGATAGCTATTCTCTTAGCGTCCTTGGGTCCATATGAACTGACACATGCAAGGCCCTATTCAATGTCATGCTGCGCGAGTTTGGGGTGAAAGGCGTCAAAGTCCAAGAAGTGGTGTCACTAGATGACGAGATGATGGCTCTTCTCAAGTAAGGATTTCTAAAACCGTTCCTAAATGTTGCTAACACTCTACTAACAGCAAACCTGTCTACGGCCTAATATTTCTATTCCGATGGCGGGAGGATGATCCCGAGAAGCAAGAGGCGAGTTGTCCAGAAGGCATATGGTTTGCAAATCAGGTCTGTCTACACGCTATCAATCTAGACTTAATGTCTGAGATGGCTACTAATGCTCTACGTCAGACCGCAAGCAATGCCTGTGCCAGTGTGGCGCTACTGAATATAGTCAATAACATCGAAGAGATCGAGCTGGGGGAGCATCTTCAGCACTTCAAAGACTTTACGATGAAATTTACTCCCGCGCTCCGCGGAGACGCAATCAGCAATTTTGATTTCGTGAAACAAGTTCATAATTCGTTTGCAAGGTATGTATGGCCTGGATATAATAACCCCTAAATTTGATCCCATAACTGTTAACTATGGAGCAGGAAAATGGATATTCTGAACTCCGACCTCCAACTCAAACAGGAGACAGCCTCTCGTGGCTCCCGCAAGGGCAAGAACAATCACTCTGACCAGGATTCAGATGCCGCATTTCACTTCATCGCCTTCGTCCCGGCCCGAGGGAAAGTATGGAAATTTGATGGCTTGGAACGCCAGCCTCAAGCTCTCGGTATGAGCGCCTCGTCTTAGACAGACCCGCATCAGTAATAACCTGCATCACAGGGCCATGTACGCCCGACGACGACTGGCTGGAACTGGTCAGACCCAACATCATCACCAGGATGGCCGAGTACGAGGAAGGTCAAATTCAGTTTTCTATCCTGAGTCTGGCCAGGGACCCGCTTCCAGACCTCGTCAAGAAGCTGGCTATCAATGTGAGGTCGCTGGAACTTCTCAACCAGCGCATCGGTTCCGAACGAGAACGAGGTTCAGACTTGGGATTTGCGGAGCCGCTGCTGGAAAACACACTACTAGGTCCTGATGCGAGTTACGGCTTGGAACTGGACCAGATCGATCAAGCTACTGTAGCCCCAGAGGAGGTCGAGACATACCAAAAATGCTCAGTGGAAGAAGCCATACAAGCCCGGAAACAGCTGGCATTGGCGCAGGCATCACTACGCGTGTCGATCCGGGAGGAACAGCAATCGCATCAGGCCGATGAGGACTATGCTGCTGGACGGAGGTATGACTATGGACCGGCGGTCAGAACGTGGGTGCGATTCTTGGCGCGCAAGCGGAAAATTGAGGAACTGATGTAGGTCATGTATGTAGCACGCCAGTAATGAAGATCCGCGAGTGATTGAGAGCATGCGAGAGTCTCAAAGAGTAAGAAGTCGCATATGATTCTTTTCTTCGCATTCAAATGCCCGGTGGGTAGTTGGCAGAGGGGAAAAGGGAGAACTGCTGCTGTACTACATCCGTCCTCGTGATGTGCCGATTGGATGAGAGCCCGTTTCCGCTCTTTGCAAAGGTACTCTTGACCTCCTGGCGTCAAGGGACTCGGGACAGTGAAATACTTCCAGATTCTTCCATGCTGGCTGATGTTCTCACTCGCTCACTTCTCTCATCATTGCGGCCCTTCTGTCATTTTCCGTAAGAGCTCACTCCAATCGGTCAGCCACAGAACCCTCGGTCACGAAACCCTTCTCAGGCGATCTTCAAGGTCACTCGGTCTTCTGAGTCTGACCAACGCTCCCTCGGCATCTGATACCGACGGTTGAGAGTCTCCCCAAGAGACAAGAGACAAAAGACAAAAGACAAAGAGAGACCGACGAACGGACCCAAGAGTCGGTGACGTATTGCAAACCGCCCCCTCTCCAAACGAGGCAAAAAAAGGACGGACGTCACCGCCTGCCCGTCCGACACCCGCTTCGTTTCAAAGCGACCTCTCCACTCCCCAAATACATTAACCATTCTGATTCCTGCTGTCAATACGCCCTGTGGTTTGCTGGTCAAGTCGGGCAAGACTGGTCTCTTCCTGATAGTTCTCTATCTCCTCGTTGGTTCCTGTGTTTGCCCCTGCTATTGGTGACGGGTTCCCCAATCTAGAGCCCGCATCGGACCCTTGCGCTGGTCTGTCTGTCGCCACGAACTGTTGTTCCCCCCAACAACAAAAGGAAAAATTAATACTGTTGCCTTCCACCTCCCAACACTCTCTATCTTACCAGTTTCGAAATGTCTTCGACCGCGGCATCGGAGGCCCCCGAAAAGGCCCCTGACGACTCCTCCAAGCTCAAAACGTTCCTATCTATTTTGAAAAAGTATGTATTGCTGTGATAGCTGGCGCCGTGATCATGCTAACGCTATCGGGTGGCGGCTAGGTTCATCGGGGTGGCTGATATTGCATCTGTTCGTTTCTCGTTGCCTGCACATCTTTTGGAGCCCACTCCCAACCTAGGTAGGTTGTGATCTTCTCCATGCCCCGGTGCAGTCCCGCCACGTGAGATCAGACGGCTGACCGTTTCGGAATCGTTACAGAATACTGGAACTACTTGGATCGGCCGGAGACCTTTGCAAGGTCAGCAAGATAGCCTTTGATAGCCCAGGCTTGCTTTTTCTGACAGCCGTGTCGCAGTATTGGTAAATCGGATGATCCGCTGGGTCGGATGTTGGAAGTGTTGAGGTTTTGGTTCACCAAGGATCTGGTATGCCTTCATGCGTGATGATAAGGGATTGTTTTCACTAACAGGCCCAGAAATACATCAAGGGAAAGCCGTGCAAGCCCTATAATTCTACCTTGGGCGAGTTCTTCCGGGTGCGTCATCTGTCTTCCGAGGCTACCTGGCTCTCCTACCCTGGACTAATATATTTGCTGAATTTAGTGCACCTGGGAGGTCGACAACATCTTACCAGAGGTACCCGTGAAGTCGACTACCGCAAATGGCAGCTCTTCTGTCACAGACAGCCACGAGGGGAAGGCCAAGATATGTTATCTGACTGAGCAAACGTCACACCACCCTCCAGTGTCCGCCTTCTTCATTGACTGCCGCGAGACAGGCGTTTCGGCTCGTGGATTCGATCAAATCAGCGCCAAGTTCACCGGCACGAGCATTCGCGTCACGCCTGGTCAGCACAACCTGGGAATATTTGTCAACATAGAGAAGCGGGATAATGAGGAGTATCAGTTGACGCACCCTGCTGCTCATCTGGGTGGCTTGATGCGGGGAGCACTGACCATCTCTGTCTCCGACACTTGCTACATCACCTGCGCCAAAACGCGCATCAAGGTGATTCTGCAGTACCTGGAAGAAGGATGGATTGGTCGGGCGCAGAATAAGGTGGAGGGAGTCATTTTCCGGTATGACCCAGACAATGACACAACGACGCGTGTCAAAGACGTTCCGGAAGGCGACGTCCTGGCGAAAATCAGTGGGTCGTGGCATGGGAAAGTCTTCTACACGGTGCCGGGCACCAACGAGCCCCAGCTCTTGATCGACATCACCCCTCTCTTCCCGGCTCCAAAGAATGTCCCGCCAAGTGAAGAGCAGCTGTCCAATGAATCCCGCAAGTTCTGGTCGAACGTCACAGAGGCCATTCTAGACAAGAGGTACAGCCAGGCGACCAAGCTGAAGCAGGAAATCGAAGAACGGCAACGCCAAAAGGCTGCTGAGCGGCAGGAAAAGAACGAAACTTGGCAACCTCGGTTTTTCACTGGTGCAGTCACGCCGCTGGGAAAACCAGAGCTCACAGAGGAAGGCTGGAAGGCCCTTGAGGGGCTTCGTCATGATAAATACACTTTGGAGGAGAGCACAAACAAGGGTGCATAGACCCCTTCGAACTGTATATGGATTGGACGAGTTGGCGTACATGGTGAAAGAACTGATGCATACATCTGCTGTTTGGTCAATTCTATCTTGCGTTCTGGCCCTTCCCTATGTTGGATATAACACCTACACACATATCTGGTGTCCGTTCCTTGATACATGTTATAATATACTTTAGATCTCTTTTCGGTACAGAGTCAGCTGGACTTCACTCGTTGGGATTGTGGAGAAACCTTTGGAGCATGTTCTTCAATGCAGATTAGCAGCAAGGTTATATATAAACTATCCATGAGTTATTTATCCAGTCCACAACACGATGCTACATGCAAGTCTATTAAAAGGCACATGATCAATTGATAAGCGTCACCTGTACAACTCCTGGATACATTCCGGGCGCCCAATGCTAATAAAGGAAACAGATATAACCCCGATATATGACTACTTATCCATGTCAAACAAGTCATCATCCATGACACATACCCAGAGCGCCCGCATGCCCAAAAAGTGAGAATATCCAGATACCAGCTGTACAATTCCATGAGATTAACAACTTAAGAACTTGCCGTGACGACCTTGTTAAATCCAGCGCTGACCGTTTTCGTGATCTCCTCATTCTTATGAGGCAGGAGGGACAAGGCGTAGGCCACATCGTTCCATTGTCGCTCAGTCTCGCAACGTGGAAGTCGTGCAGCCAGCTTTTCTGCGAGCTGACGAGCGTGTTTCTCCTGAGTTTGGTGTGTGAGTGGATAAGACATACGAAACGTGCTTTGGTTGCAAGACTTACCTTCTCAACAAAGCCAATAAGGAATTTGACAATCCGCCGCAACGAAGCCTCCTCGAGGTTGCGTTCTGCACTTAAGAGACTGAACATGTCTACAAAATGGTTGTACACAGCATTGTCTTTGGTCGCGAGTTCCGTGAAGAACATGCGTGCCAGGTCAGCAATTCTCTTATCGTCATCCTCAAGGCATTTGGCCATCTCGCCAAGCTGTCCCTTGACCTTAACCTGTCCAGCCAGGATGAGGAAGGTGAGCGTCATGAGACACGTCCGTTTTACTGACGCGTCGTCATCGTTGAGGCGGCGATAGAGGAAGTCTGTGTTCTCGTCGATCAGATGGTTAAAGCACACAGCCATGTCTCCAAGCGCAATGACAGCGTTACTGCGGACAGTAGGGTCTTCGGAACGCTCCATGATAGTGATGAGCAGAGGAAGATTCTTCTCGCAGTACTCTGCCGAGACGCACATCAGCTTGGCCATGCACAAAGTGGCCGCAGCTTGGAGGTTACGGTCAGAGTACGTGTTGTTGTTCGCACAGATCTCTGCAACCAACGGCCCGAAGTTAGACAGCAGCGAATTCTCCCCGTACAGCAACTCTCTTTCCCGAATATGCGTCATGGCATCTGTGAAATCGTCCTCGGTCGTGCCACCGATGAGATCTAGTTCGTCGTCCTCAGCGTTTTCCTTGTTCGCCTGAGACTCTGCGCTAGCAGCCTTATTCTTTTCCTGTTCGGCTTTGCGACGCTTGAAGTCAAGCTCACACAATTCCAGGTGCACGATCTGCTTGATCGCGATATGGCCTACCACAAACAGGAGCTGAGACAGAGCAGCAGATGAAGTAGTGTTCCTCGAGCCCTGGCTATCTGTGGAAGCTGTTCCAGGACGTTGCTCATCTCCGTCGCCAGACCCCTTCGAAGAGGGTCGTTGCAGTTGAGGTTGAAACACAAACCTGGTCTTCCGTTTGAGGATATCAGAGCAAAGGACATCGGGGTGTTTCGACAGCGTATAGATGGCGTTAATGGCCTGTTCGGCTACACCATACCACTCTTTGCTGTCGGACACAATTTCCACCATTGCTGCCAGCTTCATCAAGACAGGGTGGTCATTTGCCAGCTTCGGGATTCCGGTTTCCTTGGATTTGGCCTGGCGCCCTGGGACCATTCGCTTGAGTGCAATGCATGTATACTTTGCAAGGATCAGATCGGATCTCCCCAAGCTTCCCAGGCCAATCCGCAGCATTGCCTCAATCTCTTTGATGACAACCTCCGGGTCAGCCAATGCGAGCATACCAAGGACAATGATCGAGCCTCGTCGTTGCGTCTTTGAAATCTCCTTCTTTTGGATACCATAGACTTGCCATAATTTCGCCACGACAGCCTCAGAGACATGTCCCGCCTTCATCATAGTACTGAGAAGTTGCTCCAGGCACGTGAGTTCAGCAGGCGTTGAGCCAAACGTCAGACTGATCATGTTGCGCGCAATGTAGTTGGCTGCGTCGTTGGGGCTGAATGAGTCTGGAGCTTCGAAGAAAAGCCCTTTGTAGCAGTCAATCAAGTGGGTCTGAACACCTTTTCCTTCGTCGCTATTGCCCTTGGTCCAGATGAGTCGTAGCATGCGTCGGATACCGCTTCGAGCCGTTTCAACCTTGTATGCGTCGAGAACGACGAAGAAATCCATAGCTTCAATAACCTCACTTTTGTTCCGGGACGACAAGAGTTGCGATACATTGCTGGAGGCGGAATGAAGGACTTCAATGAAACGGATGGCCTCGTTATAGTACTTCCGGGTTAGCTGCAGGCGTGCCAGATGCTCACTAGTTGCCGCTTGTTCTGCAGCCTTTTTCGCTGCTGCAACCTTTTCTTCCTCGGTCATACGTGGTGCTTTGGATGGCGAGTCGTCCGGCAGTTGAGTAGCATCGTCCAATAATTCACTGTCAACATGTGTTCCCTCTATTCCATCAAAACCAGGTGTCTCAGGGGGCCTCAAAGCATTAAGCTCCGCATCCACATTCTCCAGTCTGGCCATCCACTCCTTATACGAAAGCTGGCCGCCATGCATGACACTGAAAGGATGGGTGGAAACCAATTTGGCAAGTAGCTTGATTGCGTTGCGTCGCACATTGCTGCTCTTGTCCTCCAGGCTCCTTGCCGCTAGCTCTGCAACAGCTTGTCGTCTCTTGGGGAATTTCTGCTCCAGATCGCAAATCCTCATGTAGACCTGAATGGCTCGGCACCGACAGTAAGGGTTGATGTCCAGAAAACGCTCTTCCAGCACATCGAAGAAGGCGTTTATTTGCGTCTTATAGTTATCGCTTCGTTCCTCCTGCCGACTGAGATCTGCTATAAGGTTTCCACAGACCTCAACCACCGCACATCGAAGCGTGTAAGACTCGCTGTCAAGTTGCTTGGCTAGGAGGGTCATCTGTTTGATAATCAATCGTGGAGCAAGCTCCGAGAGCTTGATAATAAAAGCCGACACGGACTTTGGGCCGCGTGTATCATTCGAGTTGAACTCCTTGTTTCCAAGTTCTCTGTAGAAGGGTTAATCACATGCAACTGCGGATCTAGGACTCGGAAGCTCGTACTTCAAAATCTCATCCGACAATTGCGGATAGTCATACTGCTCTGCGATGATATGCAGAAACTCGGCCATGGGCTCGGAAAGATGTTCGAAATATGTGAGACTTTGTACAATGGATGTCTGGGCACCTGCTCCACGTTTAGTCTCGTTGATCAACGCCCATCATAGGAGGCATACCGAAAGCGTGGCCGTGATGTTTTACAGCAATGCAGAGAACCTTGAAAGCATGCATACGGACTGTCATGCTTTTAACACGCTGTTCGCTCTCGAGAATCAGATAGACAGAGCGTGTAAAGAGATTAATGAAAGTGTCACGATCCGACGTCGTCATGAAAATCCTGCTTAGTTTGAGCTTCATGACCTTGCACATGGTGTCCATGGATATTTGGATTTGCGCAGTCCAGTCCCAGTTGCCGTCCTTGGTAGATTTCAACCTGGAGGACTTTCCAGCGCCTCTCCGTGCGGGCGCAGCCTCTGCAGGTTTCTCCGCCGCTTTGACTTCGACAGCGGAAAGAGCCCACTGAAGGAGAAAGCCGTACATCTCCAGGAGTTGTTTGTGATGTTGAATACCATCTTGCTCGTCGGACTCCAAGTCTCCATGGATAATATCTGCTTCAACCGAGAGCCCGGAGACAACCAGGTCCAGGAGTTTGCTGAGGGACTTCGTTGGGATAAAGGAAGAATATCTGCAGAAATTCAAACGTTCAGAATCGGGTCCAGCAGGGGTAGAGGCATCCATGTGTGGATTGGGGGCCAGAGCGCACTTTAGTAGAAATTGTAAGGAATCAAAGAAAGATGGTCTCGCCAGTCCTTCAGGATTCTCGGCCACCGCATCGACGATGGGGTTCAGCACATTGTCAACCACGTTCGGCGAAAGTTGATCAGGGTCTGTCTCGCAGTCCAGTAATTCGGGATCAGCGTCGGGTGTGGGAATAGAGGCGGGATCACTCAAGTAATACTTGAGTGACTCGTTGATATCGAATTCGATCCGGTCCTCCATGGCGGGCAGGCGAGGAAAGCCCTCGGAGGATGCGCGGGAAGGACGAAGAGACGGTTGGTGAGTTCGTTCACGGGAGAGAAGGTTATTCAGCAGATATACCGGAGAGAATAAGATGTATTAAGGGGAGAGCGGGGATGTCGGAAGCGAGGGGTGCTTGGTGATGGGGATGATGGCGCTCTTGATGATCGCGGAGGAGGGGAGAGCCGGAGTTCAATTTTGGTTTGTTTGTATTTTGCCCTTTCGGGGGCGGAGAGCGGGCAACGGCGCTGTTGATTGGCGGGGAAGGTGTAATACGGTTCTGTACGGCTGATGACGATAAACACGACCCAGCAGATGCCATCAACGGTATTGTGTACAGTACGGCACTGTTTGTCTCGAAATTTTGTCTCGAAAACAAACAAACAATATCGAGCCTTCAATGATCTGTTCTGTTCAATATTCTACCAGAACATACCAATGACATTCCAATAATCACCGCCATCAAATTGTCCAGGTGCTTTTTTTTCCTAAATGGCATGCGCCACACAAATCCCACATCAACCATAACCATTGCAGATACGGTACATCGTCACCGGTACGCGATTACAGAGAGCATTACCGCTCAGAATATTCAGATCTACTAGGAGTGCCGCGGTCTCTCTGCAACCCTGCATCATTGGCAGCGCTCCACATCCACTCAACGCGAAAAGAATCGTCCTTACGTGTTACACGTCACTATCTACCTGCAATTGCCTCGCTCACTCCGTATCGAACGACCTCTCCTCCGGCTGGGCGATCTTGTCCCGACATCCCGACATTGTCCAACGCGATGTCCACGCTCCACGCGGCCCCTGCTCGTGACGTTTTCGATATCCACAAGTCGGCTTCTCTACAGCCTTCTCTCGCGAGGCCTTCGAGACACCAGGATGAGGACCGAGGGGGCACAGATTCGGATGCCCCAGGCGATCGGCGTCGAGAAGAGAGTGACAATGAGGAGGAAGAGGATGTTGACGATTCGGTCAAAGAAGACATGAAGAGGCTCGAGGATACCTTTCCGGGTATCTCTGATCACTTCAGACTAGTGAACAGGATTGGCGAGGGTATGGTGACCTTGGACACGCTTGTGCTTCATGCGTTCTCACCATTTAATAACAGGGACTTTCTCCACGGTCTACAAAGCAGAAGATCTATTATATGACGACTACCGGAACGATTGGGATATGTTTCAAGAAAATCAACAAGCAACATGGGCCAGTCCCCCGTCAAAGCGTCGCCGAGTCGAAGGAGAAAATGGTTCACTAGCGGTCAAACGACGAAAACCCCGTTATGTTGCGCTCAAGAAAATCTACGTGACAAGCAGCCCGCATCGCATTCAGAACGAACTCGAACTTCTGCACGATCTCCGAGGATGTCGATCCGTGTGTCCTCTTATTACAGCCTTCCGTCACCAAGACCAGGTCGTGGCGGTCTTGCCCTTCTTTCCTCATACCGACTTCCGCATCCAATATCGCACCTTTCTAGTTGCGGACATGCGTCATTACTTCCGGTCCTTGTTTACCGCGCTACACTCGGTCCATAAACACAATATCCTTCATCGAGACATCAAGCCAACGTAAGAATTCATCCGAGACCATTGCATTCGTTTTCTAACCGGCTTGCAGCAACTTCCTGTATAATCCAGACCTTCGGGAGGGTGTTCTGGTTGACTTTGGTCTCGCAGAGGTAAGTCCCTAGGCTCTGATTTCCTCGTCATGTACTCATTGGTGTAGCGGGAGGGATCCGAGTACACGGGCACCTGTTTGTGTGCCAGCCCGGGATATGTTCGACGTGGTCGGCTCATGCAAAGTTACCACTATACCCACTGCTCGCCCACAACACCATCGGCAGGCTATCCCAAGAACGACTCCAGACCCTCCAGACGGGCCAACCGAGCAGGGACGCGAGGTTTCCGGGCTCCTGAAGTTCTCTTTAAGTGTACCTCTCAGACGACGAAAATCGACATGTGGTCCGCAGGGGTTATTCTTCTCACCTTACTTGGACGCCGGTTTCCCTTCTTCAACTCTGCGGATGATGTGGACGCAATGATCGAGATGGCAAGCATATTTGGAACCCGTCGTATGCGATCTGCGGCGGCCATGCATGGGCAGATATTTGAGACCAATATCCCAACGATTGGAGAGAAAGGATACAGCTGGGAAAAGCTCGTGAAGTGGGCCAGCTGCGTGGAAGAATTGACCGAGAGCGAGAAACAGGCTACGCGTCTCTTGAACGGCCTCATGGAGCTCGATCCACACAAGCGTTTGAGCGCCAAAGAGGCTCTGAATCACGAGTTCTTTACTGATCCCATCGACCATGATGTGGAATGGGGCGGTCTCCCTGACGACAGTGGAGAGAACACCGGGGAGGAAGATGATGGGGATAAGGAAGATGACGAAGCTGATGAGGTTGCGATGATTTGATCCGACAGTCACGAACAGTGCATAATAATGATACCTACCATTAGCATCAAGGGAGTTTAGAAATACATCATGATATGGGACTACAAGTCATCGCGGCAATATATAGTAATGGTATCTTATATTCGGGAGATCATAATTTGGGAGGTGAGCAATGCTCGCCCATGCCATCGTAAACGGAGCTCCATCTCGAAGTATATACTGCCGGACACCTAACATGTACGTATAAAGCCTCTGATCGGCCTGAAAAGCCAAACTTAAGCTGCTTCTCCGAAGTCATAGTGTCCCGTCTGAGTCGCGTGTTGGGCCGCACCTTTTTCCCCGATCAAAACAGCACCGCATGTATTGCAGCGAATGCGGAAGCCAGCGGTATCCGTGTAGTAATGTTTGCCCTGCAGCACCTTGCAGAGCTCCAACGCTTTCTCCAACACCACCGGATCGGCAGCATCAAAGACCTTGGTATCGAACTCGGGAGGCGCATACGCATGGGTGAACGGAGGTTCAGACGGCGACAGCGCAATCGTATCATAGTGGATACCGGAGTAGACCAGGATACACCGGGTGCGAGGGCCCTCGTTAAAGCGATCAACGCGCAGGGTCTGTACGTCGATTGAGCAGATCTCGATGTCGAAATGCTTGCTCAGAATGCTAAGCTCGATTCCGCCGCCCCACGAGTCCTCGTTCTGGATCCAGCGACAGTAGTCATCGGGCTTCTTCTCCAGAACCGCCTCGGAGTAGAGCTCCGGGTGTGCTTGGATTGTCTGAGCGACCACCGATCGGAGTTCATTCATCGTGTCCATACCACCCATGATGGCGCTGCCAACCGCGCGAAAGAGACAGGAGTTGTCGTCGGGCATGATCCGTAGGACAAAGGTGCCCCCATGGTCGGGGGATGCGATCTCCGGCGGGTCATCGGAGTCGCCTTTGGGGGCCGTCTTCTCGAGCGGTTGTGATTGCTGTTGAGTTGGAGCTGTCTCTGAAATGTTTCCACTTGGTTGTTCGTCCGCCACGCCCTCCTTCTTCGTCACGATCAGCTGTTCGCCATTCAGTTCGATTCCCAGGTCCGTGATCCGGAGGTCCGCAGGAAACTCGTTCAGCGCAAGTGGTTTGAGGTTGGGATATCCATATTTCACGTCGAACTGCGTTAATCCGGTGTTGTCTGCGATTTGAGTTTGCAGGTCGCCCACGGTAGCACTGTTGTCCAAAGCAACAGTTGCCTGTCCGGATGGACCGCGGATACGGAGTCTCATACTCCTAGCTAGGGTGGGGGAGCGGACGGGGACGTTGGAGAGGAAAGTGACGGTAATTTATGACAAGAGACGGTATGCGCTTGAGCCGGAAGAGATGGATATATATTAGAAAAGAGGGAGGAAGTGGGGGAGGAGGAGACGATAATAGAAGACAGGGTTGGAGAAGCAGCATGCGGTGGTGAACAAGGGAGGATGATGTCGCTTTAACCACCTCGCATGTGGGGCACAGACGAGCGCATTCTATGTCTTGCCTCTGTCGATTCTCTTCAATCCTGGGAGTTCCATCGTCGAGACCATTGGCATAACTAGATAATTTGAATTGATAATAGATAGTGGAATGTTATGGTTCCCTATAGAAGCAATCCGAACCGGAGGAAGGAGGAGTACTTCTATGGTACCTGGAGTCGACTGCGATTCTACTAGTAGCGGAGTATCTCTGTGGTACCTCTCGTTTCTTGGATTTCCCCGCACGAGCGATGTATTCCAAACAGAGCTTCAAAAGAGCTCTCTCCCCAAGGATAGTCGGTTCAAAATTGAGCCGGCGTGTTCGCACTGGATCGAAGGACCCCCGAAGTAGATCGACTGGAATCCTACTTACCAAAAACGACCACTGGTACCAGATTTCTCAGGCATCAAGGAACCACGTCCAGTAAAATTACCGCGTATCGCCTCTGTAACGTAAGAATCCAGCAAAACACCGTGGCTGACTCAGCAGCACCTGGTTGCGCGAACTGCCCAGCCTCGACCTCCTCTCTCTTTCTCCTGTCGCAATTTTGCGCTCTTGATTGTTTCTTTCTTTCTCCGTGTCAGACCGAGCTCAGCAAATACTATACGGATTGTCGGGCTGCGAAGAACGGTTCGAGCGACATTTGACCGCTTTCCCCCGCGTTTGTGCCATTTCTCCGCCTCTGCGGCACGGTAGTCGCCTTCCACCATGGAGCAGGAGTCGGCGCCGTCGCAAGTCCAATCTGCGCCCGAGGAACCCGTCAAATCAATTGAGGGCGATGGAAAGGGTGATGGGACGGTTCCCTCCGGGATTACTGATGAACAATGGCGTGCCATGATGGATGTTGTGATGGCGATCTACGATTTCAGAGAAGAAGAGTGAGCTACCTCCCTTTCGTCCGACCTTGGTCGCGTTCAATGTCAGGCTAACCAGGTCGTCTTTCGTACCGTGAAGTGGACATGATCCGTCCAAATTGTTCCAGCGTAGCGTGAATAAACGAAACGTCCCAGATTACTACGAGATCATCAAGGAGCCCATGGCTCTGAGCATCCTAAAACAGAAGATCAACAAGAGAGAATATCGGCATTTCACGGAGTTCGTCCGAGATTGCGCTCTGGTAATTATCGCGCTGCTTGCCTGCGGAGATATTTAGCTGACCTTCCAATTTGCAGATTCCTCATAATGCGCAAACCTACAATCGTCCCAAATCTCAAGCGTACGAAGACGCACTAGTCATCAAGGTAGGTGCCAGAGACTCATCATATGACATATTGATGTCACTGACAAAATGCCCCAAAACAGGACGTGTTCATCGCGGAATTCCAGAAGCTGGTAGACCAAGGAATCATCTCCGCCGAAGACGCCGAGCTTCCCGACTTGGGAGAAATTCCAGAAGCCGATCCTTTGCCTGAGGAAGAAGAGGAAGAGGAAGAAGACGAGGAAGATGAGGAGGACGAAGAAGACTCCGATGACGACGGACGACGGAAGAAGAAACGCGGACCTCGTCCCGGAAGCAAACGTGAAGGCGGCAAGGAGGACGGCCCCAAATCCACCGACCCAGAACAGCGAAAAAAGAGAGGTCGACCGCCGCGCGTCGATACCCCGATGGAGGCTAGGATCAAAGCGGTGTTAAAGGGCATTCGGAAGTTGAAAGGTCCCAGCGGGATGCTCAAAGTACGACACTTTGAACGTTTGCCCGACAAAGCCGTCTACCCAGATTACTACATGGAGATCAAGGAGCCTATCGCGATCGACATCATCAAGCGCAAGTCCAAGCGCAAGAAGTATAACTCCGTCGACCACTTCATGCGCGATATGGACCTCATGTTCAACAACGCCAAAGCCTACAATCAGTCCGAAAGCCAGATATACAAGGACGCCGTTGACCTTCAGGCAGAAGCCCGAAGGCTGGCCGATCTGGAAAAGAAGAAACCTGACAGTGAGTACTTGATGGAGGACGGACGTCTGCCCTTGCCGGACGGCATCCTCCACAAGGGCGAGCTGTGGAAGGTCGGCGATTGGGTACATATTCAGAACCCGAATGATGTAACAAAACCCATCGTTGCCCAGATATACCGTACCTGGCAGGATTCGGAAGGTGACAAGTGGGTGAATGCCTGCTGGTATTATCGACCGGAGCAGACAGTTCACCAGGTTGAAAAGCACTTTTATCCAAATGAGGTGGTCAAGACCGGGCAGTACCGTGACCATCGGATCGAAGAAGTGGTGGACCGATGCTTCGTGATGTTTTTCACTCGTTACAGCCGCGGACGGCCAAGAGGACTGCCTCCTGACAAGGAGGTTTACGTTTGCGAGGCTCGTTACAACGAGGAGAAACATAAGCTCAATAAGATTAAAACGTGGGCAAGCTGTCTGCCGGATGAGGTGCGGGAGAAAGACTACGAGATGGATCTGTTTGACGTGCCGCGGAGGATCAAGAAGATCCCCAGTCCGATTAAACATCTACTCAAGAGTGATGCAAAGGAAACAGACGATCTTCCGAAGCCGACTTGGGGAGCTGAAAATGCGCCTCCGATCGTTGGCGCTGTCCATTGCCGTCCGCGAGACGAAAATGTGCGTTGTTCTTTTCTTTGTTGTGATGTATGACCCTGTCAGACTGACTTCTGATTTTATCATGTAGGATTCTCCTCCCCCAGAACCTACACCCACACCGCCGCCATCACTCCCGCCGCAGGCCATGCCTTCCATTCAACGACAGCAGTCGATCCAATCATCGCACCGCCCAAGCATAGACAGCCCTGGTCTACCTGGGGCTACGCCCGTGCCTACACGCTCGCCAGCTGCGCCACTCACCGCGGTGCAACAGTCACCAGTGGCCGTTCCCCCAGTAGCCTACCAACAACCTCAGGTACCGCCGGCGCAAATGTACCAGCCCGCTCTACAACGGCGAGCTAGCGGCTTTGCGCCCCATACCCCCAATGCGCCATTCCAGACGCCTGGCATGCCTCATCCATACGCCGCTGCACAGCCTTCCCCATATACACCGTACCAGACAAACCGCATGCAGGTACCGCCAGCCTCGATGTACAACCCCAACGCTCCCCGTCCTATCGAGGTATTCCACCTGAGCGATGCAGCCAACGCGGCCATCCCGGCCGATATCAGGGAACAATTCCACTGCGATGACTATGGCCATGTGCTCTTCTTCTCATCCCCGCCGCTGGACATCACCCCCTCCGTTCAGCAGAAGCTCGGCCACTCACTCAAGTACCTTGCAGCGAAGGAGGAGCGTCGAAAGCTGGTCGAGGCGCAGAAGCGCAAGGAAAGAGAAGAGCAAGAAGAGCGCGAAAAGAGCGCAAAACGTCAACGGGCCGACGAGGAGACGGCGCTTGCAGCCCGGGTCGAGGCACTGACGTCCAAAGCCGTCGATGTCATGACGAACCAGGTCATGAAGGGGACGGACACAATCTACGAGATTCTCTATCACGACAATGCGGCGAAGGCGAAGGAAGCCGATGCAAAGGCACGTGAGCAGAGACTTCTCGCGGAAAAGGCAGCCCGCAGAATCACCGCGCAGATCCAGGCGCAGTCAGAGAAGGCATCCTTTGTCAGCCTCAAGGGAAGCGCGCTCTACATGGATGAAGTTGACAATGGGCCTTGATTGTCAGCCTGTGAGACTAAGAATGATCGAATAAGGTAGGATACGGAGGACTGGATACCAGGAAAGGGCATGGCGCTTCGTGCAAGGATCTGTAGGGGTTAATCTAGATATGTCTCTGTCTCTTCGGCTAGGAGTCATTGCGGTTCTAAGCCTTTCATCGTGTACACTAGCGCCGGTTTATTTCTACGAAATGCGAGTAGTCAGAGAACGACCTGGATGTTTCCTAACATTGATCATGTATCATGTCAATAACAGTGTGCACACCATTGATTCTCGAGGGTTATCCTCATTTCATGCCTAGCTCTATCTAAGTCCAACCAAAGCCTGTTGCGCAGGTGCATATCTATTACCATGCGGCGTCGCATTGTCAATAATTCTGCGCATTTCCTGTATTTCCTCCGGCGTCAACTGAACACTACGCGACGCCCAGTTCTCCTCCAAGCGGTTCGGCTTCGTTGTACCCGGGATAGCAATCATCCGTTGAAGTTCTGAGTTAGTAATAATTGAATTTGTACCATTAGTACACTGGCCTGATTCCTTCTACTAATTATACATTTTACCTTATACAAGGCCACCAAGGTAGAAACAACCTCCCCCCAAAAAGCAAACCAAAAAGTTTTTAACCCAAAAAAGACCTCTACATCGGCTGCCCCATATTTAAGGGGCCAATCTGCGGGGGCCTTTCTTGCTCGCCGCAACGATATCCAAAAATTTTTGCCCTTTTGGGCAATGTTCTTGCTGGATGTGTGTGGCAGCGGATCGTGGACTATACTATGAGCTAGTAACAATCTTAGCCAAATATGTTGGTATGATAAGCGAACCAGAAGACAGCCTTTCCGTCAGGGACTGCGACCGCGGCCGGAATGAGACCCTTCAGGCCCTTCGGCCAGTCTTCATTGTCGAAGGCGTCATATGACTGCATGGTCTGCTTGTCAGGGACATCGTATAGGGGCTGCAGGTTCTTCTTGATCCAGTGCCGAGGAACCGCCCACTGCTTATGGCGAACAACAATTAAGGTAGCTCTTCGGGACACTCGGTATCTCGATTGAGTTTGATCTCAATATACTCATATCTATGAATGGAATGAGTATACTGTATGATATTCAGTTAGGGAATATGTGCTTTACCTTCTTCTGGTTTTGAACCAGAAGTTAGTAAAGATGCATCCCGCCGTTGTGAAGAAGATGAGATAGCAAAACCCCTGTATTATAGGGGCCCAAACAGGCTGCCCAGGCATGCCTGGGATTGGAGCCGGCGCTGCGGTTGGCCAAGTTGGCGCGGCAAAGGACATATGGCGTGGAAAGAAGCTGTTGGGAGAAGAACAGCGAAATGCGGATAAGGCGAACGATGGCTGAAGATGAAAGGCGAGGAAAACGGAGGAACGATGTCAAGGGCAAGTCTACGCACACGGTGCCTTCCGAAATCTGTGGACTGTACGGTTTCCTAAAGTAGGTACATGGATCAAAGAAGAAGGTAAGGTAGGTAAGAGATTAGATTGTACACGAAATGTCCAAAAAAGGACTCCAATCAAGTGAAGTTAGCGCTCGCCTCTTTCCCAGATAGTCACTATGACCCTACACTAAAAAAGGAAAATTAAATGCGGAGAGATCTCGTCAGGATCGAATAAATCACTTCGAGCTGTCGAATCACTGTGCATCCCGTGAAGCCAACCTTGTCTAGATGGTGAAGAGCTTTTGTCCTTTTGGAATAGTATGCAAGGGACCGTGGATGCAGAAAAATCCCCGGTGATCGCTGAACCGTTCTATGCAAAATGTCCGCCAATGTCGCTGAAACCGCGGGTCGGTTGCTATATTCATCGTGGACTGGTACCGCCAGGTACGAATATTGTGATTACCCTCTTTGTTCCTTTTGTTTTGGTTTTCGTTCGTGAAGCCGTATCATGTCTCCTTTGCTCCCGACAGGCGAGCTTGACAAAGAGCAAAGCAAACGTCGTTGGAAACGACATGCAGGATCAGGACTGGAAGCCCGCTGCCCTCGTCGGAGTCGAGTCCTCCTCGTTGGAGGAGTCGGTCTTTGAATTACCCCATGAAGAACTGCTTCGTTTGTTGTTCTCTTCCTCCTCCATGGAGAAGACCAAGTCGCTTTGCTCCTCGTCAATCTTGCTCGTGCTGACCGGCGAGCGATCCATACGACTGCTGGGGCCGACGGACGATGAGTGACGAGCCGATCCCGGGTGCAGGGACATGCTACTCAGCTGTGCAGAGAGCGTGGATGTCGACTGTCGCGACGGAGTAGACCCGAACGGCGAGGCATCTTCCGCCACCTGCCGGCTTCCAATGGCGCCCAGACCGGGGCTTGTGCCGAGGCTCAGCGCAGACTCACGCAGAGGTGAGCCAACATGCGGGAGGGAGGTACCGTGGGCATCCTCTTCCTTCTTCTGGCGTTGTTTGGCGAACAGAGCGCCGAAGCGAGATGGACTGGACGCCAGAGGAGATCCGACCTTGGAGAAGCTAGCACTGCTCATTCCCAGGCCACCGAGCTCGTGATCTGTGCGAGACAGGCGACGGAGGCGCTCCTGCGGGGTTAGAACGTCATCGTGCAGATTCATGGGCAGATAGTCCTCCTCCATCGGGAAATTGCTCTCATCCCAATCATCCAAGGCAGTGGGGCGGGGCACACTAGCGGACAGCATGCGCGGCTTGACAGGTCGCGAGGAGTGTAAAAATCGGGGGCCGATGCCATCCTCGGGGATACCCGGCGGCGAAGATCCGATGAAGGACGAGGAGGGCTTTCTCAGGTCTGATCCATAAGCGGCGTCGCGAAGGTTTCGAAGCGCGTCGGAGGGAGCTCCGATTCTCTGAGCGGGCGGAGACGATAGGTCCAAGCCGAACTTGGAGGGCATAGAAGCGGCAACGGGGCCATAGCGAGCGGCATGCGAGATACCCTGGCTGTCAAAAGAGGCGGGGAGCGGAGCATCCAGGGCTGTCAGATGGCGGTGATTGGGGGACATGGGGAATCGCAGGTCGTCCACAGGGGATCCGTACTTCGATCCGGCGTCGGAAGCGAGACCTGCGTCGATCGTCGGGATCGCATCGTAGGGTGGCTGCTGCTGCTGCGCATGCAGATTCTGAAACTCCTCCTGCGGCGGTAAAGGATGGGCGTAACGGGGTTCATGACCGTTCAAGCGCTGTTGCGACAGCACCGAGTTCGTCAAGGCGGAATCCTGATTCACATAGGCCTGCGGGTTGACTCGACCGCCCAGATTCAGATGACTTCCGCCCATGCCCATACCGTTGGGACGGTTGACCCGTCGACCATCGGGGAGAATATGCGCCAGCGCACACTTGGCTCCGAATTTGCAGTTACCCTAGAATCCAGTCAGGTCTGCTCGCAGGTGTCCGAACGGCGTCACATCGTCTTGGCAGAGGCGGGGGGCCGATGCCCGACAGCACATGGCAAGATCGTACCTTGGTGAAGTATTTACAGGGAGCATAGTCGATCGCGGCATCAGTGGAATGTAAGAATGGACAGGCAGGACCGGCCTGGCAAGCTCCCTGACGGAAGAATTTGCAGGGAACATGCTTGGTATCTGTGGTGGCGGAGGTTCCCCGCTATGTCAGCGCAAGTCTCTGAGGAACAGTGACGGAGAGGAGAGTCCTTCCAGAGGAGGAAAGAAGAGACCGCAGCCGATAACGGTGCCCAGAATGAAGCAGGGAAGGGAGAAAAGCGAGAGATCTCTTACTGCTCTGATTGGGAGGACTGCGGGCAGCCATGTCGAAACCCGAGAGATTGCGGGAATGACCGTTCTGCTGCGCAGGCTGAGACCCGGCGGGAACCGGAAGAGGCGCACGACTTTTCATGTCACTGGGAGGGCGATTCAGCAGACGGGAGGAGTGGGAGGAGGACGAGACGGATGGTGGAGGACGAGGAGGCGGCGGCGGCGGCGGAGGATGAAGAGGAGGAGGAGGCGGAAGACTGCGAGACAACTGCATGAAAAAGAATGAGCCAACTGGGGCGGCGGCGGACCACAAAATCCGGAGGGGTTTATCGGTCCCGAGTGGGGAATGGGAAAAAAAATTGCGAACAAGGTGTCTAGCAGAGAACAATATAGAGAGAGAAGTAGGGATAAGAGAATGGAAAATATTCCTGATGGATTTCTAGATAGTGGACAGAGTGGGAGAGAAAGGCGTGAGAATCGGGTTGAGCAGGGAACGAAGCCTATACATATAGACATCGCATGGAGGATATATGCTTCGTCAACCCCCTGCGCCTGATGAATAGGATGGGTCAGTGTTCACATGGGGTCTTGTATGTTTCTTCTTGTTTTTCTATGTTTTTTATTTTTCGAGAATGCTATCTTCGTCATCAACTATGGGCATATCCAGGTGGTGATAGTGTCTAACTGGAGGCCCAAGAGAGATATACCCAGTAGGTACCTAAGATATATATTCATCCAGAGGTACAGTACTACCATGTCTACCTTACAGCTCTTTCTAGCCTTGTCAAAGCATCAGATCAGTACACCGATAATTCAACAATATCAGCAATACTAATCAACCTGCAGGAGTATCACAACAAGACAAAAGCAACCCAGCAAGAGACCACCGAAAACAAGAAACACAACGAATAGGAAGGTCTTTCTTTTCTTAGAAATAACTTGAAGAAAAGAACGCGCACATGACGCCGTCCATGCACCCACCGACAACACGAGTCAGATATAGATCGAGCCTCGACGTCGTTCGGTGGCGTCATAAACCCCCTCCACCGCGCGTTGACTTCACCACCTCCGTTCCGATGACCTGGTCGCGGCTGTTCATCTGATGATCCCCCGTTCGGGCCCTAGCACCTATTCAGCTCGCTCCCTCCATTGACTCTCCGCCTAACTAGATCCCTCTCCGTCTGGTCGAATCACCGGATCTCCTCCAGCCAGGGCGGAAAGACCGCCGATCCTGTCTCCATTCCCCACACGTGCGGATTCAAGCAGGACCCGCGACACCCGTCAATAATGTACTGTACTCCGTACTACCGCCAACTCCAGACGTGACCGTCAGGCATGCACATCGCGGCTCAGTCATCAACAAAGACACGGTCCTTCCAGCCCCAACGACTCCTGCGCGCTCCAGTCAGTCCACCGCTCATCGTAGGGAAGCGAGATAACATACCCAGAGTTCTTCGGCGGTCATATTGTCGGGCAACACCTCCGAGCATCGTAGCCATAAGTCACGACAGATTCGGCCCCGAATGCGCGCCTGTCTCTGCCAGTATCGCCATTGTCGCTCGATCTCTGCCCGTTCGTCCGCAGACACCTGTTCCTGCTCGTCGCCGCCGTGGAATTGCTCCAACTGGGCAAGCAGCGATTTCTTCTCCTGCTCGAGTTGGTCGATGTCGCGACGGAGTTCGGAAAGGAGGGGTCTCGCGTTCAGGGCCGCTAGTTCCTCCCGTGCTTGTTTTTCGTCCTCCTTCAGCGTGGTGAGTTCCTCTTGTAGTCTTTGGTGCTCGTTCTGTAGAGCCGTCATGGCTTCGGGGGAGGTGTCATTGCTGGTCTCTTGTAAGGCATGGTAAACTGCTTGTTTCCCTAGAGGTGCGTGAATGAGTTCGTTAGGTATGATGATCGCTGGTAGTTAAAGGTGGCTCACCAGAGACGCGGGCTTCAATCTCTTTCCGCTGGTGAAGTTCTTTGAGTACTTTTGCTGCTGCACCTTTGGTGACTTTATTGTGTAGGTTGGCCGAGATGTCAATTGCCTAGGTCACAACCTGTGAGTAGATGTCGCTTCGACGTGGGCGCACTGTTGTCTGCAATTTGTGGTCACCTACCGAATATGGCCGACTATCCCATCAGATAGAAGGTTAGCATAGGGAAGACGGCTGTGATCTCGTTTCTGGATGGGCCATACTTTTGCTTGCCTAGACATGGTCATGTTAGTCTTTCGTTGATGCAAGGCCTCTTGCGCAGGAGCACGTACGAAGATAGTCAAGGATCAACGCAGCGCCATCATTGCCTCCTAAGGAAGTTAGCCTGCGTACACTAGGCTTGACAAATATTCGGACCATCTGCATTAGAAGTTTTGTCTTTCTTGTTCTTTTTGTCGGCCATGATTGATAGTGATGAGTCTGCGTGGTTAATTGTCTATCACGCTGCGATGGACGACATTGCGGACCACATCCTTCACTTCCCTGTTCTCAACTCTCACTTCACTTCACCTCACCTTGATCTTTAAACCTCACCTCCCCTCACTGTCCGATCCTTCCACTTTGTCGCCCAATCATCGTTCCATCACGAGAAAGTCTCTCTATTGTCAAAAACAGCTTTCTGTGACCAACGTGGAGGGTGAAGGATAGCAACTCGTCCTCGCTGAGAGCAGAGAGCCGTCAAATACCCTGAAGAGAAAAGCCTCACGATCGCCCCAAGCTTCTGATTGGAAGCAACGCGACTTCTCAGCATACCATGACACCGTAATCTGCCCTGCAAAATCACCGGACCTTCAATATACGGAACCACGACTCTCGCAGCGCTCTATAATAAGCTATGCAGGTTGCAGACCTTCACCGAAAGGGACCAGGGCCGTCGGTCTCAGTACATACCGTGACATATCTTCCTCTTCACTCCGTAATCTGTTTGAACGCCTTACAGTCGACAGAGGCTGTGTCTTGAAGAGGAGGCTCAGGACATGAGCCAGCTTGATACCGAGCAGGCAGCTGAAGAAGAAGTGCTGAAATATGAAGAAAGAGCGAGAAGGGAAACCGGAGAAAAAATTATCTATCCTGTAGGGCAGCACGAAGCTGCCTTAACCAAAGGGATCATCAGTTGAATCCAACCCGTGCTGATTCGACTCAAGTTACCGAAGGAGGAACTGCTGGCCAGAAGAATAAAGCAAAAAGGCAACAGATTTCACGGCAACCTACCATGCATGCCTCTCCATCCCGAAGCATACATGAAAATTCTTACTGAAGATAAAGTAGCCGCTATCGCTCAGCAACCCCCTTCATTCCGTCGAAGCTACTCTAGATGTTTTAACAGAGATGGCAAAACCATGGAATTGTCCTTCCACATCATATTCCGTCGCGGTAAGGACCACAAGTTGGTCATTCCAGAGGGAGGTTTCCAAATCACTTTCATATCTCTACGGCGCTGGGGAGGTATGCGCCGGCTGGGTGACAGGTTTGAGTGAAGAACCGGCCGGGCAGGCCCGGTTGTATAGAATAGGTATATACATGATTGCGTGGGATTAGCTACACGCGAACCAAATAAACCGCGAAGGCGAATGCGGATGAATCAATGCTAAAACAGAAAACAGTAGGTAGACCCTCCGGATCTATGCAGAGCCCAGAGCAAAACCCTCAAAGCAACCCTAGATCATGCATGACGAACTTCAACCCAAAGAACCTGGAACAAGATAAGACTGGTATAAACAACGAATGCTCAAGAGTATGTGGACAGAATGGATTAATAAGATATAGCGCGAAAACATGAGAGAATTTGGAGAAAAAGGTAGACGCAAATCGCCACGTAGATCTACCATCTGACTTTTCTTTGCGGATATCCCAGAGTGAATACCTGGACCTGAGGCGAAAGGCTTTCTCAGGCCATCGAAATATGAAACAACCGAAATACTGATGCAAGAGCCCGTCGACTCAGGGTATCACATGACGATCTAGGAAGGTTAGTATCAGATACAGATTAATGCAATGGAAACGTATGCAATGACACGTACGCAATCGTTATCTTTCTGGACAGTGGGAACTCCCATCTCCTCGAACGTCTTGGGTCCTTTACCCGGCAGACCACCTTGGGACTTTGAAGGCTTCTGACTGGAGGCGGTGGAGGGCGGCTTCGACGACGACGACGTGCTGGGGGGCGAGGGCATGGAGTCGTTCCGTCCAGGGAAGTTGGCAGACGCGGGCGAGCCCATCGGTCGAGGGGATCCGACGGGCCCCCCGTGGCCGGGAGAGGCCGGCGTCCGCGCAGGTCGTCGGTCAGGGACCGCATCCAGCCGCTGCGGGCGCCTCCGCATGTCTTGGCCACTGGGCTCCATTGGAGCCTGATAACCAATATCAAGTTTCGGCGTGGCGGACGTTGGACTGGTCGGGCCCGCGCTGGACGGAGTGCCCGTGCGGAAGTTCTGTTGGGGTCCCGTTCCCGGTCCATACGATGCCGCTCGGTGGTAGTTGAGAGCGACAGGAGAACGAAGGTTGGGGTTGATGCCAAACGCCGAGCTGGGTCGGGGATCCGGCATGGAGTAGCCCGACGGAGGATACACGGGCCGCGCACGCGATGCTGGTCGATCTGGGTAGGGGGCGGCACTCGGGGGGTTGTCGTTCAGGCTCATCCGCGAAGGATCCGGCATCTCAATGGTTTCCGACACGGGCTTGCTCGACAGGTTGGGCCGTTGGGCGGACCCATAGCGCGATTTGATGCGCGCGATGGCCACCTGTTCGTGATCCTTGCGAGATAGGGTCTTGGAGCGGGAGATGCTGTCGATCCGGCCAGACGCATCCTTGTTTCCGCTGGCGGCGGCCTTTGCGTACCAGCTTCGAGCTTCCTTGATGTCGACTGGGACGAAGATTCCGACCTCGTAGAAGTAACCCAGGGCGAATTCGGCGGTAGGGAGACCGCTCTGAGCGGCACGCTGGGCATAGGTGAATGCCAACTCATCGTTCTTGTCGAAAACCCCCTCGTGTCCACAGAGGAACCACTTGCTGATGGCCATTTCAGCCTCCGGCTCACCCTGGCGTGCGGCCAGAGCATTGTAATGCAGCGACAAGGCCGGGTTGAAGTCGCAGCCCAGCTGACACAGTTCGTACGCAGCACCCATCTTCACTTGCGCCTTTGCAAACCCGTGATAGGCGGCCTTTTCGATATTGACGCGCGCGGCGTTGAGGTCCAGAGGAAGGAAGGTTTCCGGCACGTTCACCTGCGGGAGCTCGCGCGCGAGCAGCATTCCGTACACCTGTATAAGAGCCAACGTTAGATGTCGCGCCGAATGAATAGAGGGCGGTGACGCACATAAGCACCTTGGGGCGCATTCTCATCGCAGGACTGCGCCGCGAGACGGATGTAATCCAGCCCCATTTGGTAATCCTGGCGCTGTCCATGCTGTCCGAGGAGAATCATCATTCCGAGACGCTGTGGGAGAAGACTATTAGTATATGCTCCACCAGCCTCAACCCACCACTTAACTTACGTAGAATGACGCAGAGTCGGACAGCGCGACACCCTTTTCATAGTGACGGATGGCCTTTTCTGGTTCGCCGGAGCTCTCGAACTGCATTCCGATGCGATATTGGGCGCGGGCATATCCCTTTTCCGCCGCTCTGGAATAAGCGCGGAAGGCCTCCTTCTTGTCCACGCGATAGCCAAATTTGCCAAACTCCAGCCACATGCCCCTGATGAAATCGGCCTTGGGGTGGAACTGGTCGGCGAGGAAGTTCACAATGTTCATGGCGTCCATCTTCAACTGGCGCTCGACGGGCGGGGTCTGCGGGCGCGGGGGCTGAATCAGGGACAGGCGGGCTTCGTTCTGCATAGCGATTTCAACGTAGGCCAGGGCATCCTGGGCCCAGGCCAATTGCATGTCGGGGTCATTGGACGACAGCACGGCCAGTCGGGCGCGCTCTAGACTCGCTTCGCGTTGTTCGTCGGTGGGGGGCACATTTGGCGGGGGGTTGCGCAGGACGGGAAACGCGGAGAAGTTGGGCGCATCCATGGAGTCGTAGACGGCGGCGGATTGCTCGTAATGGGTGGTGGCCTCGTAGCCCGATGGCACGGGATCGCCCTGAACGACGACGGCGGTCGAGGAGGAAGTTCGTTCGGGGAAGCGAGACCGGTCATACTGCACGGGCATTTGGGGACCCCGCTGGGGGTTCCGGGCTTCGTGCTCGAGATGGGCGATGTTGTCCTGCATATTCTCCGGGACTTCAGGCATAACCCTGCAGAGAGGCAAACAAAAGGAGGGACGACGGTCAGCACATCCACCAGAGGGGTGAAACGGGTGAAAATGAAAGGATGGTGTGGGGGAGGAAGAGGGGGGAAGAGAAGGAAAAGAAGAAGAGGAAGAATAAGTTGGAAGGCAGAAACGAAAAATATCTTTGTTCCCCGGTCCAGTCAGGTCAGCTCAGCTCTCTCTCACACACGCACCTTTGAGGGGAAGGGGAGATGACTTCTGGCATGTAAAAATCATCCTGGCCCCCTGGATACCAGGTCGCGCCCAGCTGTGGCTGACCACGCCCGTATGGTGGCCGATGCATTATGGTTTTTTTCTTGGTCTAAAAAAAGACGAAATTAAGGAATTTTCGATTTAATAATTTTTATTGAAGGGGGGTTCTGTTTTTGTTCTTTTGGTTCTCTTTTGGCGTTCAAACCCCCTGCCAATTGATTGGGGTCCCTCTTTTTCCTTTTTTTTCTTCCGAGACTAGCAGCAAGCTAATCTTAGGCCTGTTGGGTACGTCTAGGGGGAGGGAGGGCAGACGGACCAACCGGCACAGCGAGGGAGTGGACGAGGTGGGGAGTGGGAGAGAATAATAGAAAGATGGAGAGGAAGGAGAAGCATGTCGGAGATGTCGGCGGGTTAATATCATAGTCGTAGGTAACTATAGTACTGTTGACCATATCACGAATGGCGGGGCATTCTGGTCAAGGCGGGGTCCGGCACATGTTGAAAACAGGGTGGCCTAATCATTCACCCATGTTTTCCTTCTGACAGAGGCGCAGTCGAAAGTGTCTCTCATGGATAATATTAGTAGCGTTGAGAGAGTAGCTTGAGCTGACTTTCGTATTACTAGACACCATGTTGAATGATATTCATACCAATTCATATTAACAGAAAAGTAATTGGAAGATCCCTTGAGGACCAACACTCGTATCGGTACACCTCCGTACGGATAACTCGTATGGAACTGCAGCGTGGGTCCCCCGAACCCATTATTTATTTTTATCCCTGGTTATCGTCTCTTGGACATTCCTGACGCTTTCCAGAAGCCCCAAGGAACAGTCAGCTTCCTTTCTGCGGGATTCTCCTCGAACTTGAACTTGGTCCTACCAGTACTTTGGTCTATTGATAGTCAACTATTAGGACTAGGCATAGGGCTGTCTACGAAGTCTTATCCCCAACTGCATAATACCTAGGTAGACAATTGCTACCAGAGATGGAAAACAGTGGGCCTACACTGGCAGCTCCAATCATCGCGAACCAAACATCAACCTCAGGGTATTTTCTTGGCACTGACAAAACAGCTTCAAAGCCATTATATTCCATTATTATTCCTCCGCACAGGGATCAATTCCCGCCCCATCTCTCCCGTCGCATTCCTGCATCTTCTTGGAGCTCCAAGAGCCCACTATTGACCTAAGTGACCATGGAGCCGTCGGAGGATACCTTTCACCACCCTTATTCGCCATATGATATCCAGCTCCAGTTTATGCGGGCCCTCTACGCTTGTCTCGAACAGGGGAAAGTCGCCGTATTCGAGTCTCCAACAGGTCAGTACTCACTAGTCGGTCTTGCCCTCCTTCCCCTGAGCCATTCTGGTCTGACGTAATGCATCCTAGGCACCGTAAGTGACTCCATGCCATCTCACCACTAGACGGCATAGTCCCGGAGACACGACCGCTAAACTCCCTATAGGGCAAGTCCCTGAGCCTGATCTGCGGCTCTCTTACCTGGCTGCGCGACCACAAGCGCAGGGCCTTTCAGGAAACTATCGACAACACCACCTGTTAGTATGACCCACGTGTGATCCCAATGTCTTTCTAAACATCGTTTAGGCGACGACGGCGAACCCGAATGGATGCTCGAATTCGCCAAGCGTGAGTCAAGCCGTGCCATCACCGAAAAAAGAAAGGAACTCGAGGCTCGACTGGCCAAATCCAGACAAGAAGAAGAACGACAGAGGAAGGCCTTCGAAAACCCAGACGCCCCGCGAAAAAGACAAGTATGACATGTCTATCATGCGTGGTTGGCGGTTCACTAATATTCCCAGAAATTCGATGTGCAAGCGTCGACCGCCCAAGATGAAGATCAATTCGCTCTAGATGATTATGATAGTGAAGACGAAGAAAGAAAATCCTCTAATCGGATAGACCATGCTAGTGGCCTGTCTACCAGCACCCTAGAACTACTCGAGCGGTTCAAAGGGAAGATTGCCTCGCAATCAAAAGACAACGACGACGGAGACGACGAAATTAAAATCTTCTACTGTTCAAGAACTCATTCCCAACTTTCACAGTTCGCCAGTGAGCTCCGGCGAGTGACTGTACCATCCAGCATACCAAAAGACCTTGAAATAGGCCCTTCGGGCGAAGAGTCTCTCGAGGAACGAGTGAAGCATCTGTCCCTGGGGTCTCGGAAAAATCTATGTATCAACCCCCGAGTGGCGGCCCTTGAGAACCCAACAGCAATTAACGAGCGTTGCTTGGATCTCCAACAGCCCGGCGTGTCGGCGGAGCAAAAGTGCCCTTACCTGCCGTCGAAAGAAGACGAGGCGCAGTTATTGCAATTCCGCGACCATGCGTTAGCGACTGTGAAAGACATTGAAGATATAGGCAAGTTGGGCAAAAATATGGGATTATGTCCCTACTATGCATCCCGACCTGTGATCAAACACACCGAGGTAGGTTATCCGAATGCCCATCTCGAGTGTACTGTTGACATCCCGTAGATCGTGACGCTGCCGTACCCTCTGTTACTTCAGCGATCAGCCAGAGAGGCCCTCGATCTATCTATCAAGGGCCATGTTGTTATCATCGATGAAGCCCATAACCTGATGGACGCAATCGCCAACATTCACTCCGTGACCGTCACGCTATCCCAGCTGGATACGTCCATATTCCAGCTGACAACTTACGCACGGAAGTTCAAGAACCGGTTGAAAGGAAAGAACCGGAATTACGTCGCACAAGTCATCCGGCTGGTCAGCTCAATCGCTAGCCACCTTCGCGCCATCATGGAGACCAAGCAAGCTCCCGAAGGCCCTGTTGAGCCATCAGATCTTATGGCCGGGAAGGGAGTGGACCAAATCAACCCATACAAACTATGCCAGTACTTGCAGGAAAGTAAGCTGGCTAGAAAGGTCGATGGATATGTCGAGTTCTCCGCGGAGAAAACGACTGGGAAGCCAGACCGTCAGGCAAATTCAAAGTCGACAACACCGGTGTTGTTCCATATACAAAGCTTCCTCTTGCCCCTGATGAACCTCTCTGCCGAAGGACGGCTGTTCTATCAGAAAACCGATGGCGATATCCAGCTGAAGTACATGCTTCTCGACCCCACAAACCAGTTCCGTGAAATCGTCGAAGATGCACGGGCAGTTATATTGGCGGGAGGAACTATGTCTCCCGTATGATCCCTCGTCCATCACTACATCGCTTCTGTACTGATCAGCCGTCTAGATGACCGACTATATGGATCATTTATTCTCTTACGTCCCATCCAGCCGTTTGGACACCTTCAGCTATGGTCATGTCATTCCGTCCGAAAATCTGATCATGCATACTCTCGCGAAAGGGGTGCATGGGTCTGACTTAGATTTCAGTTATGAATCCCGGGATTCTGAGAAGATGGTAGGTAATACGACCCGAAATGACGCATTCTCTCTCTCACAGACGCACGCAGATCATCGACCTCGGGCGAACAATAGCGACATTATGCCAGGTCATCCCCGACGGAGTTGTGGCCTTCTTTCCCAGCTACGACTACCTTAGCAAGGTGATTGGCATATGGAAGAAAGCCATGGTCAGTGAAAAAAGTCAGTCAGTCTATGCTTTCATTGAGCAGAAGAAGCCCATCCTATACGAATCCCGAGAGATGACTACCTCAACGGAGGAGCTCCTCCAAGAATACTCCGACACCATCACATCCGGTCGAGGAGCCTTGCTCCTCTCTGTGGTGGGCGGGAAGCTGTCAGAGGGTATCAACTTCTCTGACCGACTTGGAAGAGGAGTGTTGATCGTTGGACTTCCTTTTCCGAATATCCGCAGCGCCGTGTGGCAGGCCAAGATCCAATACATCGAGCAAAAGACGTATAAGCAGAGTTCGGGGTCGGAGACGAACCGACAGGCCAAGGCCAAGGAAGCCGGACGGGATTTCTACGAGAATTCGTGCATGCGTGCCGTTAACCAGAGTATCGGACGAGCGATCCGACATCGAAACGATTATGCCGCCATCATCTTGATGGATCGCCGGTATCAGAGACCCGGGATTCAAGGAAAGCTGCCGGCATGGATTAAGCAGAGTATGGGAGACCGCTCTGGATCGCGACCGGCCGGAGCGACGATCGGTAGTCTCTCCAAGTTCTTTGCTGCGCGAAAGAGAGCGACCGTAGAGCTACCTTAAGTAGGCACATAGATGAAAGAAAGATGCCGATGATATTATTGGATAATATATGTGTCACGTGGTACAAACCAAAAGGGCAAGCGCGCAGGGTTGGACCCTAAGTTAGGGCAAGCGAACGTTAGCGCACACTCTACCCGCCCCCGAGCCTTGATTTCAACATCTGAGCCAGCAGTCCACCCGACCGCATCCCTCCCATCGCCAAACACCCATACCGGTCTTGTCGAGCACAGCACCGTCGACAAGATGCCTACTCGTTTCTCGAAGACACGGAAAGCGTGAGTCGCTCTGCCAATTCCTTTACCTCCTCGCCTCGAATGATCGAACGCTCCCGGTGGCCGAAATGCGACAGGAAAAACCGGTGACGGTCCTATCCAGGCTCGACATAGCCACCGGGCTCTCGACGATCATGCCAAATGGCCTCTGAAACAGAACGCTGACTTTTCTCTCCAGCCGCGGTCATGTGTCGGCCGGTTACGGTCGCATTGGCAAGCACCGTAAGCACCCCGGTGGTCGTGGTATGGCCGGTGGTCAGCACCACCACCGGACCAACCTTGACAAGTACCATCCCGGTTACTTCGGTAAGGTCGGTATGCGGTACTTCCACAAGACCCAGCAGCAGTTCTGGAAGCCCGTCATCAACCTCGACAAGGTACGTTACTCGTGATTCGGACGGTCGGCAGAAGAATGGATCGTGGATTGGGACGACGCAGTCGTGTGGCAATATCGTGCCGGTGCATAGGAGTGAAAAGAGCCGAACCGCCGGATGAACACCAGACGAAGAACTGGGCTGATTGATGATAGCTGTGGTCTCTCGTCCCTGCCGAGAAGCGTGACGCCTACCTGAGCGGCCAGAAGACCGACACCGCTCCCGTTATCGACCTCCTCCCCCTCGGATACTCCAAGGTCCTGGGCAAGGGCCGTGTCCCCGAGATCCCCATCGTCGTCCGCGCCAGATACTTCAGCCGTGATGCTGAGCGGAAGATCAAGGAGGCTGGTGGTGTCGTTGAGTTGGTTGCTTAAATGTGGAATATCCGGTGTTATTTGGAGAACGTCAACGAAAATAGGGCAGGTGCTGCGCTGGCCAAGGTCAGTGTAATAAAAGGGTCACATTTTCCAACGATTTCTCTTGAATGGAATGAGAATTCAAAAATGGGAGTCGCGGATCAATCCGTGTAACTACAACTAGGAGGCGTGCGTGCGATGAGCATGGCATGGCCTTGGATGCCCTTACGATCTCACAATTGAAAATGCCATCAAATTTTCATATCAGTCTTTTGTTGGCTGGGGTTGCCTCATCTCTGGGATGTTGGAACTGGCATCAGGGCTTGTAGACTTGTAGGATGTAGGGTCTGCATCTAGTTACGTCCTCTACGACTAGGAATGCAGCGTCTGAATAATCCTCGTCAGTTGTAATGAATATAAACGTCTATGCACTTACAATTCTATCAGGCTATCTAGATCTTCGATTCCCGAACCGAACCCGACTTTTTCGACTCATTGCTGGCAGCCAGAGCATCCCCAATGAACCGCACAGCCTCATCAACCATCTTCGGAGTCACTTCATGGCCCGCACTCTGGTCAATGATATCCTCAAACGTCACCGCCCCATCCGCAAACCACCCATCTGGCGCAATAGCCTGCTTCAGCCAGGTCAAAAAGATCTCGCCCTTGTGATACGGCACCAGCTTATCCACACCCCCCGAAAGATTCATAATCCTCTTTCCCGCCAAACACCGCGTCAACACAGGCCGCAGGGCCTGCTTCTCCTTCTCGCTCGGCTCCGGAATAGCCTTCGACCGGATCGGCCCAGCATCCGCGCCCATCTCCATATGGCTGAGGAAGTAGCTGGCCGGGTCGTAGCGGCGGATGGTCTCCAACAGGCTGGTCGGGAAGGCCTCGGAGCCGAGAATCTGCGCGCCAGGCGGGTCGCTGCTCGTCCAGGACGGGATCTTGGACAGGCGCGCCCGGTCGACCATGAGATTCACGTAGTCGGGGCAGCCGATAATGACGACGCCGGCGCTCACGCGCGGCTCGTGCAGGAGGCAGCTCCACGCTGCGTGTCCGCCCAGCGAGACCCCCAGCACGAGGTGTTCGGGAATGCGGCGCTCCGAGTTGGGGAATATGTACGAGGGCAGGTAGTCCATCAGCAGGGAGACGTCACGCGCGGTGCCCTCTGCAAATCGCTGTTAGCTGGCGCCTGGTAGAGTATGTAGGTGCAGGCACACTCACGAAAGACGGCAAACATGTCCTGCGCATGCCGCGGATTCCCCTGTCGCCAGGCCTCATTGCCGAGGGGATCAACGAGTCGCGAGCCGTGGTTTCGCTGGTCGAATGCCACTGCGATCAGGCCCTTGACGGGCCCGCCGGCGCGGCCTTCGCGGAGCCGCTTGTTCCAGTCGGATATGACGGCGGAGGCAATTGGGGTCATGCGCTCCTGTGTCGCGAGGCGCGGGTGTAGCAGCCAGAGACAGGCGACGTCGGAGGCGTCCGCGGGGAGCTCGTCGAGGCCGAAGACTGTGGTAAGGATCCCCGCAATCGGGTATGTCTTGCTCGAGACCGGCGGGGGTGGGGAGGAGACCCCGGAGTCGTAGGTTTTTAGGGGATCTGTCATTGTATTGGTTCTCGTTCTCTTTGGTATGGCAGGCTGGAGTCAATGGGTTGTAGATGTAGTGTATGGGATGGTGTAGGTGGGGAACGCTGGAAATATATATCGGAGGAGGTGTCAGGAACCGAGCTTATCGTGGTGGTGCTTCTCCGAAGCCGAGGATAAGACTGCCCGCTAGAGTCGGCTTCTTGCAGGCCACCATACCTTGCTCCATATCCTTTTATGACAAACGCATGATAATGCATGCTGATATCAGGGTCCACCTCGTTAAGTATATGTTCTCGTGTCACCATGTCTTGCCGCTGCATGATCGATACCCTGAGCAATGCCTGGATCATGTTGACGATCCACATGGAAATATTCATAATCTCATATAGTTGGCAGCTTGAAATGACTTTGAGATCATTCCTCTCGTCTCAAAGCGCTCTTACTCGGTGACGGCTGCATAGCTCTTTGCTATTCTGCGACAAGCGAGATTTCTGTCTATGGTGCACTAGATCATTCTGAATATCAGCATGTTTCCGATTTCAAGAAGGTATGAACTCATTCGTCTGAGATATACATTATCATTAGATGCATCGTAGTCAGTTAGTAAATATCTAGATCTCTTGTTGAAGCTCGGAAATGGATGTTTACTGCTTATGTACACAGCAGAGTACTATTTATGCATTATGACGATGCCTGTGCCACTGTTACTTGCTCTCACCCTCTCAACTACTAGCAATTAACCACTCCCTCTGCCCCGTACCCCGTACTTCATATATTCACCTTCTCCTTTTACTCCGTACTCCTTTATCCTCCTGTCGACTGCCTAAAAGCGGGCCTTCCGTCTCGAATGGGGCGCGACTCCACTCCGCCGCTAGGGACAGTTTTAGTGAGCAATAGCCCAACGCTCCTTTCACCTCCCCAAACTGCCTCAGCCTGTCCGTTCTCCTGACTTTTCTCTTCTTTTTTAAATTTTTACAGGTACTAGGATGCGTGCTTGCTGAAACTTCTCAATGACAGTATCGCCGTGATCTGTCCATGCACCACGTACGCTCCATCCCCCAGTCTCCGTCTGTCTTCCGCGGTCCATTCCTTGGAAGTTGTTGACCATCTCCCGTCGCTCCAGTGACCCCTAACCATGTCCGATTCCACGGCCAGTCCGCCTACCCCGATGGGCCCTGGCTCTGATGGTTTCACTCAAAGTAATTCGAAACGTCCTGAACCCCTCCGGACGTCCAGCGCCCCCAAACTCGCCTCTCCGTTTCCCTCTCCAACCGGTCCGAACCACCCCATCCCCGAAGACCAGGAGTACCCACCAGACGCGACGACGGATGACCGAAGCCAACCCAATCACACGCAATTGAAAACAAGGGAGGAGAATACTACGGATGAGAACCAGAGGTCGTCGCGCGCAGTTCTAACTAGCGGGTCGGGAAATACCTGGGATGGCGCCCCGCAAGATAAACCAGGATCCCTCAGTCCACGACGGCCAAACGAGTCTATGGAAAACCAGAAAAAGGCACCAAGTCAACGATCGCAGTCTTCACAGCATGCGTCTCCACAGCAGGCAGGTGTTCAGTTTACTCGCGATGCGTCCGAAAACGAGGCCGCTGCCGACGTGGCCCGATCCAGGCCTTCCTCCCTATTGGGCGACGATGGGGATCCGAATGCGAAAGGCAAACAATCCATCTTCACCAAGTTGAAAGCCTTCGCCGCCTCGCCATCCTTTACCTCGCATTCGCGCTCCGCCAGCACGGCCACAGTCGACCCCAGACCGTATGCCCATGACCTGTCCACCCCTGGCTCGGAACGTGGCGAATTTCGCTTCCCAAACACGTTGGAAGAGGAGGGGAGTGATATCGATGCAGACGCCGAGGAAAGTGCTGGGGAACAGAACGTGCGCCAGCGGAAGAAGAGAAAACAACGTCGAAAGCAGGAGGTGGATTCGGCGCCCCCGACCGAACCAAACACCCCGAGAGTCTCAGGTCGACCATCGTTCCATTTCACAGGATCGTTCGCTCCGTTCGAGAATTACCGTTCCAATTTTCTGTCGCGAAGAAGCACGGCAGAGTACCCGCAGCATCGCGAGGGGGTGTCGGAGGATGAAGGCCGTGATCGTCTCAACAGAGATAGTGCTTGGAGACGGAGGAGTGCCTGGCTCGCGAACAGTCGAGGTCTGACATACACTGGGCGGCAAGGTGACCAGCCTACCCAGGAAGACCGACGGCCAAGTAACCTCCGGCGATTGACCGGTCTCGCCGGCCCCTCAGATAAATGAAAGGGAGGGCCTGGCGAAGCGCCCGTGAGAGGCGACCACCGGGAACCGATCCGCGGCGTCCCCAGCCTTCAGGTGCCCCAGGCGTTGGAAAGCAGAATCAAAAGCGGGAATTGGAAGCCTGATCCGGGCAGGCGCCGGCAAGACCGGACAACCACAGTGGACCCATGCCAAATTCGGCAGAATTTGCTAGCTTGAGCTCACTTTCAGGGGTGCCGGCCGCCCTTGATCTTGGCTAGCATGTTCCAAACGGGATGAGCATGGCAGCAAACGAATTTCCAATTCTTCTGGAAACAGGTAAAGGTTCGAGTCACGGACAGTAAGATTGACTCTCATTCGGGAGATCGCCACCTCGTCTTTCGGATAGAACTCGAGTACGGCAGTGGAATGACCCGGATGAAGTGGATCATCCACCGGACTTTGAAAGATTTCGCAAATCTCCATCTGAAGTACAAACTGCATTTTGGAACGCAAAAGTACATCCAGTTGCGAACTACTGAAGGTGCACAAAACCTCCCACGCTTTCCTCGGAGCGCCTTCCCATATCTGCGCGGTGTTCGCGGCCTGGATAGCGATATGGAGGACGAGGAAGATGACGGGGGCTACGAGACTGCCGCTGAGGCTACCAGTGGTGGCGAGAGGGCTGGGAGGAGACCCCCGCATACGCGACGCCGGTCATCTTTCGCGATGTCTCGTCGGCAGTCTACAGTTACGAACCCGGATGGCGAACCTTCAGGCACGGCGGAAGGAGGAGCCGCGGTTAAGAGAGAGAGTTATCCGGAGAGGCAGCGAAAGAAACTCGAGTCTTACCTACAGAAGCTGATCAGATTCCTGATCTTCAAACCGGATAGCAATCGCCTGTGTAAGTTTCTCGAGCTTTCCGCCCTGGGCGTACGACTTGCCGCAGAAGGCAGCTATCATGGAAAAGAAGGATACTTGATGATCCAGTCCTCCAAGGGGCTCGACTTCCGGAGAGCGTTGACTCCCGCTATGGTGAAGAAGCGGCACTCGCCCAAGTGGTTCCTTGTTCGGCATAGCTACGTGGTTTGCGTCGACTCCCCCGAGGAGATGAACATCTACGATGTCTTCCTGGTCGACCCATTCTTCAAACTCCAGACCCAGAAGATGAGCCTCCGGAATCAGAAAGCTAAAGAGATAGCAAAGTCTGCAAAGGAGTCAGCAAGACACCCGCAACACCATACGCTGAAACTCGAGAACTCCGAACGGAAACTCAGGTTGTTAGCCCGGAATGAACGCCAGCTTCACCAATTCGAAGATTCTATTCGGTTCATGGTCAACAACACGCCTTGGGCCAGACCCAATCGGTTTGACAGCTTTGCGCCGGTGCGCCAGAACTGCTTTGCGCAATGGTTGGTCGATGCACGAGATCACATGTGGGTTGTGTCGCGCGCGATCAACCAGGCCAAAGATGTCATCTATATCCACGACTGGTGGCTCAGCCCTGAGCTGTACATGCGCAGGCCAGCTGCCATCAGTCAGAAATGGCGCCTAGACCGTCTCCTGCAGCAAAAGGCACGTGAAGGTGTCAAGATCTTCGTCATCATGTACCGGAATATCAACTCAGCGATCCCCATCGATTCTGAATACTCCAAATTCTCCCTTCTCGACCTACACCCGAACATCTTCGTGCAACGATCTCCAAACCAGTTCAGACAAAATACCTTTTTCTGGGCTCATCACGAGAAGCTGTGCATCATCGACCACACCTTGGCTTTTGTGGGAGGAATTGACCTGTGTTTTGGCAGATGGGACACGCCACAGCACCTTCTCACTGACGACAAGCCCACAGGCTTCGAGACGCCAGACGGCCCGAAGGATGCGGACCACTGTCAGTTGTGGCCTGGCAAAGACTACTCGAACCCTCGAATTCAAGACTTCTATGAACTCGACAAGCCGTACGAGGAGATGTATGACCGCAATGTCGTCCCTCGGATGCCTTGGCACGATATCTCCATGCATGTTGTCGGTCAGCCTGCGCGAGATCTCACGCGCCACTTCGTCCAGCGGTGGAACTACATCCTCCGGCAACGCAAACCAACCCGCCCAACGCCATTCTTGTTGCCTCCCCCTGATTTCGATGCTGCAGACTTAGAAGCACTCGGCCTGGACGGCACCTGTGAAGTGCAGATCCTGCGCTCCAGCAGTTCTTGGTCGACTGGTACCCCGGATATCACTGAGCATAGCATCATGAATGCCTACGTCAAGTTGATTGAAGAGTCTGAACATTTTGTGTACATTGAAAACCAGTTCTTCATCAGCACTTGTGAAATTGACGGCCGGAAGATAGAAAATCGGATCGGCGATGCTTTGGTGGAGCGAATCACTCGTGCAGCGAAGAACAAGGAAGCCTGGCGTGCTGTTATTGTCATTCCCCTCATGCCAGGGTTCCAGAATACGGTGGATAGTGAAGGCGGTACCAGCGTCCGCCTCATCATGATGTGCCAGTATCGGAGTATCTGCCGAGGCGAGACATCGATATTTGGACGACTTCGCGCCTTGGGAATTGAACCTGAGGATTACATCCAATTCTTTAGTCTTCGGGCGTGGGGCAAGATTGGTCCCCAGAGACAACTGGTCACGGAACAGCTGTACATCCACGCAAAGTGTATGATCGTGGATGATCGAGCTGCGATTATTGGTTCCGCAAACATCAACGAGCGGTCGATGCTGGGCTCTCGGGACTCGGAAGTAGCGTCGGTGGTGCGTGATACAGACATGATCTGGTCCACCATGAACGGTCGTCCGTACCTCGTTGGTCGGTTTCCACATACGCTACGTATGCGCCTGATGAGAGAACATCTCGGAATCGACGTTGACGAATTGTTGGAGCACTCCATGGCCACTGAAGAGGAATTACGACGCATCCAGATGGAAGAAGAAGGATCCAACTCGCCGCCGCGTGCCGATTCGGAGTCCTTGATGCTTGAGAAGCAAGATGAACGGGATATGATAGAGCGCCGGCACCGTATCCAAGATGAGTTCCTCTCGCGCTCTGAAGACATACACAGCTTCAACCACGACGTCGACTGGGAACAGGGGAACAACCCGAATCTGAAGTCCAACCGCAAGCTTACCGCCGACTCCAGAGTCACGTCCAATCCTGATCACAAGAAGGATGTGGATGGGTTTGGCCCAGACAACCTACACAGTGCCATGGAGGCTGGACTGGGTGAAGCTCGTGATTCACAGATGTTAGACTCAAAGGCCGAGGTTCTGGTCTCTCCGATTGCATGCGAGGGCAAGGGCACGATCCAGAAGCCAAAGCATATTACGCAACGGAGTAACCGCCGGTCCCACGTCGAAGACAAAGAGGCAAAGGAGCCGTCTACGCTTTCGCCTATTCAAGATGGCGTTGAATCTGTACCTATCGTGGAGGGTCTGCCGGGTGTTCGCCATCCGGCGTTGCCTTCGGGCAATGAGACTGAGAGTAGCAGTAGCGGTGTTCAGCCGCCCAAAGACAAGCTCGACACGACCAAGTACCCCCATCCTGTCACGCCGGAATTGAAGCACGTTTTCATCGACAAAGACTGTATGAGAGACCCGGTGATCGATCTATTCTACCTGGACACGTGGTATGCCGTTGCCGACAAGAACACGAAGATCTATCGGAGCGTGTTCCGTTGCATGCCTGACAGCGAGGTTAAGTCCTGGAAGGAGTACAAGGAGTACACTGCCTACGGAGAGCGGTTCGCCGAGATGCAGAGTCAGCATAGCGCCCAGGCCTTCCATCCACAGCCCCAACGACAGACCGGGCCTCCGGGAACTGGGGCCACCGCTGGGCTGGGGCTGGGTGTGAATGTCAAATCCCACTTGACGCCCACCAGTCTCACTGCCGACGCGCATTCACCCACCGAAAAGCCAGAGCGTGGTGCCGATAACACCCAGCACCACAACAATCGATCGCAATCGGAGCTGGCGAAGCAAGAAACCGTGTCCTCTATCGATGAGAAAGCAGCGTTGAGACCGACGGATGGATCAAACGCCCACAATGGACGGCCTGATGAAGGTGGCTCTTCTGGAGAGGACCTTGAGAAGCAACGTTCCGATCCAGCATTTGTCGATTACTCGGAAGCTTTGAACCGGAATGCCACGACCCAGTCTCGCCGACGTCGACGGAGAGCGACGACCCTCGGTTCCAGGCGCGAGTTCCACGCCGCCGACGAGGTCATGGATAGAAACCGGGCCGAAGACCTTCTGAACCAAATCCAGGGGCACCTTATCCTCTGGCCTTATGACTGGTTTGTGACCAATACTCTCGGAAGGATGATGCATGCTAACGCAATGACCAGGCTGGAGAAGGAAGAACAGGGCGGGAACTGGCTCTACACGCTGGACCAGATCTCTCCGCTGGAAATTTAGTAAGCTACTGTCTATGATTGTGTCAGTGTGAGCTATGCTAACGTTTCTTGCAGTAATTAATCGACACGCTTTCCGTTACACGTCAGCTCTGAGAGCTGTCGGTCTGTATGAATGTCGGACTTAGACCGTTTTTCTACACTTCTTGCTGTCCTTTAATATTCATCAATTGGCGTCACTGTACATCACGTTGTCTTGCTCTTGGCCGATAGCATAGTCTGTGGCCCTTTGTATTCCGTTCTCACAAGTATAGGGATCAGTTGTTGTCTATAGATTTGGGATTCGGGTATATGGAGCGTTCATATCAGATGATATAGTACATTCATTGGCTTGACTCAATCAATCCGTCCGGTTTGCAATACACTAGGCCCAATAGACTCAGCGACCAGCGTCCTGCGCCGCGGCGATCCTCGCGCGCATCCGGGAAAAGCTATCAAAATTCGCCCGAAGCGCATGGGCCAACACGCTTCTATCCGGAGCCCCAGACGAGGTATCCTCCCAGCCCCGCAGCGCCGCATCAAGTTCCTCAAACGCCCGCGCAAAGACACCCTGGATCTCCCGCGTGCGGGTACACCCACGACCGAGGTCATTCATGTAATTCGCCGGATCCTGCAGACACAAACGCGCCGCGGCGGGGGCATTGCGTCTCCGCGCGGCGGTTCTCTTCAGGTTGATGAGAGAGCGCTGGCCGCGCAGGTAGGCCGGGAGGTCGGCAGGGTCGTAGGTGCGGGCCGCCTCTTTGACGGAGTCGACGTTGAAGAAACACGGGGGGTCGGCGGCGACGCCGGTAGTGGCGAGGTCGACCTCTGTGCCGTAGACGCGGAGGACGGCGAGGAGCTGCGCGGCGAGAGGGGTGGGACCGCGGAACCGGCCGTGGTTCATTTTGAGGAAGGTGGCTAGGAGGACGAGGAGCGCGTCCGAGGTGATTCCGCTGGGTGGTCCGTAGAGGCCGTGCGTTTCCAGGATCAGGCGGAGGGTCATGTAGAGCGGGTGGATGGTGGGGTACTCGGCGTGGTAGTCCTGGATGTATTCGATTGAGGCGGGGAGGCCTTCGCCGCAGTATAATTGCACGGGGACGCCGGTTGGACGGTGGACTATTGTAAGGGTTGAATGGCGTTTGCCTGTGGGATGGCCTTGCTCCTGGAAGGAGGGAGATTGGCGGAGGACGGCTCGGGCCTTGTGCAGGGTTTCGCGGTAGAGCTCCAGCATCTGGGGCCGGGAGGCGCTTGGTTTGCGGGTGCTGTCGGAGGACCGCGCGGCGTCTGATACCGGGAGTAGTAGGTCCAGATCGGAGTGGCTCATGGAGAATCCTGTTCGTCGCGAACCGACGACGACCGGAGGGTGCGGTGCGGCGGGCCGGAGGAGGGTGGTGAGTTCGGCGGTGACTTGGCTGATCGCATTTTGTTCGGCAATTGTTGGAGTTAGGTATTTCGCCAGGGCACGGATCTCCGCGTCTAGCTGTGACAGGCTATCTGACGATGCGGATATGCCGTCTAGCCATGGGGACTGCGCCGAACGGCCGCGGGTGCGGTCGGTGCTCCATACCACGAGCCGGGATGGCGCACTCGCGGACGGAGATGGACGGGTTGTGCGCTGCGACGAATGACGTTTCGTTTTTGGACGCCTCAGCGGTTGGGCCTCTCGACTCGGAGGGGCATCTGTTGATGGGTCCGTTTCGGAGACATGCTTCTCAGAGCTGGACAAAGTGTCGGGAGAGGTGGTTGCGGAAACCGGATCCTTGCTGACTACTCTCCGGATGAGACTCGCTCTGTTCGAGACACGATGGGCCTCGAGGGTCTTCTCCAGACTATTCTTATAGATCACTGGTTCTTTGGCGCGGAGGAGAGAGGTTCCATGGAGACATCGAAGGGGAGGTCTTCTGGATGTGTTGAAGAACGGGAGTGGAGATTTGATGGAACGGAGGACCACGCGCATGACGGCGCGTTCAATCGGACCTGGATGGCATTGTGGATGGAGGGCGACAATGCAGGGCATACAGCGCGAGGAGGAACTGATGTACTCCGTCGGAGGGAAGGGTTGTTGATGGGAAGACCGAATAATCTTGTCACGGGATTTCCATCTATTCCAAGTCACATGACTTGATGATAAGTCAGCATCTCATTCACGTGTCAGCCTCGACCGATTCGGTCTCTTTCATTGTTCCATTACAATCACGATTATCATCAGGATTATACACCAGAAAGTCCTAGGACAACGCATCCGTCCTGCCGCTGTGCCTCCGGTTCATCTTCGTCACGGTGAGTTCAGACCGGGTTGACCCCTCGCCACTTCTTACGAGGAGATATCCTTGATCCTTCGGCTCCGATCATGACGTATCGTGAAAGTGGGGAATAGAATGGTGGACAGACAAGAGAGCCGACGAAAATACTGACGAAATACTGGGAAACCTAAACCAAGCGAGGGAGGATAGGGGCAATGATTACAATAGTGTAGTGTAGTGTACTTGGAAGAAGAGAGGCCATTGACCTGCTGAGGGGATATCGATTGGACTGGCAAAGACTGCTGGTAGGGATAGTACTCTACTATAATTAATAGATAGATTGAGAGACAATAATCCCTCAGCAGAATCACATCGAACAGAAACAGAAGACCAGAGAACGACCGAAAAGGGTCAGCTTCGTGCCAGCTTGGACGTCCTGGCCGTTCTTTTCCCTTCCTCCATCTTCCGGCCGGTCATCGTCCGTCCAGTCCGTGTTTCCCCCGTGGTCACTCTTGGACAAGATATATTAGGGGGCTCCCTCCTGTATAAGCGTATTGTATAGTGGCATCATTTTCGCTGTTATATTTAGTATCAACTGTCGACCAGAGGCATCTGCATCTACCTAATAGGGGACCTACACCCGAGGGGGGAAAGTTGATCGAGATAAGCCCAAAAGAGACTCCCTCACCGCCTGCCCCTCCTTCTCGTCGCTTCCAGGCTCTCTCCCTCTCCCCTCGACCAACTTTCTTCCTCTTCTTTTCCTTCTTCTTCTTCCTCCTCGTCTCGTCGCTTTTTGGCTCTTCATCATCTTACCCTCAACCTCACGTCACTCTAACATACCCTCATTGCCTCTCATCACTCTTCAATCCCTCCCCCATCTCGCTCGGCCTCTCCTATCGATCTACATACCAGAGCGATGATGATTCATTGAGCATGTGCAAGAAGACCACACCAGAAGAAAGAGCTTTCAATTAGAGAAAACAGTCGGAGATTCATACAAACCATGTCTCGTTTGGACTGATCTGCGTCATATTGTTCCCCTGAGATTGACTTGGCTGTTCGACTGCCCTTTGATCTGACTCCCGTTGCGTCGTCATCTTCCGTCCTCTCCGTTTCCGTCGACATGTCTTCTCCTCCACACAATTCGCCTCCCACCATCGTGGCCGGCATGCAGCCAGGTACCGTCAAGATCGAGTCGGACACGAATCGCGCTGCTCCATCCTCCAATGCTTCCGGCTTCCCTTTCCCTCCCATCCCGGAGCACGACCAGCCCCCTCCACTCTCCTCCGCAGAGTCAAAGTCACCGGCGCCTACGGAGCCCATCACACCGGCCACCCCAGCCCAGGCCGCACAGAACGCGAAGTCGGGCATGGAGCTGTTGCGCCGCTTGAGTTTACAAGGGACCCCCACCGTGTTGGAGATGGACCCAAAGGAGCAACATCCGGGGCTCAATCTCACCGGTCGAATCATCAGTGCAGCCTTTTGCATTCCCTACAAGGTCTACTATCGTTCAGGCGGGGACTGGGTATGTACAACATTTTTGAAGCCCCGTGGACCATTGAACCTCCACTAACGGCACACAGGAGCTGAAACCCCGCCCTGGCACTTCCGCACTCTTTGACTCTTTTGCGTACCTCGGATCAGAAGAGACTCGGTGGTCCCATACCCTCGTCGGCTGGACGGGTGAAGTTGAGCCGGTCGAAGAAGATGTGGTCCCGTTGCAACACATCCCGGTCAACACGAGTGCCAAGCTTCCCACCGCCGTCAATGGCACGGGCTTAGCGCTCAACAAGGCCGCCGCCCCCGTGCCCGTCGATGCCCACCAGCGGCCGCCGAGTCACCCACTCCTGGACGGGTTCAGCATCGGTCCCAAGGATCGGGAGCGACTGGACCAGCAGCTCAGCTCTGGCCGCTATGGCAAGATCGCCCCCGTGTGGCTATCAGCCGAGTCCGAAGTGCCAGATGACTCCATCTTCTTGGAAGATCAAGGACGGTGGCGGCGCTATGCTGAACGGGAGCTCTACCCGCTGCTCCACTACAAGCAGCATGGCCCCACCGATGGCCGCTCCGAAATCAAGTGGTGGACAGATTACGTGCGAATGAATCGACTCTTTGCGGATCGCATTGTGAAAGAGTACCAAGAGGGCGACATTGTTTGGATTCATGATTACCACCTGTTCCTCTTGCCCAGTATGCTACGACAGCGGATTCCAAACATCTATATTGGCTTCTTCTTGCATGCTCCCTTCCCTAGCAGCGAGTTCATGCGTTGTTTGGCGAAGCGAAAGGAGGTGCTGACCGGGGTCCTGGGTGCCAACATGATCGGCTTCCAGACCTTCTCCTACTCGCGTCACTTTTCCTCGTGCTGTACTCGAGTGCTAGGCTTTGATTCCAATTCCGCCGGCGTGGATGCATATGGCGCCCACGTGGCTGTCGACGTCTTCCCAATTGGAATTGATGTCAAGGCTCTTCAGCGCAAGGCATTTGGGTCTCCAGAAATCGAGAAAGCGGTGGAGGGCATCCGCAAGCTCTATGAAGGGAAGAAAATCATTGTCGGACGGGATAGACTGGATAGTGTCCGTGGTGTTGCCCAGAAGCTGCAAGCGTTTGAGGTCTTCCTCGAACGGTACCCGGAATGGCGGGATAAGGTGGTCCTGATCCAAGTGACGAGCCCCACGAGTGTGGACGAGGAGAAGGAGGAGAACAAGATCGCTGCTCAGATTTCCAACCTCGTGTCCACCATCCACGGGCGTTTCGGCTCGCTCAGCTTCTCTCCGGTCAAGTACTACCCGCAGTACCTCTCTCAGGATGAGTATTTCGCCCTGTTGCGGACGGCGGATGTCGGCCTGATCACGACCGTTCGGGATGGTATGAACACGACAGGGTTAGAATATATCATCTGCCAACAGAACAACTATGGCCCCCTGATTCTGTCCGAGTTCTCGGGCACGGCAGGCACCCTGTCCAGTGCCATTCACATCAACCCCTGGGACACCGCTGGCGTGGCGGATGCCATCAACCAAGCGTTGACAATGCCTGAAGATCTAAGACGGATGCAGCATCAGAAGCTCTACAAGCATGTCATCACCAACACCGTCGCGACTTGGTCCAAACAATTCCTCACTCGCCTTTTGACCAACCTCTCCTCATTTGACCAGTCCGTCGCCACTCCAGCGCTCGACCGGGCGAAGCTCGTCAAGCAGTACCGCAAGGCCCGGCGGAGATTGTTCATGTTCGACTATGACGGAACTCTGACTCCCATTGTCAAAGACCCGCAGGCGGCAATTCCCTCGGACCGCGTCCTGCGCACGATCAAGAGCCTGGCGGCCGATCCGCGAAACGACGTCTGGATCATCAGCGGGCGGGACCAAGCGTTCCTCGACGAATGGATGGGCCATATTCCTGAACTGGGGCTGAGTGCGGAGCATGGATGTTTCATTCGGAAGCCCCATTCGGACGACTGGGAGAACCTGGCGGAGCGATCGGATATGGGATGGCAGAAAGAGGTGATGGAAACGTTTCAGCATTATACAGAGCGCACGCAGGGGTCCTTCATCGAAAGAAAACGCGTCGCCTTGACCTGGCACTATCGACGGGCGGATCCGGAATACGGCGCCTTCCAGGCTCGAGAATGCCGCCGGCAGCTGGAGGAGACCGTGGGCAGAAAATGGGAGGTCGAAGTCATGGCAGGCAAGGCTAACTTGGAAGTTCGGCCGACCTTTGTCAACAAGGGCTTCATTGCCACGCGACTGGTCAATGAATACGGGCATGGTCCTGGAAAGGCTCCAGAATTCATCTTTTGCTCGGGCGACGACTTCACAGATGAAGGTAAATCTCTCTTTGGTCTCCAATATGCTTCTTCGCTAACGAAACCAGACATGTTCCGAGCTCTGCGCAAGTTCGACCTCCCGCAAGACCATGTTTATTCGGTGACGGTTGGAGCCAGTTCGAAACAGACGGCTGCTAGTTGGCATCTGCTCGAGCCGGCCGACGTCATCGAGACGATCTCCATGCTCAACAGCAGCTCCTCGCAGGAATACAGGACGCAATGAGGCCCCAGTCCACCGCCGCTTTTGGGCTGAGGATAGGTTCTTTTCGTCATATATATTTCAGATCATCTTGGGGGCGTAGAAGGAGAACGAATTGTTAGAAGGCGTCATGATGTGTGAACTGGCTTGGAGGACTGTCGGTTGAATTAGCGAGGGTGTGCGCAATTTAATGCCCTAATTTTCTGTTATATTGTTGTTTGTTTGATCGTTTCTTTCTTGTTGTTGCTTGAGCGCAAGACGCAGAGCCGAGTTGTTTTCTTCTCCATAGACGGCCTGCGAGAGCAGATGGTTTAGAGAATAGAAATGCCGCGCATGTACGAGTGATGGATGACGCTTCGCCACGTGGTCCTGCAGTATCGCATAAATCTCCGATTCTATCATCATAGTACTCAGCCGGGGCAGTCTCTGTACGGAGTACTGCATCAACTCCATCACTACTCCGTACTGATATGGGGTATGAATTGCGGAGTTGGTCGGTGTCCTCCCCGGGCCCACCGTCAACCACGGCGGGCGAGAATGAATCCATCCAGAGTCAAGAAATGACCAGATGGGTCCGTCTGCTCCTACGGCCCAATGAGTCCCAGCGCCCTGCGGATCGTCATGTTAGTACTTCGTAGTCCATGGTCGCTCGGATGGAGCAGCCGACGGCCTTGGAAGAGTCTGCATTTCGGCGTTCTGTGCGAATGGCCGTCCCTCGATGACTCGAAACTGTTGGATCTGTCGAGGATCGTATTTATAATCGAGGCCCCGCGAGCCAAGCCGTCAAAGATTTTGGGGAATTATAGTCCATGGATAAAGATTTACGCATTTGGTCTGTGTTTCATTGAGTCACTGTTGGTTTTTTTTTCTCTGATCAAAAGCCGAAGGATCAGCCTGATCGGTTTGTTAACCGTGTCTCGATCCGAGGGTTAGCGACGGCACCAAGAATAAAAATTGTCGTTTCTGGGTGAGGCTTTTCAGTTGTTATTGCCTTTCAATTGCAGTGGTCGACTTTGTGGCGTTGTCCAAATCGCTGCTCTAATGCGATTATAAGCCTCTGACAAAGAACGCTCAAGAGGCTGCGAGACAGCACGACAAGATGGCGGCCGGTCAGCCGTTGAACAGCCATCCGCACCAGACCGAACTACAAGACAGCGAAAAGGACCACGACGTCGAGCTGCATGATACCGGGAGCGACAACTTTGTGCCCATCGCCGAGGTGGCCGGCGACGAAGAAGACGGCATCGATCACTGCCGCGAGAAAGAACTCACCAAGACACCGACCCACGGCAGCAATGTCGGCGCGCTGGCATCGCGGACGCTGTCGCTCGTGCGGACGCGCGAGTCCGGCAAGGATATCGGGCCTCCTCCCGATGGCGGGTTCAAGGCATGGTCGCAGGTCGCCCTCGGCCATTTTGTCATCTTCAACACATGGGGCTACATCAACAGCTTTGGCGTGTTCCAGAGCTACTACACGGAGAGTCTGGGGCGGCCGCCGTCCGACATCTCCTGGGTGGGGAGTATCCAGATCTTCCTGCTCTTCTTCATCGGGACGTTCTCCGGCCGCGCCACCGACGCCGGCTACTTCAAGGCGGTGCTGACGGCCGGCGCGGTGCTGGAGCTGTTCTGCATCTTCATGACGTCGCTGAGCACGCAGTACTGGCAGCTGTTCCTCGCGCAGGGCATCGGCCAGGGCCTGGGCTGCGGGCTGATGTTCTGTCCGACCATCGCGCTGATCCCGACGTACTTCACCAAGAAGCGCGCCATCGCCATGGGCATCGTGGCGTCGGGGTCTGCAACCGGTGGGCTCGTCTTCCCGGCCGTGGTCATGCGCCTGCTGCCGCGCGTGGGCTACGGCTGGACGATGCGCACGCTGGGCTTCATCTCGCTCGGCACGCTCATACCGTGTCTGCTGTTCCTGAAGCAGCGGCTGCCGCCGCGGCGGAGCGGCCCGCTGCTCGAGCTGTCCGCGTTCAAGGAGCTGCCGTACGTGTGCTTTGCGACGGGCATGTTCCTTAATTTCTGGGGCATCTATGTCAGCTTCTTCTACATCGGCAGCTTCGGCCGCGACGTCATCGGCGTCTCGCAGTCCACCTCGATCGATGTGCTGCTGGTCATGAACGGCGTCGGGCTCGTCGGCCGCCTGATCCCCAATCTCATGGCGGATTTGTACACGGGCCCGCTGAACATGCTCATCCCGTTTAGTCTGTGCACCGGCGTCGTGGCGTACTGCTGGACGGCGGTACACGATCTGCAGGGGCTGTATATCTTCAGTGCGTTGTACGGCCTATTTGCGGCGGGGATTCAGTCCCTGTTCCCGGCTACGCTGAGCACGCTCACGACGGACCTGAAGAAAACTGGCGTGCGCATGGGCATGGTGCTGAGCGTCGTGGCTGTCGCCGCGCTCATCGGGTCGCCCATTGCCGGGGCACTAATTCAGCGCGATAATGGCGAATATCTGTATGCGCAGATGTTCATGGGGAGTGCGGTGCTTGCGGGGACTATCACATTGATAGGGGCTCGTTTGGCCAAGTTGGGGTTTGTTTGGCAGCGGGCGTGAGACGTGAGACATGACTTGGGGTATATCTCTTCGTACTTGAGACAGGTACAACCTCATAGCCAGGTACGAGCTGTCTGGACCCGTCGATATTATGTCTCAGTCCGTCAGCGCTGGCTATGGCACACATACAAAGTGATATAGACCTAGTATACGGTAGGTAGGTAGATAACGATAGTAATGAATGCATAATCGTCACGATGAACAAGGCGGTGTGTTTGCAGCCTCAGGCCACGGAGACCTTGTCCGCCTCAACCTGAACCTATGACTCGCACTTCTCCATCTTCTTCTTCTCTTCGTCTCTAAACACCCACGACTGCCGGCTGCATTCATATCTCGTGTCTTCTCCAGCGAAACAGCCCTCTCCCTCCTCCGCAGCTCTAGTCCCGCCGACGCATCACCCCGCTCTACCCCTCCACCCCTCCACCGTCCACTGTCAACACCCTCAGTCCTCTCCAACCCCCAATCCAGTTCCCTCGATACAGCTTCACCATGGCGCCCCGTGGCCGCGGAAAGTTCTCCAAGCCCAGCCGAGGAGGTACACGCATTCCCTTACCCCTCCAACCGCCGCCAAAGCACCCCCAAGGCTCCCCACACCGACAAAACAACCACTAACTCCTCCAGGCGGAAAACACTTCAGTCGCGATGTCCAACCCGTCGACAAAGACGGCAACGCCGTCTCCCTCTGGCGCGTACGTCCTCCCCAGCAGGTCCTCGCCAATGCCCAACCCCATCTAACCCCACCAGGAACCCGACGATGACATGCCCACCTCCTCCGGCGACGACGAGCCCTCCGCGCAATCCTCCTCCGAAGAGGAAGATTCCGAAGACGAGCTCTCCAAGCCCGGGCCGAGCAGCGCTGCTGCCGCCGCCCCAGAAGCCGCAGAAATGACCCGCGAAGAACGCCGCGCCGCCGCAAAGGCCAAGAAACTCGCCGCCATCGCCAAACGCAACCAAGTGCAGCCGGGCGACCTCCCGCCCTCGGACTCGGACGACTCCCCTGCCGGCGCTGGCGACGATGACGACGACGAGCTCCCCGCCAACCCGAACCACACGGCCAAGTCGCGGTCGCAGCTGAGCGCTGACGCGGCCGAGGCGCCGCTCCCGGCGGCGGCGGCGGCGGCGGCGAACGGGCACGAGCTGTCGCGGCGGGAGCGCGAGGCGATCGAGGCGCAGCAGGCGCGCGAGCGGTACATGAAGCTGCATGCGGAGGGGAAGACGGAGGAGGCGCGGGCGGATCTGGCACGGTTGGCGGTGATCCGGGAGCAGCGCGAGGCGGAGCGGGCGCGCAAGGAGGCGGAGAAGGAGGAGAAGGCGGAGTTGGCGAAGCAGCGGGCGGCGGAGTTGCAGGCGAAGCTGGCGAATAAGGGCGGGAAGAAGAAGGGGGCGCCGAAGAAGAAATGAGGGGTGGCTTTTGTTGCTTTTGCTTTGGGTATCTTAACGTCTACATACATGAACATGAATATGAATATACAAGGTGGGGGTTTGTTGGGGAACTAGCTGTTGTCTTCGCTGTATGTGTAAGGATTGGTATAATTCAGCTATACTGTACATTAATATAAGTAAATGCATGACATATGCAACCGTGCGCCAGGTCTTGGACATAATCAATCAGTTCATAGGATGAAGCAACCCAACAGATTCCCGTTCACACCAGCGCCAGACAGTGATCGATTGAAGCGGAAACAAGGGTCAAGCCCCAACGAGTTCAGACGTATCAAACGCCCCAGAACAAGCCCTCCACACCGTGGCCCTGGGCCACGATCCCCCACCCGGCGATCAAGCTGATGAGCCACAAAACAGCGAAGACAAGGATGGGGATCAAGAGCAGCTCGGTGTTGTGCAGGAACGGAAGAGCGTTGTAGCCGAGGAAGGTGATGTACGTGTAGTATGCCACCGCGGAAAGATAGAGCGTGTTTCCGAGGAACGTGGCGAGAAAGTTGCTCGAGCGCGTGAGGAGCGGCAGGAGGAGAAACTGCACGACGTGAAGATGGAGGTAGAGCGGGAAAAAGGCACGGTTAGATACCTGCGCGGGAATCAGTATGGGAGTTACAGGACGGCTGGGTGGCTTCGCTCACATCAAAGCAGTAGCCAAATTCGAGCTGTTCTTTCTCGCCCGGCTGCATGAACAGACCCTGTGCGGCACCTCGTCTCCGTCCACGAATCCCCCTCAGGCCGGTGAGGTTGGCCGCTGCGCCGTTCGGGCCGAAGAGTCGGCCGATGACAAAGTAGCCTATCGTCGAGACGAGGAGTGAGGATCCGATGAAATGTACGAAGATGAAGATGAGGGACAGGCGGACGATCGACCCGAAGGATGGGACATAGGCTAGACCCCATGCGAGGGCTGTGAGGAGGAGAAAGAAGGAGAGGAGGTATGCGAATGATGGGTCGGGGCGATGCCAGGTATTCTTGGTTTCTGTCCGGCGTTAGTCTGGAGATCTCCTGGTGGACGCGGTCACGACATACGTTTCTATTTGACCATGTTAGCAAAACACTTTAGGTATTCGATGGCTGGACTACTCACATGGTAATATATCGATTTGAAGACCTTCTTGGGCGCGATTAACAGTGATGTCATCTCCCAGATGGCCATCTCAAAGTCCATCTGCGGGAACTTGAACATCCTACATAACAGAGATCAGCCACTGACAGCATAGACAAGATCGACACGCCTTCAGATCCGATCCAATGGAGCAGCTCGGCGTAAGAGCAACACCCTCCGAGCTGTCTGATCATACCAACCTTTTGAAGAAACGCGGCATCCGGATACTGGATCCCCGGCGAGCTGGGGTCGTTCCGCCAAAGGTCGCGGAGCTCGCATGCTGGCGGGGCAGCGATATGTGAGGATTATTCATGGCGTGTGCGGATGGGTCAGGAGCCCTGGGATTAGGGGGTGGGGAGGAGGAGGAGCGTCATGTATTGTTGATATTGTAGGGGAGGAGAAGAGGATGCGTTGTGAGAGAGGGATGGCGGTGTTGTCGTTGGGGTCATTATGTCATCACCCGCCAACTGGCGGTCTTTCTTAGTATATCGAGCGTTCCTCTGATAGAAACGGTCAGAGGTTTCTTCGACCTCATTTTTTCCCCACGCATATATGAGAAGCTACTCAGTACTTGCGGATATTCGGTATTCATTTAGTAGACCTATATCTGCTCTGAGATATATAGAAAGCCCTAGCTTCCAAGATATTCTAAAAGCTGTGGTCCATGTTTGGACTATGAATGGGCTTACGACGAACTTGTTCATGAAATCTTTGTCTGAAAGGGGGAACAAACATATGATGTCCTGGGCTCCCGACTGGATGGCATCAGCAGCTTACTACATGATGTCCTTGTGTCCGAAAAAGTTCATCAAAATTGAGGGTCTATATACAGCACTCCCATTCCGTTCTAGTACTCATCACATCGCCGCTTTTACTCACTGAGTAGAATTAAGCACGCCCTTAATAGATCGAGCGTCCCTGACTCGCAGCACTCTCACTTAAGCAGGAATAAGCCAAGGAAGGCAAAGATTCCCACAAGCAGCTGGAGACTTTCATCCGCTGCAGTAGGCGCTGCAGTAGGCGAGTGAGGACTGTTGAACCCAAGACATAACTAACGCAGGTAAGGTTTTTTCTTGAGACTGAGTAATAATGTCGAATATTAACGTAGTGATAAGTTACGACACCATTGTTAACAATTTATATCCATCTGTGGATTGAGCCATCAAATCTAGGAAGCTATTTCCTTTTCTCGAGACGGAGGATCAGCCCTGACTGTTTCCAAAACCAAGCTGCGTGCGTCTCCCACTCAGGACGCTGTGAAGCCCATGTAATGTTAAAGTGGCGAAACATCTGTGGAACAAATTTGCCCATCTCCATAATGGAGATGTTTTTGCCTATACAAGTTCGTGCGCCATGTCCAAACTGAATCAGAACTCGGCAGTCAGCAAGTACGAACAGAAAGCCCGTTCGGGGAACAAATAACATTGAAGTTTCTTACCGCTAGGAAAGCACGATCCATTGCCTTTAGCGCCTCGGGGGTTGCCTCGAGCCATCTCTCAGGTCGGAACGACTCGGCGTCTTCGCCATAGATCTCTTTGAGGACGTGTATAACTGGGGCTGAGATGCTGACATTCGTCCCGCCAGGTAATGCATAGCCACAAATTTCAGCGCCCTCTGGAGGCACAAATCTCTCGAGAGGGAAGCCGACCCCAGGGTGTAGCCTCATGGCTTCTTTCATGGTTGCCTGCCTAGAAATACGGTGTCAGTGGACCATTCTCCCTGCTGGTTTTGACTTGCCCTCACAAATATGGTAGTTTCAGACACTCCTCATATGTAACAAATTCGGACAGCAAACCCTTTTGATCGGCCTCGTCTATTTCACTCTGAATCTTGCGATATACCCGAGGATTCTTCACAATGTAGTAAAACATTGCACGCAGGGAGATTGCCGTGGTATCACTTCCAGCTAAACTATGGACGAGCGATGGCAGTCAGCACGCATCATTTGGTTCTGAAGGCAAAGAGTCGTACTCACAGATTGTTGGAAAGGTGATTCATCATATCTCTATGAGATAATTTCCTTGAAGACTCTACTGCTCTTAGCTGAGCAAGAAAGTCCGTCCGTTGGGCTTTCTCCGTGCCATTGTTGTTATCGTATGTTTTGATTTCTTCCTCGGTAATCTGAAGCCAGAAGCGTTAAACAATGTTACCTGCATCCTGGAGAGCAATATCACAACTAATCATACTCACTTTCAAAAATTTATCCATTGTATCTGGAAAAATATTCAACTTTTGAATAGGTCTGCTCATCGAAATAGTTTGCAGAAAAGGAATCAGGGATGGAAATTGCCCTAGCACCTTCACGTACTGTAGCCCAATGTCGATTTTCCCAATCATGCCATCGACATCGGTTCTTTGCTCCAAGAACCCGAATCGTCTCTGGAAAGTGAGACTACCGATGACATCAAATGCATACCATTGGAGCCATTTGGAAAAGTCAAGAGGCTCGCCTTCAAGGTCCAGCATCGCGTCCATGAATATTCGCGTGCACTCGTCTGCAAAGATTTCAAAGTTTTTCATGTTTGTCATTGAAAAGATCTGGGACACGGAGCTCTTCAGGAATTTGTGATGTGCCGGATCGCGAGTCGTGAACAGGCTATCCATTACCTCGCCCTGGTATATGGGCGCCATAGACGTGTAAAAGGGAGTCTGTTAGACAGATGGGTCAGTAGATGTTTCAAAAATTACTGTGACATGTCTCACTTTGGTGAATTTGCTCCCTATACCGTAAATCCGGGGAATCATGGTGGGATCCGCCACCGAGACTTCATTCGGCCCAACTCTCACTATTGGGCCATATTTTTCATGGATTTTTCGATACTGTGCAGGACCAGCGCCATTGTAGACCATGGAGAGCCGATACAGTGATGAAAAGGGTGCGAGTCTTGGCCCAGGGAGTGTTCTCAACCCCCGGCGGAAGTATACTCGGAGATAGTCTAGAATCACCACGGCCACCAAGCACGTCGCCAAAGCTCGCCAGCTAAGTTGTATGTCTTGAAGCATTGTGGTTACAGTCGTGATGGTCGCAGGTGTAGACTCGTTTTGATAAGCCCCGAGTTGACTGTTCTAGTCATCTTATATACATAGGCCCCATCCACCCGCATTTCATTTATGTTCGGCTAAACGGCTTACGCTTTTCCCATCAGAGGTCTTCTGATTCCCCAGTAATCCACAGAAAGGGACGAATGATGCCCGGGCCGGACCACACGTCGATTATGACACCAAAGTGATGTTGCTCCGACCTCTAAATTCCAATTCGGAGGAACTCTCGTGGGGTATCAATGGATCCAGTTCCGGGTTATTTCCAAATATAGATTAGTCTCCCTAACTTTAAATATACGGAGTACACCGATTGGAAATGAACTTTGAAATGCACCCGCATCTTGCGCGATACAGTTAGTCACCCCACAACACATCCTTGGGAGATTCAATGGGAGTTTTTGTTATGATTGCAATTAATCCACCACGATGTCGGGCGGGGTAGTCATCATCCAGGAGGGCGTGGGCTCAAGCGCAGATCTGTACTGTAGCATCGCGAAATACTCCATAGTATTCTCAAGGCGTAAGGCCCCCATGTTGATGGTTCATCATGCAGTAAAACTCAGTGCCTTCTTTAGAGCCCCACGACTCCGTGCAGAAAAGAAAAATTTCCCAAGGCTCCTCCGAAAGTACCTCCGTCCTGGGTTATAGCTTATTTCATTTCATGAAGATCTTTTCCATAGAGTAGCGATTGAACCGAGGTTCTGGTTCCTCCGAACCCTGAAGTATAGAAGTTACTCCGCGGAGTAACTTGTCGAACGGCGCAACTCTGACCCCCTTAGTGCCGGGGCTCGAATACATTTAAAGATCGACAAATTCCATTATATGGGCTTTTCTTGCTTTTCCATGTGCTCCCAAAGAAAAAAAGACAGCTCACGGAAAATGGCATCCAAATGTGTCTCTGTGGTTGTCATTGGAGCTTCTCATGCAGGCCTGGGAGTCAGCCATAGACTACTCCGAAAGACAGCCAAAGCATCCATCACCCTGATCAACCCATCGGACGAATATTACTTCAACATCGCCGCACCCCGATTCCTCGTGAAACCCGAGAGTTTATCGTCGAGCAAATACCTCTATAATATCCATGAAAGCTTTCGCGACTATCCCGCAGGCTCCTTCACTTTTGTTAAGGGACTTGTCACCAACATTGATTATTCGACGAAGTCTGTACTAGTCAGTACAGGCGAAAACCCTCTCAAGAAAGGCGATGCTACTTCAGTCGCGTTCGATTATCTAGTGATTGCATCTGGCAGTACGACACCGGCTACGCTTGGACAAGGTAGTATGAAACTCCCTTTCAAGGCGACTGCGTTTGAAGACACTAGAAAAGCCATTTCCGAGGCGCAGAAGAGGCTCCAAAATGCCACGAGAATTGTTATCGGTGGTGGGGGTCCTTTGGGAGTTGAAATCGCCGGAGAACTGGCGGAAGCATCGGGTTCAACAAAGGTCATCACTCTGGTATCGAAGACGGACGCATTGTTGGACGGCGCAACGGATACTGTGCGAAAAACGGCCGAGTCACTCCTACGACGCAAAAATGTCGAGATCTTGAAAGATGTCGCAGTACGCCAGATTGACCAGGATCCTGAAACGAAGAGCTGGACGGTAACGCTGTCCACCGGCCAAACCATCACAGCAGACGAGTATATTTCTACAACAGGGGTGATTCCAAACAACCAGTTTATCCCGAAAAGATTCTTAAATCAAGATGGCTGGGTTAATGTGGATGACCACCTACGGGTCGTGGAAGATGGGACCAGCCGAAGCGACACCTACGCCGTCGGCGACATCACTTGCCTTCCTTATCGGCTGCTTTCCAGAGTCTCACTTCAAGCAACGACTGTTGCGGCTAATATTGCTGCAAGTATCAGCAATGACACTCGCCTTGCTACATACTCCGCCGAAGCTCAGAAGAAGATGATGGTTGTTCCTGTGGGCCAGTCGACAGGTACGGGGCACCTGGGCGGATGGACACTCTGGAGTTGTCTCGTGTGGTTCTTCAAGGGCAAAGATTTCTTGACTTATAAAGCGCCGGAGTTCTTGCGAGGAAAGGCGGAGTGATTTGATGTAGAGTGTATTGATAGAAGAGTCTCCGTTCGTCGCAGTTCGCCCGATATCATTAATATTTTATTTTGCCTCAAGTCCCCGTGTCGAGTGTCTGTGACGGCCGACAGCCAAAATTTGTGCCGTTCTGGCCCAGGCCAAGAACTTAATGTATTAAGTGTGGCATTGTCGAGCTTCCTGTATATGTGTTATATTCCCACTAACCATCGTATACCTTACTCTCAGTCTTCAGGAATGACCACGAGGTACAAGATGACCACCGCCAATCATCAAGATGAGAATGTATGCCAAATATTAGCGCAAGTTGCGAATGATGCTGTTTTAAAGAAAGAGGGATTTCAATTCCTCCAAACATTCCCTTAGACTTTAGGGATCCTGGTTACCGTGCAGATAACATGGTCGAATCGGACGTTTACATATCGGGCACGTGGATCTCCAAGGCGTCTCAGGAAATGATCAGAGCTATATCCTGGGGTGTAGGGGATAACCGGCAAGAATATCAGCATGGGCTTCATGGTAGAGGAGCCAAGCGGCAGTGCCTGTCTCGACATCCGATGACCTTGCGGGATCAAATCGCATGATTGATTTATCCGACAACATCGAAGTGTTTATCCAGACTGAGAGAGCAGCTGTAGTAAGTCAAATTCGTGCTGATCCTCACGATACCGTGTGTGCTGAATAATCAGAAGCACCAGCACTGTGGGGGAGCGCCTCTTAGACACCCAGTCTCTCAGGTCTCCGGTGCTAGCGCTATGTAGGAAGACGTGCTTTATTCATGAATGCATAAATTCAGTCAGGTTGTCGTGGCGGCTTACTGGAGGCTTCCCTCGGGAATACTCCGGAGTACATTGGCCCAGTCTCAGATACATGCCCGATGTATTCTAGGACAAGCGCAAGGGGAGAGATCTCGACAGTGGCACAAGAGCCGAACTATACAGTAAGCATCTGATACAAATTGTGACACTACACCAGGACTCACCCGTCTGAAACCCAACTAGCGAGTCATCTCTGCAGATCATATACCCCTTGGGCCTGTCTTCATGACAAGACATTCCGTCACAGCGAGTCTGCTTTAGATGAGATGGCTCACAAGTTAGGGAAGAGGTCTAGGGAATAGAGATGAACGAGACCAGGGTACCCTGGATGATATGCTGTTCTTGACTCAGGTGCCGATCCGATTTGCGATCGACTGCAGGCCAGAAGGAGCGAAAGTTACGACTGGTCATATTGATGTTGGCATAACCAGGTGGATCTGGAGTTCAACATGGAATGAGAGATCGAACCATAGTCCAAAGATATCGTCATTCACTCTCTTCGACAATGTTGCCACCAGATAGCCTAGTTGTCTACCACCAGGATAATGCCTTTATCTACACATACCTACAGGGTACTCCCTATGTAGGTACCTCCACCTTGGCTTGTCACAGACCAAGGCCTCTCTAACTGTCCTTCCCCTTAGCTCGTCTCAGTCGAAGTGGACCCTTGGCTGAGTGGGCCCATACTCCGTACAATACGGAGTACATTCTTCGTCCTCCGATGCACTGCATCTCCGATGTGCAGACGTGCAGATGTGCAGAGAAGACCCCAGACAAGGTTGACAGGTTGAATGTCGAAGGTCTTCCGGCTGTATTTGCTTTTGAGGCACCATGCATGTCTGTGCAGGCCTCGACCCCCGAGCCTCAGATTCTGCATCCCTGCGGTGAGAAATACGGCAGTCACTCCGTCGTACATCCGATGCACGGAGTACTTCAGTAGTGGCCCGTTTCTGGGGCACTCTCCACAATGATCCGAGAGTAGGCGATCGCAACGGAGAAACGACGAGCGGCAAATCAAGCGCAAAAGAATGTCCTCCAAAGGAAGAAGGCCACGACTTTGGCGACGAGGAATCCGAGCAAAGTTAGTTTCTGATTAGCGTCGCCAACGAACACAGATCGAAGAGTGATTGGAATCCAGGGACGATGTGTTGTCAGAAAGGAGCGAGTCGAAACGGAGCCTAGTGGCCACTAGTGGACAAGGGTCTGGCGTGGCGGTCGATAGTCTCAGGAGACATTCTCCAAGAAACAGAACCCGAGAAGATCATAATCGGATGGAACTTCATTTCTTCTGAGTTCCAGTAGTAGCATAACAATAATCAAATAATAATCCTGAGTGATCCACCGCGTGGTCCGTTCCTGAACAGGTGAAGAAGGTGTGCCTGAATTGAACCGGCGATCGTGCGGCGTTGGTCCCTTGGTTCGTCTCGACTCCTCCGCCTTCTCCCAAACTTCTTCTCTCCCTCTCCCTCCCTCACTACCTTCTTGAACCCCTTTCATCAGAATACTCGGCCTTGTCTCCATCTCGATCCCCTCCTCAGACCGACAACATCTCCTCCCTTCGCCAATTGATCCTAATTCCACCCTTCGGTCTCATCCTCATCTCGTTATCTTTCCCCCCTTGGCCCCCTTACGCTCCTTACTCCGTACGCTCCGCAATAAATTCCCACCTGTCCTCCCCTCCAATGACCGACGAATGACACATACTGGCTTCCTTGGATGCGCCCTCTGCCCACTAGCGCGGCATTCGAGATATTAAGCCATCCATTCCAGGAGTGGGCCCTGGCGAGCGCTGGGAAACAGCCTCGAGTCACCCCTCGGAGCCTTTGTCGAGCCTAGATTGGCGGTTGGACCGATCAGACTGACATATTCTTGCGAAACGTGACTGTCACGAGCCCCGTCGGCTTACTGACCTCTCAATCAATCTGTCAATTCTCCCAGTGGACCAATTTCTCGCTAGTCTGCATCAACCCTGTCCGAAGGAATGTCTCAACAACATACCGCGATGAATCCAAACACCTCCCCTCCGCGGACGCCTCCTGCCGGCTCTAACTATAAAGCCTCCAAGCGACACCCTCGTCCGTCCGTACGAGAGACCTTCCTGGACGACGTCAACCCCACCGACAATACCAATAGTAGCAATGAATCTGGGGATGAGCGTGACCCCCATGATTTGTCGTTGTCGCCCAAACATGCTGCCCGCACCTCCATCGTCGATAATATGCTTCTGTCCCTAGACCAATTTGCTTCGTCAGGGACCTCCATACTCGACGATTATCGGTTGTTCAATTCCGTTTTCGAGTCCGACTTGTACGGCCGCACCTCTCAGGAATCGTCCATCCATCATCGTTACCGAGGCCACACGTTCTCCTCGTCCGTTTCGTCGGACCCGGACTATACCCAAGACGAGATGTCGGGCCGTTATACTGCGCAGCCGAGGACTCGCCGGAGTACGAGTAGTTCGAACTACCATTCCAGCCTGAGGAGATTCGGCAGCGCTCGCAGCCCGGAGGGTACCGGTTCGCGCGGGCAGCTGTACGACTATCGAAACAACCATGGTGGCTACCAGTCCAGCTCCCGCACAACGAGGAAGGACAGTAAAGGGAGTACCTCATCCCCGATGGATTTTGGTCCGCCACTTCTCCGCCATCGCAGGGACTCGACCACAGAACGCCGTTCCGCCAGCTTTGACTACGGCACCAGACAGAACTTCGTTCCTTTTTCGGGAACTGCAGAGTATGACCCGTTGTCTTATGATGGATTGGATGCCGCTCCCACTCCCAGTGTTCCCGCAGGACCGAGGAAGCACCATGCCCAACCGCAGGCAGAACAGCCCGCAACGGTGAATCACCAGTCGTCGCGCACTCCCGTCGCCTCTCGGCGAAACAGCATCAAATCGTCCCGCACGAACCCCGTGAGAAAGCCTCGTCCTGAGAATCTTGGCACAGGAACACTTCGGGGCCGGGAAAAGGACCTGGTGAATCTCGACCAGTCGGACCTCGAACCTCCTCCCTCTATACCGGCACTCGATCCTCCCGCGCCAAGTCCCACGATATCCTATAATAAACCCGCCTTCGCGCCGCCCACTGACCCGACACCCACCAAGGAACGCCCCGGCTTCTTCCGACGTGTGTTTGGATCGTCCAGGAATGCATCTGGAACATCCGAACCTAACCCAGCGGATCTGTCGTTCTCCCAGGAGAACAGTTCCAAAGACTCCAACGCACCCAATGTGCCGAAAGCCCGAAGACAGCCTCTGAAGAATAGCGGCGCCGGCGCCAATTCGGGTCGTGAAGGGCCCCCTCAAGTGGTGAACAAGAAATCTTCTTTCTTCCGCCGTCGGAAGAAGTCGATCGTGGAAAATGTTCCACCCCCCATCCTACTTCCCCAAGAGCTTGGCCAGAAGGTCGCGGATATCACCAAACCGGAACCGAGTCCCGTCAGCAGTCTGAGGCGAGTCATGGACACCTATCTGGACCCCGCCCCTGGCACTGTTGGCCCTGCCAAGTCAGTCCCCAGTTGGATCACCAATGCAACGGATGGAGAGAAGAAGACCTCTGGAACCCCGCAAAAATCGAGGGAGAGTACGCTTTCTCCCAATGGCGCATCAAAGGCGAAATACAGTCTATACCCAGGCATCTCGCCGAGCAATGCCCATGAGACATCATTCTTAGGGAACCTTAGTGGCGACGAAGAGTCAGTCCCTAAGTCCAGCGATCACGATCTCACATCTGCCTCCGAGCAGTTTCAAGATATGTCTGCCAAGGACGGCCTTGGCTTGCGTGATCACGAACTTCGCAGGCCAGAGACTCACACTGGGAGCCGTTCGCCCAGCCGTTTAGGTCCTTCAGACGACGTTGGTCCGGGGCTGTCTCCGGTGGTTGAGCGGTTCTCTCAGAACAGCCTGTCCCCTATCGAAGGACCGGGGGATGCAGTCGGGTTGGACGACATGCCAGCCGAACCCCCTGGATCATCGGAATCGGGCGCAGGCGAAGACAAGCCGGAGGGACCCAGCAAATCAAAACCCGACGCCTCGCCCAAGCCTTCCATCTCTGAAGCTTCGAACTATATTACTGCCTCCAACACTCCTGTGGCTCCCTCGGCAGGAACACCGACGATTGAGGCTCCTGAAAACAGAGCCAATGAGGCCAATAGACCGCCGGGGAATGAACCGTCTGAAGCCGACAGAGAACAGGCACAGATGCTTTTTGACAGCCAAGACCAGGTCGTTGGAAATGAACCGGCTGCGGCTTGGCTCGGAGACCCGGATCGCGTTGCCATCCGGAAGGCTTACATGGAGTTGTTTGACTGGTCCGATATGAATATTTTGGCCTCGCTGCGTGGTCTTTGCAATCGGCTAGTGCTGAAGGGAGAGACCCAGCAGGTTGATCGAGTCCTGGACGCTTTCTCCACAAGATGGTGCGAGTGCAACCCTTACCATGGTTTCAAAGCAGCAGGTATGATTGTTTCCCTCCACAAACTCTCCAATTCCCCGGAGCTAACCAGTGCTTTCTAGATGTTGTACACACGATTTGCTACTCTCTTCTATTGTTGAACACGGACCTGCACCTTGCCGACATCGAACAGAAGATGACGAAGAATCAGTTCGTTCGCAACACAATGCCGACTATCCACCGAGTAGCCATTGATGCAACCTCGGACGGATCTGGAGTCTTGCCGACGGGACTGAAGGGAAAGTCTTCCACGCAAGATTCAGTGTCCTCTCCTTCCGATGAGACCGAACGCGGTGGTATCAATGCAGACCGACCCGTCAACACTCCTAAGCTCGTTAACCGATTGTCCCGAACCGACCTTTCTGTGAAGCTGGCAGGTGATCCCGATAGTATCACGGGGCCTTTGGTCAGCACACCGTTCAACGGCACGATGAGGGCATGGGAGCAGCAGGTGGAAACTGTTTTGCGGGATTTCTATTCCTCTATTCAAAAGCAGAGGCTTCCATTGCATGGTGCACAACCGGAGAAGGAAGTTTCCCAGCCGCCGCCGAACAACCTCTTGGGTCCTAATTCCAACGCGTTGCGGAGGAGCCCGAGCACTGTAAGTAAGAGTGGCTCTGATATCTACCCCCGTGGCCGCTCCGCGGATTCTCGGTATGGAGCGGCCCGTTGGTCCTCGAAGCCTCGTTCTCGGGCCCGGTTATACCCTCCTTCGACCATGGGCTCCAGTCGCACCAGCCTAGATGATCAATCCTCCCTCTGGAGCCCGTCCGGCTCAAGCACGTGGAGTAAATACTCACTTGGGAAACTTACATCTGCCTCGGTGGACTCCTTTGGATCAGAGTATATGCGAGGCGATTACCAACAATCGATTGGATTCGCAAATGCGTTGAGTCAAGCGATTATTCGCGAGGATGCCGCGCACTCCATCGCCAGCACTGAGGATCCCGAGCGCACCCTGCCCCTCCTGGAAGACGAAACTCTTCAACTGGCGGGTGCGCCGTGGGCCAAGGAGGGAAGCCTGAAGCATAAGCACCATCTGGACTCCGTCGACAAGAGAGCAAAGGATCGCAACTGGAATGAGTGTTTTGCAGTGATCCAGCAAGGTTGGTTGCGTCTCTTCTCGTTCAACTCCGCGAAATCGACGATCCGACAGAAGAACAAGCGACACCATGGTGGAGTCGTGGTCGGCGGCGGAAACTGGACGGAGAACGCCGAAGAGATCTGGAAATTCCTTCTGCGCCAAACCATTGCCAGTGCACTTCCCCCTCCGGGATACTCCAAGTCCCGGCCGCATGTGTGGGCGTTGAGCTTGCCCACCGGTGCCGTGCACCTTTTCCAGGCTGGAACTCCTGATATTGTGCGCGAATTTGTCTCCAGTGCCAATTACTGGAGTGCGAGACTCTCCAAGGAACCGCTCATTGGAGGTATTAGCAATATTGAATATGGATGGAGTGATGCGGTCATCAACAATGCGTTGGTCGGGACGGATACCAGCCGCTCGCCACCCTCTGCTTCGGGTGCGCGACCCAGCCTCCAGAGCTCGATCCGGAGTTCTATTGACCAGCAGGGAGGCGTTCGACCGAAGCTCCCGGCCGATCGGGTCCATATCAGCGATTGGGCGCCACCCCAGCAGAGTATGATGGCCTCGAATCTGTCGGAGGCCGAACAATTGAAGGCGTTGCAGATGTACGTGAAAAACGTGGAGGATGAGCTCTCGCGACATAACGAACTCCGTCCAGCCATGATGTTGGCATACTCTCCACGACACCCCAATGCGACCAAAGCGATGACCAACTGGGAGCGAAAGTCGTCGTACCTCCTGCGGGAAATCGTGAAATTCCGCACGTATATTGATTCCCTGCAGGCGGCGTTGGAAGCGAAGAAGAAGATTTATGCCGCGCGTGAGGAAGATACTCCGGCTGAATGAGTTCTCGCTGGTACTTGGCGGTCACTGAGATTGATTCTTCTCTTTCTTTCGTCTTTATGTACATGTCGTTTTCTTCCGGGTTCTGGAGTTTTGGAGATTATGACAGGAGCTGGACATGGGTCTCCGCCTTTTCTTTCTTACTGTATCTTTTATGATGAGACATATGGGCCTTACGATAGATATTGATTATTTTGTTTCCTATCTGGATGGACATGTTATTGTATAGTGATTCATAGTGGAATAGGTATCGAGTGAACTTCGTTTTGACTCTGTAGTTGGCCCAAACTGCTGATTGGCTGCGGGAGGTAAATAATCAGCCTGATCGGGGAGGTCACTCAATGTTTTCCTCTCAGTTTCCTCCTCCATCCACTCCAAGTTCATTCCTCCGTCTTCCCCGATCTCCATCCCAGGTATTCAGCTATCGTGCGCATCCGGAAAACCCATTAAATGAACATCTAATCCCGGAATTCCCATAACTCCAGTCTTTGTTGATGAAGACCCCGACGCAAGGGTGGCAGCTAACTTAGTCCGCCACGCTAATCACCACCGAACTGGCCAAGTGGGTAGCCAACGACCCTACCGGCCCATTCTCATTTGCGGGCTGAAGTGAAGGGGATCGAAGGTGCATGTGGAGCAAACAAACACTAGGAGGGAGCCCAGACACCCCGTCACCATGTCGACCAGTTCCGCCCAGCCGTCTTCGTTCAAACCTCTCCATGCGACAGAGTACGCGCCTCCCCCGCGCCGACCGTCCCCTTTCTCGCTTCCCAGCGACCTCGACAGCGAAGACGACTATTTGCAGTTGGAGGACGATCACGGCGCGCCCATCGACTTGATGGTGGAGGAGGACTCGCGGGGAGATCACCCCCCAAACAACATGGACACCACCGGCCCGCATGACGGTGCGGACCACGCGCAAGAAGACACCACCATCGGTACACGACCGGACGACCACTCGATCTTTACGGCCGGCAATACAGACCTCGATGACTCCAACGCTTCGTTAAACCTCCCGCCCCTGCCCGATAACGACGACAGCAGCCTCTACCTCCTGTCCAGCGAGGACGGCGACCGCGAGCGCATCGACAACCAGACGTTCATGGAGGAGAAGGAAATGCGCCAGAAACTGATGGATATGGAGTCGAGCTTTCTACCCGAACCGTCGACCGTCGAAGTTGCGGCCGCAAACCAAACGCACGGCATGGACGATACTTACCTGGTCGGTGTGTCTGGCGAAAATGCAGCCGACCCCTCGACCAATCCGGAACTGACACAACCCTCGGTCGTGGTCCATGATGAATCTAGCCATGATCTCGCGTCGACTACTGATGGGGTACCGGTTCCGCAGACTCCAAGCCTGGGGCCGGCGGAGGATACGACGGTTGACTTGGATACGACCCCGGCGGGTGCCTCAGAGCGGTACGACGACCATACGACCATGTTGGAAGCTCCGTCATCACCAGCCGCAGATGCAGCAGCTAGGACGGAAAATCGCAATCTCTTCTCGAGCTCCCACGATGCCCATGAAACTGGCCAGGAGTCTCACGACATGTCTAACGATAGATCCTTGGTCTCAGAATCCGGTGATTCCCTACGTCCAGGACAAGAGTCGGTCCAGACAACCTTGCGAAGTTTGTCGCCTGGGCTGCCCCGACTCTTCCATGATACCAGTAACCACGATATTGAGGGCGCTTCGCGGACCAGCAGCCGAAGAAGCGGTCGCCCGAAGTACCTGATGAGTCGCCAATCAGCCAATCGTCTTTCCTACTCGTCTGTCGCAACGAGCAATACGGAGGCGACGAACAGCGAAGCTACTTTGGGTGCGGACTACGCGTTACAATCGGGCGGTGCAGCTCCCGGTTCTAGCATCGCCCAGCCTGCGCGGCGCGACCCCATGGCCAGATCGGTGAGCCTAGGGAGCATGGCATCTGGGGTCTCTGGATATAGCGATGAAAACGTCACAGATAAGAAGAATCGATCTACTAGCGCCGTGGATGGAGGTCTCCAGACTTTGGACGAAGAAGAAGGCACGTCACCATCACGTCCTGGATCATCCCAACAGCGGCCCCAAGACCAATCGACCATCGCAGACGCCGGACCCGTAACGCCGAAAGCTAAAACCCAGGATCATGTCTTTCCCACTGACACTGTCCTTGCGGAACGGGTGAAGGATGTCCAGGTTCCAAGTACGTTTGTGAGGCAGTTCCGAGAAGACTTTGGAGGACGGGGGGTGTCGCCCGACAAACGTGCGGGTGCCACGCCGGCTTTTGGCCGCAGCGGTCGAAGCATGACGCTCAAAGAGCAGAGCAGCACCATCGACAGGCTGTCGAAGGAGAATTTTGACCTGAAGATGAGGATTCATTTCCTCAATGAAGCCCTGAACCGGCGTTCCGAAGAGGGGATCAAGGAAATGATATCAGAGAATGTCGAGCTCAAGTCGGATAAGCTCAAGTTGCAAAAGGACAACCAAACCCTCAAACGGAAGATCCGAGACTTGGAGAAGCAGCTGAAGGACCAACAGTCCGACAAGGAATCCATGCTCAACCACGATCCCGAAGGCTCCGACGAGAGTGACCGCGACCCAGCCCAGGACGAAGAGATCCTCTACCTACGCGAGAGAGTGGAGAGCTACGAACTCGAGATTGAGAGAATGCGGTCGGAGAGTATAGCCAGAGAAAGTGAGAAGAGAAGGCTAGCTGAAGTGGTCAAGTCTCTTAGTGAGGGAAGGCCAATGGGATCCGACGTGGGTGCCAGAGAAGAACGGGTGAGTCGACCTATTTCGAGTGTTCTCGTGTCTATCTGACTTTATATTGTAGGATATGTGGAAGGATATACTAGAAGCCGAGACTGCCGCACGTGAACAGGCGGAAGAGGAGAACAAGAGACTCCGCGATGAGGCCCTGCGTTTGCGGAGCGAGATGAGCATGGCTGTGGTGCCGGCGAGGCCGGGACCCCGTGACCGCTTTGGCTCCATGGCCTCCTACTCTGGAGCTTCAGAACGGGACTTTAACCGTCATACTACGACGGGCAGTTCGTCCAGTTCTACGTTGGTTATGGAGTTGGAACTGCTGAAGCAAGAGAATGCGGAGCTGAGGAAGGAAGTTAGCGCACAAACTTCCATGCTGACATCGCGTAACCGAGAAAAGGAGCGTCTTTACCAGGAGATCGAGGAACTGAAACTGGGCCAGCGCCGCGACGCCCGATCTGTCACTGGCGATAGCATCTTTGATCGTTCGGCATCTCGAGCTCAAGGGAGGCCCTCCTCGCGAACTAGTGATGGGACGGGACGTTCTCCAGCCGATGATGCCGACCGTGACGAGCTGGAGATGCGAAACGGGCAGTTACGGGATCAACTCTCTGCACTGAAGCTTGAAAACCAGGATATTCGAGCGCAGTTGGAAGAGTACATGAGGGAGCTCGAAGCTCTTGACAAGGCGTACCAGGCGGATGTTGACCAGGCGGAAGAGGAGATACAGAATCTCCAGCAGGAGCGTGACCAGGCGCTGCATATGGCAGACGAACGTGATGCCGCATTCCAGGATCTGAGGGCCGAGGCCCAGGAAGAGTTAGACGCTCTCGGGGAGGAGTTTGATCAGAAGGTTGAAGAGTGTCAGCGGTTGGGAGAGGAGTTGAGAAACCAAGACGAGAATTTCCGAGCTCTGCAGGCGGAGATGCGCTCAGCGAGTGAGGGTATCATTCGGCTTGAAGAAGACGCACAGAACAACTTGCATCGTTATCAGGCAGTCCAACGGGAGCTCGAGGATTGCAACCGGGAGATGGAGTCGTTAGAGAAGAGTCTGTACGAGGCCAACACCAAGGTCCAGCGGTTGACGGTGCAGATCGAGTCCAGCCAGAATGAGATCGCGTTCCTGCGCGAGGAGCAGGATGGCGACAAGATCAAGATTGGCAACCTTGAACTGGAGCTGAAGACGTACAAGATGGATCTGCAGAGTGAGAGGGACAAGACCCGAGAATTGGAGGAGCGGCTTGCGGAGGAACGGCATCAGCGAGAGGTTGTGGGAAGCAAGGAGAAGCAGGAGGTCCAGCGGATTGTCAACGAGCTGAACCGCGAAGCCTCGGCAGCCAAGGAGGAGGTTCGCAAACTCAAGAAGAGCCTGTCAGCACAAGAGATCGAGACGGCCACTTGGAGGGAGCGTCTCCTGGAGTTGGAGAAGAACCTTCGGGAGACCCTGGGTGATCTGACTGGTAGCCGGTCCAGCTTGATCTCCAACATTATGAAGCTACAGAAGACTCTGGAGACAACAGCCTTGGAGCTTGAGAGTGTCCGATCGAAGCTGGAAGAGAAGGAGTCGTTGTTGCGGAACCGCGATGCTCTCCTGGAAAGCCACGGGCTCGAGTCCCGAAAGCTGGCCGAGCTTCTGGAGCGTGAACGTCACGCCCGTCGGGCTGACAAGCAGTCGTTCGAAAAGGCACTCAAATCGCACCAGCAAGCGTCCCGAACGATCACGCAGAATAACTCGAAGATTTCCGATCTGGAACTTGCCCGGAGTCAGGACCGGAAGCGGTTCAACAACTTGGAGCAGCAGTACAAGGATCAGCTGACTGAGCGGAACGCCATGCTCCTGACCATGTGGAAGCGCCTGTCCGCAATGTGTGGCCCTGACTGGGCACACTCCAACAGTCTGATCAACGGGAACTTGCCCAGCCAAGAGGTCATCGGCAACATTTTGTTCTGGCCCGGGTTCAGTCGCAACCTGCTGCTGGCGGTCAAGACGGTCGAGCATGTGTTTTCGGGCTTCAAGGCGCGCATCAAGGATGTGGAGCGGGACCTCACGAAACAGTACCAGTCTCTGGAGCATAACTTCAACCAACGGAGCAAGAAGCTGGACAATCTTATCGAGTCGATGGTGAACCTGCGTGCCCAGCAGTATACCCGCAGTCAATCAGGTCTATCGCCGGAGATGGCCAAACTCCGAGGTGAGAATCGCTTGCTCAAGGCCGAGTTGAACTTGATCCAGTCTCATTCGCGCGGCCGGGGGTCTGCCGTGATGGGTACCGGCTCTCCCCGTTCATCGACACGGAATCTGAATGCGGAAGCTGGCGATGGCGAGTCCTCGTTGGTGCGGCACAATTCGATGGTCGAGAGGCCTGCTCCTCATACCCCGCGGGGTCTTGCGCGCAGCTCGACCAGCGGCATTCCACAGCCCTCCCATGCATCGTCGACCACGCTCGCCGAGGGCGCCGGAGCCATGGTCCACGGGTCTCGCTCACGACATGGGGCGGATGCGGGCAATGAGATGTGGATCCAGCGGTTGCGCGAGCTGGAGAAGAAGCTAAAGGCCGAACGGGAGGCACGGTTACTGGATCGCAGCGGGGCGCGGAAGCGACTTGAGGAGCGAGACGCCGAGAACCAGCGACTCCGCGCGGAGATTGAGCGACAGCGGGTGCGCAAGGGCATCTCGACGGAGACGTCGACCGACGACGGCTCCCACACTCGTGTGCAGCATCCCGGCCGCATTGAGAGCCGTCACGCCGAGGACGAGCCGAGCTCCAGCGAGGGCGAGGGGATCTACGTGGATATCGAGGTTTGACGAGATTTCGACTGGTTGTGTTTGTACTATATACCTTGGGTTCTGTGCTCGAGCTGGTTCTTCGAACGAACTGCAGGGACTATTGTATTGGTTAGGGTTTGGAGTTATGGGCATGGACGAGGACGATGACATGATCAGCTTGTATATACCTAATGAGACGGGGGTTGGTTCAAGCGATGATGCATTTCGTTAACATACAGTAGATGTACACAGCGAATATAAATCTCACCGAAGGGACACCTTGAGTGAAAAGTCCACAATGCTCGTCCCCTGGTGGATGGAGCTCGTTGAGAGGATATCCACATCCTCACAGACATAACTGGCGGCATTCGACTCATTCAGCCCACCACTGACCTCAATCAAGAACGAGCGGTTCTTCCCCGCCCAGTCCTGCTTCAGCTTCTTCGCCGCCGCCCGCACCCCCTCCGCCGAGAAATTATCCAGCATAATCACATCCGCCCCAGCCTCAATCGCCGCATTCGCCTCCTCCACACTCCGACACTCGACTTCCACCTTGACCGAAAACCCGCCCGCCGCCTTGGCCGCCTGCACCGCGCGCGGAATCGCCGCCGCAATCGACGCCTCGCTCAGCCCCTGCTCCTGCCCGGCGGCACCCCCATCCGCCGCCGCCGCGTTGTTCGCACACGCCCACACATGGTTATCCTTGAGCATGGTCATGGACGAGAGATCGTGGCGATGCGGATCCGCGCCGCCCACCAGCAGCCCGTACTTTTCCACCACGCGGAACCCCGGCGTCACCTTGCGCGTGCCGGCCAGCGTGCCGTGCCAGCCGTGCGCGCGCAGCGCGCTCGCCAGGCTGTGGCTTTTGGTCGCGATGCCCGAGCACCGGGCCAGGATGTTGAGCGCGACGCGCTCGCCGAGCAGGATCTGTCGGATTGGGCCGTGGACCGTGGCGCAGTGCGTTGTTGGGGTCGGGGTTATGGGCTGGCCTTCTTGGATGTGCCATTGCACTCTGAATTGCATATTAGATTGAGCAGCTGAAGGATGGGTGGGGAGTGGGTGGGCGTACGTGCAGCCCAATTGGGCAAAGACCTCGTCGAAGAAGGGGACGCCGGCGACGATGCCCTGTCTCTGTCAGATATATGCATTGCATTTAATGGAAGAGAGGCAGGGGTACATTGCTCTTCCCGAGAAGACGGGCCTCGCCCTCGGACTCGCCGACGACAAAACCGCCGTAGTCGAAGCTGGGACAGTCCTCCTCCAGCCAGGCGGCGATCAGCCGCTTGTAGTTGGCTGGGAGGAGGTGGCGCGGATCGCCGTACTGAGCGGCGGCCATGGTATATGTCTGATTGAGGGGTGTAGGTAGTGTGGGTAGGACAGAGAGGGCGATGGTGGTGGTGATCGGTGATAACCTTGACCCCACGCGGGGCGATGCGATGCCGAGACTCGGGAGTTTCCGGGGTGATCACATGATCGCAGCACGTCCAGCCGGTTCCTATCGAGAGTGTAAGCTTAGCATAACGATGTCTGTGCTAGCTATGCCTGGTATTAGCACACTTAACACACCTGTTATGTACATCTCATGGCTGTGCAAACCTTCGTACGAACCTTCACCGAACCTTCGTGCGAATGCTCAGCGCACAAGCAGTGCCCGCCAGGATGTCCTCGCAAGCGGCGGGTCTACCCATGCGAGGATCTTCAATGCCCCTGATCTTGTGATCATGATCCTCGTAGCTCCGGAGGTAAGCTCCATGGAATCCGGAGCTGACATCCGAAGTGTCGGTGGGAGAGACACACATATACACGGCAGGCCTCAGATCCGGCTGGGTATTGCGTACGGTATTACCAGGACATACAGAATACAATAAATACGGTATACGAGTAACGACGGGAGTTAGCCTGCATGGTTGGTTGTGCCTTGATATTATTCTATGCTGCCACGCAGATGCGCCATTTTCTGACCAACTCCACAATCATCTAGCGCAAACCAGCTAAACGACACGGAATACTTAGCTGAGGCTTTTCCGCGTTTCGACTTTCAACACCCCCACTACCCACTAGTGGAGCTGCCATGCGATGACAAGGATAATCGGCACGTCAAACAGGGCGACGGCCTGCCGAGGTTTAGGCAAACACGATATCCATTCTATCTATGACTACGCCTTCCACACCCGGTACTGCACGCGACTGCCATACAACCCGCCCTTCTTCAGTATCACCATGTGACGCCACTCGGGCTCGTTGATGGCATTGACGAAGCGACTGGGCTCGACGCAGAAGCCGGCGAACGGGGCGCGCGCCGGGGTCGCGCCGACGGCGGGCACGTCGATGCCGCCGCCGGTGTAGAACTGGAAGGCCGGCTCGGTGCTCAGCACCTGCAGATGCATGCCGGAGTGGTCGAACTCGGCGAGCGGGCGGAGCGGGCGCGCGCGCGTGTCCAGCGGGATGGCGGCCACGTCGCGATCCATGATGAAGACGTCGTCGAAGGCGGGCTGGTGGTCTGCGCCGATCGTGAAGGGCTCGGTGACGGTCTGCGGGTGCGGCGCGATCTGGCCGTGCGGGATGCCGGTGTTGTCCAGCGGGAGGTAGTCCTGCGTGAAGAGTTTGGCCGAGGTGCCGGCGATCGTTGGCCCGCCGGACAGGTTGAAGTAGCTGCCGCTTAGCTTTAGCTTGTGGATACGGGTATGAAGGGGAAAGAGACGAAGCTACCTGTGGTTGGTCACGTTGACAATGGTCTCCTCACACTCGTCCCCGATCAGCTCCACCTCGTACTCGATATTGACGACGGTGACGCCGTGGTCGTCCTCGACGTTGTAGAAGACGCGGATCTCGACGGTGCCCGGGTAGCCGCCGTCCATGTGCGGGCTGGTGTAGGTGTAGAGTAGGGTGTCCTTGCCGGCGCGCTTCAGCAGCGTGGGGCCCTCAAAGTCGCGCCGCCCCCAGCCGCGGCTGCCGCCGTGCAGGGCGTTAGATCGGTCGTTGGTCTCCAGCTGGTAGGACTGGCCGTTCAGGCTCTGGACGACGCCGTCGCGGATGCGGTTGGCGACGCGGCCGATGGTGGCGCCGAACCAGGGGTTCAGGGTATCGTATCCATCTTTCTTGTCGAAGCCGAGCACGATGTTCTGGCCGGCGACGGTCAATTCCTGGATGATGGCGCCGCGGGCGGTGAATTTGACGGACATGATGCTGTGTGTGAAGTGACAATGATGGGCAATGGTAGACGGAGTGTCTGGCAGAAGCTGTTGTTCATAACAATAAAGAAACAAAGAAATGAGGTACCCCGCAACGCCCGCATTCAGCATGAACGCGGGCCAGGGTTTAGCCTAATAAGGCCGCCGGATTTTGTGCAGAACAGGCATTTACCCGCGGCACGTTGTGGACTTTGTTTGAGCCCTGAATTCTTCCACGGGTGCATTGATGTGACCAAAGGGGGAATCTTCCGTCGTTTCGTCCGTTATCGATCTGTACGAGTAGTGTAGGATTTGGGGTTGGGGGGAGCCCCCCCGGGGGGGGGGGGGGGTTTTGGGTTACAGTAGTATAATTACTAAGCGGTATAATATGAAGAATAAATGAAAGCATATATATCATGTGACATCCCAGCCCTCGGAGACTTTGTTCCGACCCGGCGCAATTCCACCCCGTGTACCCTGTACGAAGTATACGGAGTACCCTGTCAGGATCCATGTACCTAGGCAGGGAACCAACTAATAAAATACTGTACCAAGGTAATAATCAGATTCAGCAAGACTCGGGATGCCGGGACCAAAGAGCGATCTGCGGATATAACCACCAAATAGCATCGGCGCGCCTCTCCACCGCACCCTCGGAGGCGATCCCTTTCCACGGACCTGGAACAGCCAAGCCGGCGACTAATCAGGACACGTCCTGAGTCACTAGTTACTCCATGTGGTAAGGTCGTGCGGGCGCAGAACGGCGAGGTCGGGTTCCTAAGAGGGAAATTCCGAGGCCGAGCACGAGAACGAGGGACTAGACTAATGGGATTGGCGTGAAAAGTCTTCGGACGGTTTCTTGGTAGCTTTCTGTTCCTAGTGTGGACTAGTCAGAGTAAAACAGCTGGGATCCTGGAATCCTCTCAGATGACCATTATTAATGATGATTAATGCCCAACTCCTAGTCTACTATCTAAACCTTACATCATACGCCGTCAGCTGCAGCCACGTTCCTGATCGTATTCGATACCCTAAACTAGTACCGAATTGAGTTCCGCACAGTCAGATGAACAGGACCTAGGTAGATAGGTACGTCCACGTAGCCACGAAGAATCAAGTCGACCTCCAGAAAACAGACCCACGCCGTAATCCGGAGGAAAGGCAGCCAAGTTCCGATGGTAGGACATTCGGAATTGCAGACCCCCGGGGCGGTCAGCAGGACAAGACAGACCAGATCCTCAGTCGGAAGTCGGCATTTCGGCGTTTAGTGCTGAAAGAATGTTCGATGTGTTCGCTGGACCCGTTCCCTAGCCGTTCTGGTGGGTCTCGGAGGAGGAAGTATACAAGTACAGTCGGTCCATACTGAATTGCCACTGAATTAGAGATTCGATCTGTCCATAGAAAGGAGATCGTAGGTGCTCAGTAGATAAGAGGTAGTAGCTCTCGTATACTAGGCACTCTATTATAGATGATGACGCGGAGATAAGCCAAGTCCGTCGGAGGCGTGACGTCTTCCATCCGATTAGTCATGCCGTCTGCACGTCATGATCCAATCGACGAGTTCCTCGGACGGAGTTCGGACGCGACCAGCCGCGAAGGTACAGTTAGTAGATCCCGAGGAAAAGTAAAAGTAGTAATGATGGTAAGATTATCTTATGTTCCTAAAACCACTCCAGAAGAAGAATATACCCGCCCTCCCAACTCGTTTTTCCCAACGCCAAAACACCCGGGGCGGTCGACCCCCGCAGAATGAACGTGCCCTAGCCAGACCAAATCAATCCCAAAGAATATAATAATGTACATGCGTCACGTCATATGGCGTATGCAAACCCAAAGCATATGTAGTTAGTGATGTAGCGAGAGGCCGTCGAGCGAGCGGCTCACGTCGACGCAATCTCCGGCGCATTCGCATTGACAAACTGGTTCAGATCGTCGTAGTCGCCCTTCAAGTCCATATACGACATGCAGTGGATCGGCACGAGCCCGAATTGAACATCGGCGACGACAGCAGATCCTCAAACGACAGGTTAGTGAAATCTGTCGTGCCCATCATGTCGATATCATCGAACCCGCCGAATCCATTCCCTCCCCCACGACTGCTGCTGCTGCTGATGCTGATGCTGCTGCGGCGCCTGCAGCACCATGAGGTTGACAACGCCCTGCATACCCAGCGGCGCGAGCGCAAAGGCCGGTGGCATCTGCGACGACTCGGACTTGACAGGGCGGGCGCTGGGGCTGATATTCGGCGGGGTGGGGGGCAGCTGGGGCTGGGCGAAGGGGTCGGCGAAGCGGGCGGCGGCCGCGGCGGCGACGGAGGGGACGACGGGCGAGTGGGCGCTGTCGAAGCTGGCGTCGAACGAGTCCTGGCGCTGCATGTGGCCGGCGTTCTGGCGCCAGAGCTCCTGCTGCATGGCGTCGGGGTTTTCCTCGAAGCGCTCGCCCTTGGCCTGGTCGAGGGCGCCGAGGCGGGTGAGCAGGTCGTGCGTGAGCGGGTGGCCGTTGGCCTCGCACTTGAGCGGCTCGCCGGGCCAGCCTTCGCCGTCGCTGGTGCGGCGGTACAGTTCCTGCAGGCCGTAGACGAGCCAGGCCTGCTGCTGTTCGAGCATCTCAACGTATCTGGGGGGGGAGGGTTAGCGCGGGGATCATGGGGAGTATAGATTGGTGCTTGATGCGGCTCACCCCTTGGGGTACACTTTGTCATGCGCCTTTTTGCGCTCGCCAAAGACGCAGA